TCCCCGGGGATCAATTCTCACTGTCAACATCCGCTTGCGAAACCCCCGAGAATTAAATGCAGATTATTCTACTCTCTCATCAAGTCATTGGTAAACATAACACAGCTCATGCACGTACAGAAGGAGAAATTCCTAGCGGAAGCGGCAGCAGCCACCAACTTAATAACACATGCACAGTTGCCAACCTAGGATATACTGTATATAATTAGGCACAAGCGAATATCATGGTTTTGGGGCGCGTGCATTTGAGCCGGCTCCAATCCGGCAACCAGTCCTCCAACGACACCAGCGTCTTACTGGTGGCTACTGGTCTGCCGCTGCCGGCTGTAACGCTCTTCCTAACCGCGGACGCCGCCGCCGTCCTGGGCAACGGTCTGATCTTCCTACTCTTCCTGTTTAACCGCGCGCTGATGTCCCCGTTCAACCTGTACCTCGTCAACCTGTTAAGCGCCAACCTGCTCTACTACAGCCTCAACTTCCCGCAGCACCTCTTCAACTACGTCCTGCACACGTGGTACGGCCATACCACCGGCTGCAGCGTCCAGCTGGCGCTGCTGTGGACCAGCGGCTCCGTCATCCGCTTCGCGCACGCCGCCATCACGCTCAACCGGGTGTGGGCGCTCCTGGCGCCCTTGTCCTACCGGCAGCAGCACGGCTACCGCGTCGCCCGCCTGCTGTGCGCGGCCACCTGGATGTTAGCCGGGGTCTTGACCGTCCCGGCGAATATCCTGGACCACCTGTACTACCGGCTGCCGCCCGCGGAGTTCGGCTGCACGACCAGCCTGGCGGAGCGGCCGGTGCAGGACGCGCTGATCGCCACGTCGGTGCTGACCACCGTCGCGCTGGTCGTCATCGTGGCGGCCTACCCTGGATCTGGTGGAAGCGCCGGCAGCGGCACCGCGCGCGGCTGGACTCCCATCCCGGCCCGCCGCCGTGGAGCCCGGCGCCGCCCAGCGGCCGTAAGTTAACGCGGCTTATTTATGTTATTCCGAAAGGTCATCTGGTTCTTTATATATAGAAGCAATGATGCCGGCCGCGCGCGGTCGGGCGGATACCGGCGCCGGTGGCGGCGGACGGTCGCACTCGTTCGTGGTGCTGAGCCTGCTGACGGTCAGCGTGACCTTGGCGTGGGGCCCGCTGGCCGTCTTCCATCCCCTGGTCTGGAGCGTCCGCGGCCGTTTCGACACCCAGACAGTCGTCGTCGCGCTGACCCTCCTCGACCACTGCCAGGGCGTCGTCGACCCCTTCCTCATTGTCGCCGCCTTCCGCCAGCTCTACCTGGCGTTGATAACGCTGATTCGCTGTCCGCGAAAATAAACGGCTTTCGGTTGTTGTAATTTTTGTACTAGGTTCGACAGAGCCGCACAGAAATTTAAGCAATGACAGGTTGGCAGTATGTACAGGGATTTGATAACTGATGTAAAGGTCACGCGGCCTGCACGCTGCGTTGCGACAGGCATTTTTATTTATTTTGGATGCGCATATATATAACTATACATATGTATCTATATATAAAATCTGTTATATGCATATTGTGAAAACTGAGTAAACTGGAAGACTACAGCAATAAAATGATCATATCCAGACATTCGTCGCGTTGTAATGGAACGACTTCGCCGCCGGCAGTTTCCCGGCATCGTACAGTTTAGCGGGCGGTGTCCCCTCCGCTGACGAACAACGCCTCCCGTAGCGAGCCAGCATCTCCCGCGCCCGGCGCAGATTCTTCAGCGTCCGCGGCGCCACCGTCGTCGCTTCCGGCCCGATACTCCCGTACTTCCCCACATCGTACTGCCCCGGTCCGGGGGCCTCGCGGACCTCCCGCGCCATGCACGCCACATTCCGCGGCCGCTTGGGGAACACCGCCCCCTCCGCGCCGGCGTTCCAGTGTTGTTTCCCAATCCCACCTGCGAACGCGACGGCCGGAGAGGGTCGACGCCGCTCCACAGGTCACCCTCCGTGGGGCGCCGGGCCGCCGGCATCCGGGGCGCGGTGTAGCGGATGGAGCAGGCCCGCGGCGCGGTGGGGTGCAGGAGGTGGTCCTGGACGTCGTAGGCCCACGGGAAGAGGCCGGTGACCGCGGGGGCGTGGATGCGCGGCAGGCGGGAGCGGAAGACGGCGCGGCCGCGCGCGATGTTGCCGCCGAAACGCGGCTGGACGTTGTAGCGGGTGGGGGAGGGGCGGCGCGACGGGGCGTGGTGGTGGACGACCACGGGAGTGCGGTGAGTGGGGCGGGAGGGGGGCTTCCGGTCGGTGAGGGTGTAGGTGCCCACCGGAGGGGAGGTTGTGTGCAGCGCCGTCGGGAAGCGGCCCACCTAGTTAATAAGGCCACAAATTTAATGGAAGTTAATGTAAATAAAATTGATATACTTAAGTTTTATTATAAACTGATTTAAGCCACAATATAAATTAATTCAAACTAAATTAAAAAAAAAACAGTGGTAAATGCTTGAAAAAGAATTTATTGTACAGTAATTAAAATGGATTTATTTAACTAAAATTCGAGCAAAGACGTATATTAAATAAATTGAAAGTATTAGTTACTTTATCTAAAATTCGATTCAAATATACTGAAATTTAATTTAAATCGATTTTTCATTCGAAAAACAGCTTGAAACAAAATAAATCCCTCCGGCTGGCTGGCTGCCTCACCGTCGAGCCGAACACCGGCCACGTTGACCTTCCCGGCAGCAACACCTTGCGCGGTGGCGGCTGGCCGGGCGGCGCCTCCGGGGATTTGGCCGGATCCTTGAAGGAGGGCGGCACCGCGGGGTACTTGGCGGGTCCGGGGTTCTCCGGCACCTGGCCAATCCCCGAGATCAGTCAGATAGACACTCTTATATGCACCGACAATGCGAGTATTTGAGAGCGCCTTACACGCCGGCATTAGGCAGAAATAGCACTGAGTGTCTTCACCGTTTCGTGGGGGAAACGCAGGGCTCCGGTGCCGAAACCGAATTTATCGGAATTATCCGCCACCAGCACGCGATGCCGGCTGGGAATGGACGCCGGCACCGGCAGGCGGCGCATGCGCGGCTGAATCTTTCGTCTGATATTCACCATCGCTCCCAGAAATTAAATACGAAATTGATCCAGAATTATTTTGAATTTTTTGCAATTTTATTCTGTTGTTCCCACATGAATTAATTGTCGCATCATGATCACGCTGTTGAAGACTTGTTTATATTATTTTTATTTAAAAATCAATCGCAGCCAATTCGGTTACTATGGATACCAGTGGAAAATCTCAATATAAAGCAAACGAAACCCAGCATTTTGCCGTTTTCCCAATAAAATCAGCCAGTTCATTCATCAGGTCTCTTTGGCGCGCATGGCGGCGCGCTTGGCGGTGACGGCCTGGTAGCCGGCGGAGACCTTGTTGACGGAGCAGCGCGAGCCGCACGTCTCGCACTGCAGGAAGACGACGCGCGTCTGGTCGTCCTTCTGCAGCAGCGTCTCCGGCGAGCGGCACGTGTGGCAGGTGACGTACTCCTTGATGTAGCGCCGCAGCACGTTCTCGATCTGCTTCTGCTGGAAGCGGCCCTTGATGATCAGCTGGCTGTTGGCGTCCACCGAGCCCGTCGTACCTGCCAACCAATCAGTAAATCTAATTTCAACTTGGCTCAATTCAATTTTAATTTCAAAATTAACCCAGGCGATTTCATAAACCATAAAATACAGCCAAAATGTGCGAATTTAAATCGAATTTTTATGGAATTTTCGCAGTTTAATTCTCATTGATTTATCTTTAATTTTCAAAAAATAAACCAACAAAAGTTTCTGTCTAAATTAAACAAACGTTTGGAGACACTCCATGAAATCCCACCAAACAGCGTATAAATTCAAATCTTTTAACTGAGTTTTTAAAAATATTTTTAAAAATTCTAAATGCACAAAGCAAATTCCAGCAATAATAACTGACGAAAGGTTAATGGTAATTGAGACGTATTCGTTCGGAAACAGAGACGGTGAGTTGAGCGTACGCACCTAATTCGGCGAGGAGGAAGGCGATGAGGTGTTTGGGCTGGCGGCGCATGATGCGGCAGATCTCGGTGAAGTTGGCGAAGGAGGTCTTCTTCGTGCCGACCTTGACGACCTGCGGCGGCCGCATGACGATCTTGCGCTTCTCCCCGCCCACGTACTCGGGGTTCTTCTCGCGCATGATGTCGAAGACGCGCGTCAGCAGCTCGTCGTACGTGTAGTCGCGGTCCGAGCCCAGCCAGGCGCCCTTCATGATATTAGCCGACGGCGTCATCTCTGCAGCCCACCACACGTTTAATTGTGCAATAAATACAATTATTCACAAAAAATACTGGACAAAATGAATAACACCAGGATGACGACGATTATGAACAGGACGCCGTGCTTACGCGGCTTAATGTTCTCCAAGTCGACATCATCCACGAAATCCGCGCCGCCCTCGCCGTCCACGTCGTCCTCCTCGTCGTCGGCGAATTTCACCGATTTGCCCCGGCTTCGGCTTCTTGAATTCACCGAAATCCGCGCCATCGTCCTCATCCACGGGCTCATCCTCATCCTACACATTTCTACTTTGTATCATCCAACTTCCACAATAATTCTGTCCATTACTAATCAATTTACAGTTTCCATTACCACACATTCTTAGTAATTTTTCAATAAATGTTAAATAATTTGGCTTATTACAAATTGACTAGTTTTTTTTATATAAAAGGAATAGTAATTCTGGAAGTCCCAATAAAAAATAAATTCCCAAGGCAGGTAATAAATAAATTCTTTTACTACTAGCGTTTTTTTCGCGATAAAAACGCCAACAAAGCCTCTGCGCTGTCGTAATAACTAATAAGCTGTACAAATTCAAACTGAATTTTCTATCGAATTTCGGAAACTGAAGTTGGACTTACTTTCGCTTCTTCGTCGGCATCCACGTCGACGGGCTTCTTGGCCTTCTTCTTCTTCTTGCCAAACTGCAGCGCCTCCTCGTCATCTGCGGAATACAACCAATTTAGAAATTAAAAGATTTCCCGCGTTCCCCAACAAAATCATCAACCAAAGAAATTTCCCAAATCAACAACTGCGAGTAACTCGGCGCGACTACAAAAATCCCAGTAGCACCAACGGTTTCTGTACCGAGCAGAACCAAAATCTCACTGCTTTGCGCTTGATATCAAGTTTGACTGATAACTGATGACTTCATGTTGATTTACCCTTTACGGTCGTCTCTGTTGGAGCAGCCTCCTCTTCCGTGGTTTTTTTAGTGGCCTTCTTCTTCTTCTTTCCGGTGAACTGCAGCTCCTCATCGTCGCCTGCCCCGGGCGTGTCGGGCAGCGGGTCTTCCTCCTTGGGCTCCTCGTCCTTCTTGTCGCCGTCGCGATCACCCAGCGCCTTCTCCAGATTGAACGGCTTCTTCTTCTTCTTTTTCGTCAGTTCCAAATTCTGCAAGCCATTAATCTGCGAATTATTTATTTCACATTTAATCAGCGCTCAGCGTGAAACTGCACGAATCCGAAAAGTAACAGCCTGCTCGAGAACCAACAGCTTCGCTGTTGAAAAACAACTTACCATGTTTTCATCAGCCATGATTGCGAAATGTAAGAGAAATCGAACACGGAAAGAAAACAAACCTAGAAAGTTCAACAACGGATGTTCAGCAATTTACGCTGCTAAACCCTTTCAATCAAAAGTAGATGAAATGTAAAAATAGTTTTCAAATCGCTTTCCTGATCGAACCGACGCAAAATAAACGCTGTCGTCGCGGCGCACTCTGATAGATTTCATCAGCCGTAGGGAAATCACACTGCAATGGCTTCCATTTCCAGAAACTGCAATGGATTTGCCAGCTGGCAGAGCAAAATCGTTAACTGTAAATTTGTTCGATTCCATTTCCAGGCTGCGGTGGAATAAGCAAGAGCAACAGTTACCAACGCACCGTGGCGGTTGCACTGCTAAGTGGTGCGTAGCGTGCAACCCCCCGGAAATTTTGACTGTATCTGTTTCGTTCGTGCAGGTTTCTCTATTTCAGTTTGTTTTTAAAACCAAAAACGGGAAAACTGGCCATTTTTTGGCGTTAGCTTGTTTTGGTTTTGAACTTTTGGCAAAATGTGTTGTGTATGATTTTCCCGTTGGGTAAAAATGTGGAGCTGCACCAGGCATCGATATGTTGGGGAAATCGTTCGTGCATTGCGTTGGGAATCCACTGCAGCTGCTCCTGCCGCGATCAGCTTGACGAACGATGCATCGCCAGCGCATCGCGATCCTTCTGCTCTTCTACAGGTTTGAATTTGCTATGAAATTACTCCTCTCTTATGTCTCTGAGTGGGCGCATTTCATGCAGACTCTCCGGGAGATTGTGCAACACAAGAAGGATTATCCCTTCTTGGCGCTGAGGAAGAAACCACGCAAGACCATCGTCATCGACTTCAGGTTAACAGAGGATTCCTCAATTAATTTTTGCACTCCTGCTCGATTCTGCGACGATTATCTTCGCATCCGAGACCTAATGTTTATTTTTTTCTATTTTTAAAACATTACAATATTGTACGGTTTATTCGTAGCAAATTTTTTAAAACTGTTTTAAAGATCTTGAAATGTTTTTTTTTTAAAAATGTTTCAAATTCAATAAAATCTTGTACAATTTTATTAAGATTGTTTTATTTTTATGCAGATAATTTTATTTTAAATTATTATAATGTATTTATGAAGATATTATCTAGTTTGTTAATAGCCGTCTTTATTAAAAAATTTTGAAGATTATACGGTTTTAATTTTTTTAAAATTGATTACTTAATATCTTGATTTAAATATTATGCAGCTTATTAGCAAGATGGTTGATCCTCCTGAGAGTAGCCCCGTTGGTGTGTTGCAGTTCCCCGAACATAGCCAAACCGTTCCACGCGGGCCACCTGCGCTCGACGGTCCTGGGCAACTTCATCGCCAACCTGCACAACCGCAGCGGCCATCGCGTCCACCGCGTCAACTACCTGGGCGACTGGGGCACGCAGTGCGGTACGTCAGACCAACCGCCCACGGGCCGCACTGGCATTAAACATTTGGCTGTTGCAGGCATCGTGCTGGCCGCGCTGGAGGCGTTCGGCTCGGAGGAACAACTGCAGACTTCGCCTCTCCAACACCTCCTGGAGGTACGCAGTAAAATCAGATTTGATACTGCAGCGCTGAAACTCTGGATTTTATTGCTAGTTGTACGTGAAAGGTTCGGAGTTGGACAAGAACGACGCGGAGTTTAATCAGCGGGCGCGCAGCATCTTCGCCGCCATGGAAGCAGGTACAGCACGTCACCGGCGTCGAGGGGCGGTTATTAAAATTAATAACAGTTCTGCAGGTGATGTGTCGCTGTCCCAGCAGTGGTCTACTGTGCGGGATCTCAGTCTGCGCCAATACGACGCGCTCTACAAGGTAAGCCGCGTTCTTACGAATTAGCCAGTATAAAACTGCATTAAAAATGCGATGTAATATTGAATTAAAAAATCGCGTTAAAATGATAGTAAAAAATGGAAGTAAAATGCCGGTTTCTGTATTTTTGATTGCAGCGAATAGGCGTGGAGTTTGACGAGACGAGCGGGGAGTCGTTGTACGCCCACGCGGCGCGTGAGGCGGCCCGTCACTTGACCGACGCACTGCAGGTGCGTGTAACGTCAGTAATGTTTCTTCTGATTTTCTCAGTATATTTTACTGTTTCAGGCCGAAGCGCCGGCGGATGAGGTGGCCGGAGAGTTCGGTCAGCGCCTGCTGAAAACGGATGGATCCAGTTTGTATTTGTCGCGGTAAGACGGTCACTAAGACCCACCGGAAGCTGTTTTGGTGCGTGACGTTTGCATTGGATTTTTTTGTCAGGGATTTGGCCGCGCTGCTGGATCGTGCCCGTCGTCTGAACTTTGACGAGATGCTGTACGTCGTGGAGAACGCGCAGACGGAGCATTTCCAGGCGCTCTTCCAGGCGGCGCAGTATTTTCCCGAATTAAAAAATCGGTAAAAAATTGAATAACAAATAATTTCGTTAAAAAATGAATAAAAAGCCGGTATAGAAGTCAGAGAAAATCCGTGAAAATTGAATTATAAAGCCATTAAAAAAATTTATTAAAAAAGCGGTAAAAAACTGAAGACATAAAAAAAAACCGGATACAAAAAAAGCCGGTAAAAAATTAAAAGAAAAAATGAGAAGAAAATGAATTAAAATGCCGGTAATTTTTTAAATTATGCGAGAATTCGCAACGTGACTAGTGACGAATGTTTGGCTTGCAGGACGCTGCAGCACGTCAAATTCGGTCGGATTCGCGGGCTGAGCACCCGCAAGGGCCAGGTGGTGCTGCTGTCCGATCTGCTGGATGAGTTGCAGCAGAGCATGAAGGAACGGATGGGCGGAAGCAAGAGTAAGCGAAAATTGGACTTTTTATGCCAGCGCGGAGTGTGTTGGACCGGTTGGCGTTTGTAGCGACGAAAGTGCCGGCGGCGGAAGTGGACGCGGTGGCGGAGGCGCTGGCCTTGTCCCTCATTATCGTCAACGATTTCCAGCAGAGCCGGACGCATGACTACGACAACGCGCGCGGCAAACTGCAGCAGGTGGAGGGCGACACGGGGCTGTTTTTGCAATACTGCCACGCACGCATCTGCAGGTTAGTGTTTTATTTTATTAATTTTTGTATTAGATTTTCTTGTATTTTCTGTTTTTGTATTATGTTCTATATTTTCTGTATTTTATTTAATCGATATTTAATGTTGTCGTTTTGTTATATTTTTTCGTATCGTTTCTCTTTATTTTCTTTTCTGTTATATTTTGTAATTTTTGTTTTGTTAGTTTGGAGCGAAGCGCCGGCGTGAATGTGAATGAGAACTGCGATGTGGAGTGTTTACGGGAGGAGGAAGCGTTGGCCGTGCTGCAGCAGTTGGCGGCGGTGCAGAGCTGCGTGGAGCGGGCCGGCACGCAGCTGGAGCCGGTGCACATTGTCCGTTATCTCTTCCAGACGGCGTAAGTGTCTACGTTCCACAGCCAGCCTTTTCATACATTTTTTATCGTATTTTTAATTCAGTTTCTTACCGGCCTTTTTTTTATTCGGTTTTTACCGACTTTTTGATTTACATATGTACGTTGTGCCGGAAATTTTTATTCAATTTTTTGCCGAATTTCTAGTTCAGATTTTTACCGGTTTTTAGTTCAATTTTTTACCGGTTTTTAGTTTAATTTTTTACCGGTTTCTTGTTCAATTTTGTACCGGTTTTTAGTTCAGTGTTCACCGGTTTTTAGTTCAAGTTTTTACCGGTTTTTTAGTTCGGTTTTTTACCGGTTTCTTGTTCAATTTTTTACCGGTTTTTTAATTCAAATTTTTACCGGTTTTTCTGTTCTGTTTTTTACGAATAACTTTTACCGGATTTTCTAAAGTCATGAATCGCTTATTTTGTAGGCATCTCAGTAACCGCGCCATGCGGATTTTGCGCGTGAAAAACCAGCCGAAGGATGTCGCGGAGGTGAGCCAGAAAGTGAATTATTTCCATTTGATTAAAACGACGCTAAAACATAGATTTTAATTTTCAGGCGCGTTTGCTGCTGTTCCACGGCGTCCGGCTGGTAATGGCCGCCCTGATGGAGGTGCTGGGCCTGCGACCACTGCAGCAAATGTGATTAAATTTTTTTGCTCTTTTCGTACACGACTGCCGGTCGTGGGCGGTTGTACTGGTGACTGTGATCTATTTTGTGCCGGCATTTTTCTTCTGTTTTTCAAGCGTGTTAATGAAAAAGCGAGCTGCTAATTAGCGGCGTCAGCACGTCGTGCTCACTTGACAAATTATTCATATTTTAACAACAACAACAGAACCGGATTGCGACAAACACGCTGGTGCAACAGGATAGTTTCCGCCTGCAGTTGTTTTTGTCGCGCGGGTTTTTTCAACAATTCCCATAAAAAAATCCGCTAGCGGCAAAAATTACAAAAAAGCATGGCGCATTGCGTGAGACGCTTTGTGCACGTGCGGATATTCAACCGGCATTTTTTTCCAGCTGGCCTTGTTGATTTTAGTTTCGGTGTGAATTAACCGAAATTAATTTTTATATTTTTGGTGCGTACAGAATACTACTACAGATACAGCTGCGATTAATCATGGATTTTATAAGAAAAATGTTTGTGCTGTGTTTAATCGTCAATTATTCCCGCGTTGCCTCCGCTGGGCGGGAGCCGATTCGTTGTCAGACGGTGATCATCGGGACGGGCATCGCCGGCGCCTACGCCGCGTATAAACTCGCCCCGACCTTAAAATCGGACCTGTGCGTCATCGAACGCCACGCCTACGACGGCGGCCGCATCATCGACGTCAGCGAGGCCCCCGGCGGTCCGCGCTGGGGCATCGGCGCCATCCGCGTGATGGCCGAGCACGTCAACATGCGCTACTTAGCCGGCCTCTTCAACATCACCCTCCAACCGGGCATGGGCACCGAGTACGTGCACACCGCCGGCCGCGACTACTTCCGCAGCGTCGACGGCAGCACCCGCGGGCGGGCGGCCGGCTGCATGACCACCCGACTCTCCAACGCCTGCTGGACCGACGCCCAGATCGTCCAGGCCATCGTGCGGCACACCCGCGCCCACCCGGAGGAGGTCGACCGCTTCCCGGACTTCCGGGACCTCGTGCGGGCGCTGGTGGGGACCGAGGGCCTGGCGTTCCTCCAGGGCTTCACGCGTTTCAACACCTTCTTCGCGCAATCCCACTCCCCGGCGTCCATGCTGGACTTCCTGGAGTGGGAGTACGGGTGGAAAGACCAGCGCATCTTCTACACGGTCGGCGGGATGGCGACCTTCGTCCAGCGGCTGATGGACGCCGTCAGGAGCACCTCCGCCCGGGTGTTCCACAACCAGACCATCGTCCAGATGGACGCTGACGTCTCCTTCACCCTCCGGAGCCCCACCCACACCTTCCTCGCCGACGAGGTCATCGCCAGCATCGACCCGTTCAATTTGAAGCAGGTGCGGGGCAACGTCGCGGCGGCCCTGGTCCGGAGCCGGGAGTTCCAGTCCCTCCTGCCGCACGTCGTCAGCACCGTGACGGCGTGGTGGCCGGCACGCTGGTGGGAGCGGGTCCCGATCAACGGCACCGCCGGGCGGTTGACGCGGTACATCAACCACGAGTTGTGTTTAAACTCCATGGACATTCCGGTGTTCCCGTACGGGATCGCGCAGAACGTGTCGCGGGTGGTATATGACGACGGGCAGTGTCTGCCGTTGTGGCGGAAGCTGATCACCAACAGGACGACGCCGGACGCGCAGGATATCCATCTGCATGAGACGCGGAATATGTCGGATCCGCTGGTCACCGCCGTGATGAAGTATCTGCGCGCGGCGTTCCCGGGCGTCAAGATCCCGCTGCCCAGGAAGATGCTAGGTAACAGCTGACTTCCGGTCACTTTATTAAAGCAGACAGCGACGTTGCACAACGCTGCAGACGTCCCATTTGAATGGGTCGTCTGTTCTTGCAATAATAATAATAATACTCGGTTGTATATATACGCGCGCGGTTTATGTAGGTATGCTGCGGGAGAACGCGTGGCACTACCAGCGCGCCGGCTCGCCCTTCAACGATCTGGACATCCGGCGGTGGTCGCGGGCGCCGCTGCCCGGTAGGAAGCTGGCGTTGGTGGGCGAGGCCTACAACAGCCGGCACGCCATGTGGAGCGAGGGCGCGCTCAAGACGGTCATGGCCGTGCTAGCCTTCCAATACGGCATGTCGTACCCCTGCGTCGACGCCGCCGGCCAGCCCGAATACAAAACCGATTTCGCCAAGTGCACGCCGGCCACGGCGCGCAACCGGACGTAAATTTGTTAGATAAATTGTTGCCGAAACTTTGTTATTTATTTATGGAAGCATATTACATGCTTTCGCTGCAGTGTATATATATGATTTTGTATAAGAAACACGCAGTCGTATAATCAGCCGCACCGGCGCGCGGCTACGTGAACAACGGTCGCGTTAAAACATTTTTTATTCGAACATCACTGTGCCGATTTTTTGTGTGTATTTTATTTGAAAATAAAGGGGAAAAGCATCGAAGCGTGTAACAAAAATAAAAATTCACCCAGAAAACGAATGTTAAATTGTGTTAATAGGGAAGGATACAATTTAGTAATGTTTTTTCTTGCCACCGTTGGGGGAACGCGGCGCCGCCGGACTCCCGGTGCTCTTGGTGTTGGTGGCCTCGTCGACCTTTTTCGGCGCCGGAGGGGGCGACGCGACCTTCTTCGGCGGCGGCGGGGAGGCCTTCTTCTTGGCCTCCTCGTACTTCCCTTTATTCGGGACCTTCGCCGGGCCCACCGCGCCCTCGTGCAGCACCGACAGCGTGATGCACAGCTGCGCCAGGTAGTACGTCCCCATGACGATGGCGTCGGCGTGCGGGAAGTCGCGGACGAAGGTCCACCAGGCCAGCGTGCAGTCGGAGACGACAAAGCTCAACGCCCCGACACTCCCCACCAGCAGCCACACCGCGTCGGCGTTGCGCCCCCGCCCCGCCTTCCGCGCCGCGTGGTACTTGGCGAAGGCGCGCCAGATCATGCCGGTGATGAGGAGGAGGTAGCCCAGCACGGCGCTGACGAAGACCGGCTCCTTGTGGGCCTTGAGCGCCGGGTAGAGGAGGTAGTAGTAGGAGGCGCCGACGCCGAGCAGCGGCAGCAGGATGAAGATGTTCAGCGGCCGGAAGCCGAAGGCGACGGTGAAGAGGAACTGGGAGGCGGCGAAGGCGGCCATGCCGTGCAGGAAGTAGCCGGCGGCCTTCAGCTGGATGAAGACGTCCCCGAGGGCGCTGAGGCACAGCGCCAGGAAGATGAAGAGCGCGGTCTGGCGGCGCTGCGGGAGACGGACGCCGCGCACCCAGGTGAAGACGGCCAGGGAGACGATGGGCGCCGCTTTGATGACGCAGGCTAGGACCGAGTTCTCGGTGTGCTCGCGGGCGAACTGCACGAAGACGAGGATGCTGACGGCGAAGGGCAGCAGCCACTTGAAATCCGTGTAGTTCTGCGACACCGTCTGCAACCCACAAAAAAATAATTATACTTGCATATATTTCAGTTAGTTGCATTTATATTAATTATGTACGCTCGATTATGACCCTTATAAAAATAAATAAATACGGCAGATATATACATATGATACAAATACAGCAAATGTACATGCTAACTATTACATAAATGATAATTTTTATATGCGAGTAAAGATTACTTGTACAGTGTATGTAGTATATACAGTAGCTATAAAATATATGCGTATGTATACTGCAGCTTACAGTCTCCCACGAAGCATATAGATATACTGTACATATTTATATAATAGTATTATACAATATCTATCTGTATGTACTGTAATTATGTACATTGTGGGAATGTTAAATTTGGCGTAAAAAAATACTGATATCTATGTGCGTGTTACGTACCGCCAGGGTTCGCTTGCTGATTCCCAGCATGATGCTGCCGTGGACAATATTAAATTGTGCAGTCGAAAAAAAGAGGAACGCAGTGCAGCGGATGCAGCTGCGGAGCAGATTACTCGCAGGGAAATGAGTCCGCGGGATGAGGAAGGTCGCTGTAGCGGATAGCGTTAGTTAAGGCTGCCAGTGCCAACTGCCAAGCGGCGTAATTATCAGCTGTGCGTGGCGCTACAGCTGTGGATAATCATAATAATGATTATTGTTGTGATAAGGATAGAATTAGGGGATTTCCGATAGCGCGCACGCGTCCGCTGTGCAGGACTACTTATATGTATGCAATTTTATCAAACGCTTGCAAAGATGATACGACCGACGACGTCACTTCCAGCCAGCGGTGAATGATGAATGCTACAGAAGACATATGATGTGGATATTATAACGACTGGATAGCGGAGACAACTACAGTAACCATCAAGACATAACAGTCATATAATATTTTCTGGAGTGCGCATGCGCTGCTTTCAACAGATAAGCGCGTTGGCGGTGGACCAGTAACAGTTGTCAGTGTTGGCTATTTCCTACGTGCACCGTATGAGTATATAATAATATGAGCGTGTGGAAATTAATTTTCTTCACCTGCCGAATAGCGACTGTAGAATCTATATTATACGAGGCAGATATCAATGTACAGCGTAATGTACTTTGCCGCAGTACAGTCCAGTGAATCGATCGAGCCACAGCGTTCCATGATAGGCAAGTGTTGTGACTCTGGTGGTGCACACTGTACAGTGTATCTGTACAGTGTACACTGTACACCACATAAATGCGTGTTCTCCACAGTCAGTTGTAACACTCACCCGGCGTGCTGCGTGTACGTACACTGACAAGCGTATGGGCCAGTGGCGGCGCGCGCGGCCTGGGAATCTGCCGTCGCCCGTATAGATTGTACGTGTCAACAAGCGGAGCGCATGTGGCAGCCTGCCAACCGCCCCAACGGAAGGAACAACCGCTTGCACCGGCTGTGCGATGCGCTGCTCCGACGAGAGGCACGCCGCCGGGCAGTGCTACGTCGCTGGACAGCGCACTGGATAGCAGGATACTGCTTATAGACATTTGTATTAATAATCTATGTTATGTACTACTGCACACTAGATCTCCACACCGGAAATGATCGTATAATATTATGTCACTATCACCCTGTACATGGAAAAGTGCATGCGTCGACGCTTCTCGCATTGCGGACACTTTCGCGATAATATGAATTCGTATACCGGACCGTAATCTCCAATACAAGCTTGTATAAAAACACTACCCGAGTAGGGTAATGGATTGGATTCAGAGGGACGCAGGAATCCGGGTATTGCGACACGCGACACGCCCCCTTTCTAGTGGTCTCTCTGTTACAGTTACATGTGTGTGTGAATCGGTATAAATTGGGAAATGTTAAGCGCTAACGTGTGTCACTTGCTGCGTAAAAAAAATTTCAGCATAAAAGTTGTTTTACTGTATACTTTTGTAACGTTGTGTGGTGACCCATGACCTTTAGCCTTTTGACGCCATCGTGATACCGTATGTTGACAGCAGCTTGCAGATGCCTTTGATGCATAAATCGCATGGATTTAACCATGTCTGCGTTTGTTAAAGCATGTGTCGGGTGTGTATGTGCTGATTGCGTTCAACCAGTTAGTAAGAAGAAGTTGGATCGCATGAACCGTCAACACGTCAACCGTCCCATTTGTGATGTGGAAAGAAAGCATGCCCGTAACCCGAAGATGGAAAGGAAATCGGCCTTGGACCACTACTTGTTGCCACCTACTCTGCATCAGCCGCTCAACCTTGCGGACTTGATTCCATGGCCTAAGCCTACTTGGCGGAATTCCGTCAAAGCTCCGAGCCAGGACATCGCAGTTGCCGAGCCCGTTATGGAGTTTTCGTCCACGGTCCATAAATGTTCCTTAACAGTGGAAGATGCCACCAAATTACCGCCGTACGGACTTTTCCGGGATTTCCTACGCAAACCTTGCTGAAGAGATCGCCGCGCTGTTTCTTACTTCGAAACGCCGGTAACCTTTGCTCACTTTAATCACGACCTTTATGGTGTTTCCGGAGAATTACTTCTGTCTGCCTCCTACCTAAATAAAAAATTTTCCTTTGACCCGGATTCTTCGTCTTCGCTTAATTGTCTTCTGCTGCCATTGAATTCTTACCGCTTTTGCTGCCGTGACCTGTCTGCCTTTCACATTCCGGATCTTCAACCCGTTTGTTGTATTGTGCAACTTTTACGTGGCATAGATTACTTCTTTACTCCCGGAACCGTGCTGCTTGCGGTTGACCTGTGGAATTCCCAGATCTACCGAAAAGTTTTGCTTATCGTTTTCTATTAACAGTAGGACGCAGTAAGAATTCCGTTGCTTCCTTTTTTGTGTGCACGCTTCTCCGATTGTGTGTGTACGTTCCCATGTACCGCACTGCACGGTGTGAATTCCACCAAAGCAGCGCTTTACCTTCCAGTAGTGCGTCGTTGTATTACTTCGTCTTATATGGTATCGTTTTCGTGGTTGCCATTAATTTTATTTTATTGTCGTCGTAGGATGCGACAGGAATTCCGTCGCTACCTGCTTGTGTACGTGATTCATCGATTGCGGACATCTATTTTGTGAGCCGTGCTGTACTTGACGTGATTTCCGTCGGAACAGCATTTTAACTTATTAGCAGCATCCCAATCCAGGAATCAGGCGTGAGTTTAGCTAGGTCTGTGGGAAACCCCAGACCAACTAAAAGCGTTCGTCTGTGTTGCTTATTGCCGCCGGACGCGACAGGACTTCCTTGCAACCGGCTTTATTATATTTTTCGTGCAAATGTACTTCGCTCGGTGGATTCCGCCCTAAGCTGTACTGATTTGCGTTTTATGTGGAGCACTTGATTTACAAATATTTTCGAGATTTGCGGAATTCCGCACCTCACTTATCGTTCTGACATAGCTGCATCATCGTTGCGACTGATTCTATCAACTAGCATCCTCATAACGCTTTATCGGATCTTCTTCCGCCGTCTCTTTGTGTTTTGTTTTGGCTTTTTGGGCTTGGGGCCGTTTCCGGCCATGTTCGGCATAACTGCCCAAAGGAAGTAAATTCCGAGCCCACCTTTGGTGTTCTCGCGTGGCGTGTAGGAGCAATGGATTGGATTCAGAGGGACGCAGGAATCCGGGTATTGCGACACGCGACACGCCCCCTTTCTAGTGGTCTCTCTGTTACAGTTACATGTGTGTGTGAATCGGTATAAATTGGGAAATGTTAAGCGCTAACGTGTGTCACTTGCTGCGTAAAAAAATTTTTTTTCTGTTTTTGTTGTCTTGTGATGGCTTGGGGCCGTTTCCGGCCATGTTCGGCATAACTGCCCAAAGGAAGTAAATTCCGAGCCCACCTTTGGTGTTCTCGCGTGGCGTGTAGGAGCAATTATATATATCGCGTAATCAGTTTTTGAAAGTTTCTGTCATGGCCCAACGCGGAGAATACCGTGCTCGGCTGTTCGGGTGCGAATTCCTACCGTGCAGACGTCTGGAATACGAAAGGCCTGAGTATACCAAACAATCCGCTTTTTGTGTACGAAACACGTTTTTTTATAACAATGTCATTCGTCGATCTGCAGCCGAATGATTTGTATCCGGTTGGGGAAGAGTACAACGCAAAAGCAGTGGCAAATTTTTACTGTATAAAATTCACATACTTAATTATGATGTGCCACAAAACGGTTTTTAACCGCATTGGCAGACAAAGCCAGGTATTGCTTCGCATAATTAAACGAACATTAGCAGACACTAATACTAAGGTAAGGGAATAATCCCGGTCTCGTCTACGACCCGGGTCCTGGACATTAGCTCCGCGTGGACACAAACACGGCATCACATTCTACCGGCATCATCCTTTGTTTCCACGAGCAAGCGTGAACAGTGAACACTCTCAGCTGCGGACTTTGCCGCCGTATCGCTGCAGCCAGCCTGCGTTGTGCGCTAAATCTTCTCGTTATCGAGAAAGGTCATGCCGTGAGCGGGCCATCATCACATGTCCAGACGGGTCCGACTGGACTGGCCGGATCCCATGTGCACCGCCATCTGCAAAAGCGCCAACCGGTTACATAAATATTTATTATGATATGTGTCGCATCTATTAGTAATACTTATCTTAGTAATTGCGATATTTATATTTATTAATTCAGTAATATTTATAAGTAATTCCGATCGTCGCTGGCTATTGTCAGCAAAGCACCACAATGGCAGGCAACTTCTATGCCGCTATGCAAAAGGTCATGTGTATACACTGGACATATCGGAAAATAATTTTTTTATTTTATACCTATTCTACTATTTATTATGTTATTATTTATTCAACCGCAAGCCGAGTGGTCGGGACTATGCATTCATAGTTACGTTAGGAGTTGTCCGTGGTCACTTGCCTGCCGCGGCGTTCCCATATGTACGTCGAGGCCGCTGGGCACGGAGCAGGACATGCGCCGCCGTCGCCACCGGCTGTCCTCTCCCGACCCCGTCGACAGCGTCGACACGGCCAGCCGTTTCCGACCCATCGGCTGGGAATTCATCCGGATGGGTGGGTGCTGCGGCGCCACCCGCGGCGGGTGGTACACCGCGTGCCGGAAGCTGACGCTGCGGGTCCGCGCACTCCCGTCGGCGGCCGCCGGGGCGCGGGTGTTCTGCAGACTGCGGAAGCTGCCGCTCGGCACCCGGGGCGGGAGGGTCAGGCGGCTGCGGTGCAGGCTGCAGGGGGAGGAGCGCAGACTGGCTGACTGCTGATCCCAGCTGGTCTCCAGGCTGAGGCTGTAGGAGGGCAGGAAGGGGTCGGAGGGCGCGTGCCGTTCCAGGCTATCGAGTGGCCGGAGACAGGAGCATAATTCCGACAGGGTGCTGCAGCAGCTGCGCCGGAAACGCGGCGCCAGCATGTAGATGGCCGGGTTCAGCGCCGAGTTGAGGAAGCCGCAGCCGTTGATCAGCAGCATCGTGAAGTACTGCCGGGACACCACAATATTATTGTTTTCATCGTTGCTTATCGGAGCATTTTGCTTCAACGCTTACAAAGTGTCCTTCGGTAAAGAAGTTGGTGCCGAACTGCGTGATGATCGTCACCATGAAATAGGGTGACCAGCACACTAAAAAGAAACCCAGAAAGGTCACCGCGGTGATTGACAACTGGATGTTCTGGGCTTACGGAGAAAGGTGACGTTGACGATGAGCATCATGACCGCCACCTTGCGGCGGTTGGAGGCCTGGTACTGCAGCGCCTGCACGCTGCGCCCCGAGCGGGAGGCCGTGCGGACGGGTTGCCGGCACGGGCGAGGCGTCTCCACCGTCGCGGCTTCTTCCTGCAGCAGGGCCTTGGTGGACTCCTTGAGGGACAGGGCCTGCCGCACGCGCCACGACGCGTAGGAGATGGTCAGGGACGGCAGGAGCCATAGCGTCACCGCCAGGAAGCAAAAATATCCCTGCGCCAAAATTGAAGGCAAATTATTTTTGTTTAATTTTTTCTTGGATTTTAAATTAAGCTTTTTATCTGTTTGCTTTGTAATAATTTATTGTACAAATATTTATCAGTAATACGTACAGTATATTTCCTTACCTTGCGGAAGTGGGGATTAACGGCGTCGTAGCCGTCGGAGCAGCCGGCGCGGTCCAGCCGGCCCCAGTCGCTGTGCAGCTGCAGCTGGTAGTCCTGCGCCGGGATCAGATTGGGCAGACTGAAGAGCAGCGCGCTCAACCACGAGCAGCACAGGAAGACGCGCGTGCGCCGGCTCTTCTTAAAACGCCGCAGCCGCAGCGGATGCACGATCACCAGGTACCTGTACATATATGCACGCTGCTGATTATACAGTCGTCAACGGTGACCTTTAATTATAATGCTATAATATGCGTGCGTCGCTAATACAAGTTTAATATTATATACGCGTATATGTAGATTGTCGTCGGTGACCTTTAATTTATAGCGCTATAAGATGCGTGTATCGCTAGACGGCGCATAACAAGGAAACTCGATGAGAACTACGTCAGATTTCGCGGAGAGATCGGTGGATAGCCGGGTGTTATTCGATTATTCGAGTAGATTATGTCGATGTGCATGGCATGATAATCAGCCGGCATGCCGGCAATTAGTGAGGGCAGCCGTACATGCCTTCCGCCTACTCTCCCCGGCCGCTAATTGCCGCTTCTCACCAGCGCGCTGGCCGGCTTTACTGTCGACGCGCGGGACGCTAGAAACGGGGCGAGGAAAACAAGGGGAGTTCGCGGAAGAAGAAACTTTCCAACGGGGCATGCAGTGGGACGGAATCAACAGCGGAGAGCGGTGTCGGCGCGGATACCTTCTAACCGCCCCCATCCGCGCATTACGTACGCCGCACACGTGCTGGCTATTACGCAATGGATGCGCTGCCACACGGATCCGCGTCAGCTGGCCCGGGCCGGTGTAATTGCAATTAACGGGGCTGACGCGGATGCGGCGTTGTCGGTGTGCAGTGAGCCGGGATTGACGGTGTTGTGATTTTCTTTGCCTGAACATAACGGCGCACTATATCAGGCTGGATGGAGAGGTGCACGTGCGGAAACAGCCTGATTGAGCATTTCTCGTTGAAGCGTTAAGTAATTGCAAAACACCTATTCTTGCCGGTAAAATTAGACGCTCCTGTCCTGCGCCGGTACGGCGGGTTTTTCCCGCAACGGTCAGAAGAGAATACCGTCATGAACGCACAGTTATTTTAAGCGAGCCAGGGAAAGGGACAGGGAAAGGGGCGCGTTGGGCACCGGCATTAAGTAGTAAAAAGAGAAGAATGTTTGCGACGCGCTACAGCTCTGTTGCAGCGGCCGTGTACGCCACGTACCTCTCGGTGGCGACCAGCAGGAGCGTCATGATGGTGGAGAAGATGGTCATGGACTGCGTGAACTGCAGGCACGTGCACAGCACCGGTCCGAAGATCCTGCAATATTCGTACTCTGTATATGTATCTACGAGTATATTCGCTCATTCTGCCCGTATTATATAACACCATACGTCGGTAAGCGTCAGGTGTATACTGCAGATACAAGTATCATATTTCTGCTAAACACTGCGTGCGCTGAAACACTCGTGATATCGCAGTAACCACGGTGCGACTAAAGGTCATCGAAAGACGCCCAGTGTACATGTCAGGCGATAATTCTACCCGTCTTCCGCTATCCGAGCCGGCAATACGACCCGTCCGTTTCGGCTTTCCGCTCACGTATCATGTACATGCACTGTCTTATTACTAATTAGTGCCGTGCGACGGCCATCGGACACTCGGCTCGACCACTATTGCGCAATGCTGCGATGTTGCATCATCCGGCGGACTTACTGTAGGCGCGACGGGGCCGTCAGTTCCAGCAGTTTGGCCGGCGCCACGAAGGCTCCCACCAGCAGATCCGACACTGCAACAAATACAGAAAAATGACAAATTAACGCAATTCGCGAACTGTGGGGATCGGCGTCGGCTTCGCTCTAATTAAGTGGATGCGCAGCCGGCGCTCGGCGTTGACAGTAATTGATTAGTGTCAACAACGTATTGCCCCGGCCGCGTGTAGCGAGTGTGCGCCGGATATCCGGTCTCGCCAATGTTATTGGCGGGATAACTAAGCAGGCTAGGAAGAAAGGAAAGTGCCGCAAACTGGCGCTCCACGCACGCAACTCTCACCGGACGCCAGTATCTCCGTCCGCGCCGCAATGCGCATTTTGAATGTTCACTCGATTCGGGCCAGCTGATTGTGCGCCGGTAAAGGGAGCGTACTGACGCGATCGCGTATTGTACTGGCGCGCAACTGACCGGTGACATCGCAACTATTCTTATCCGCTGACACAAAGATACAAACAGTGAAATGCACAACTACGGTGGCATGCAAGGGACTCAACGGCATTGTGCAATGCCAGTATCATTACACAGAAAATGCGCAACGGGACACTGTCGTTGTTCTCTTCCTGGCGAGACACGTTACCGGCATTAGACAAATTTCCTTTATGTAAACCATCATTGTTATGATGAGCATATTATTTCATAGTCCAGTCCTAACTGACGTATGAGATTTATTAGGAAGAAGATAATTATATACAACTATTATTTTTATTCTGATATAGTCTGATTCTGATATATTCCATTAGTATTAAAACCTTATTATTAAAACAGTATGGGAAAAATTTAAATTATTCTTTTATCCGACGCAGTTATTTTTTTACATGATTATTAAATTTACAGAAATCAAATTTTAGGACTTCTTATTCTTATTACTGTGGTACAATAAAGCAGTTATTACCGGCGAGATTGCAGGTGAGGAAGTTGAGGGAATTATGGAAGTGCTTCTGCCTCGTGACGGTCAGCAGGACCAGTCCGTTGCCGGTGACGGCGGCGACGATGAGGAGCAGATAGGCGACGATGCAGGCCAGCCGCACCTGCTCAATCTGCGACAGATCCGGGTAGTACATGGAACTGGCCAGCGCCGCATCCGTGCTAAAGCCGCTCGCGCTCTGATTGGTCAGCCGCGCCGCGTCACTCAGTACGGCTATAGCGCTGTCGTTGGCACCGGTCACCATCGCTGACCACAGCCACCGACCAATCAGCGATCAGGCTGTTTAATAATCACAATAATTCACCACCGCCACCGCCCAATCAGAAACCAGCGGATAGTTTGTTATCAGAATAATTCGCCGGGCTGCAGCGCCGCGTTGCGCAGAATAAAAAATAAATAAACAGCATCGTTTGCACGGTACATAGTGCAATTAGAGTGGAGAGGCTGGGTGATGCGGGAATGCAGAGAGCGTGAGAATAAGCACTTCCCAGCGGATGGATATCGCATCAACATACTAACAGCGCCGCTCTCCATCGCAATCTAATCAGCGAGCACGTACGGGTGCGTGTGGCGCGGCCAGATGGCAAGAAATCGCAGCTACACCGTACAATTGTCTCCCGCGATGCTGCCACAACGGATGCCGGTCGGGCTGTCTAAGGTTTCGCCCCGTGATCGTCTACACTGTACACTGATTGGGCCACTATACTAGTAATACCATCGCTGCGATCCCCGGGATAGATATATACTGGTTATACTGGCAGCGCCGAGAGCGGTGTATGATTATCGCCCGGCTGCCTGCTCCCGTCGACACCGGCTAAGCTGCACACTTTCCCGCACGGCCGCACTCGGTAGGGTTATGCCGGTGTCCACACCCGGCATTTGCATTCACTGCCGGTATCCAGTCACCCGGCAACTGACGTACCTCGCCGGAACGCCCGCCCCGCCGTCCCACTGATCACGGCTAATTACCTTGCATAATACACCGGGGACATCCCTCTCAACAGAAAGAACCAGCAGCGCATTGTCTGCAATGTATACATGTTGTACTTTTGTATGCCGGATTAGCAGGAACGACGCTTCAATGACCCACGTGCCGGAAAACAATATTTGGCGTAGTCGTTGACGGCATGTATACGCGGATCGGTACATATACCGATGCACTATATACATTGACATGACATAACTTCATCTATCTGTACCTACAAATCGACATACGGTACATAAGTTGACGACATAAATAATTAAATACGTGGAGCGCGGTTATTAATAACACGTTTTTGGCTGCCATCAAAGGCTCGCTTCAAACACAGCGCTCGGAAACGGAAATTAACTGTCTAACGTAGTGTATGTTTCACGAACAGCCTTCAGCTGACAATTCTAAAACAACTTCCGGCGCATATATGAAGCGTTTGTTTCAAAAACTCACATTTTTCTCCCTATTATCGTGATAAAATAGCTTTCTCCGAAACGTTTCTATTAGAAAAATGAAGAATAAGTTACGAGAAAGTATTTCAATTTGTAATTCATCGATTCGGACCAGACGGATGCAAAATAAACTGGCGCCGTAGGAAGTAGCGTTCCTGCTAGGACAAGTATCATCCCGCGCAGTTGAACTCGCACTTGTGCGTTGTTTAAAGCGGTTCGTGTTGTGTCAACGCCCAACACAGCCGCCGCTCCCGGCGTCGTCTAAGCGCAGCGCCGGCATATATGCAATGCCTCGACTGCTCCATCCGGCAATTATGTGGGCGGTTGGCGTTTCTGTCGAATGTGTGGATTTGCTGACCTTCTGTGGAATACGTCTACATCTGCAGCACGTGACCCGCTAAACGCCCCACTATGGTGCTGACAATGGGCACGTTGGCGGCTCCGTTGCTCTGTGACCTTTCAGTCCACCCTGATCATAACGTGCCTGCATGACGATGGTGATCAGTTATGGTGCAGCAGTAACGAATTTATTTTTAGACGGAACGCTTCCTTGCCGGGACCGGCATACGCGTGTACAGAGTACCGCGTGGGAGATCCCACGGACAATTACTTGTAATAGTCCGTTATCCAGTCGGCTGGATGAAGGTATCCCGGGAAGAACGAAGTTGCAAGTTGCACTATGATTATTATTACGACAATTGTCACCCTGCGTAACCAATTGCTATGTAGCGTACCGTCACGATTTGTCGATTTCACTTCAAAGGTTTCCTTTATTTACATTAAAATTGATTGATTCAACATCCTGCTGAAACCGGCATTGAGCTGGTTTACAGGTACTAGTACTGTACAGTATATAACCGAAAGCCAAAAACACAAGCAGTAATAAATTTAATTTCTGCAGGCGCACCAACTCATTGCTGATTGCAGTATAAATATTTCGGCGGTATAATCAGACTTTGAAAGCGTACTGCGTGCAGAGGATGGTCTCGTTGCGGTCGCCGAAGATGCGCAGCTGCATGGCCAAGGGAATGGGCACCTGCATTGTTAGCTTATAGTAATGTTATTACAGCGTTTTATACTATATACTATTTAAGTGTCATGACAGCTTACCGGGGGAACATCGGCCGGGACGGTTTTGTTGCCCCTGAGGGCGCTGAGTTTGCCGGGGACGAGGGGGCAGGCGATGAAGTCGCAGGCGTTGGGATCGTCGATAGGAAGAGGGATGACGTTCCCGCCCGCCAGCACCACCGCCACCATGTGCGCGCGCGACGACCGCACCTAGACCAACGACAAATAATCAATACACAGAAATGCAATATAAATGCATTGAAATATTAATTACTCGTCAGTCTTATGTTAAGTGCAATTTAATCATTCGCTCGAATAATCCAACTGCTTATTTATGCACAAGCACGTGCCGGCATAATTATAACTGTAGTGAAGGTGAGTGTTTAACTTACCGTGGAGACAAAGTCCACCTCGGTGACGATGTTGACGCCCCGCTTAAACTCGCAGGGCTCGACGTCGCACGGCGTCATCGACATCCCCACGATCCGCGCGCCCTGGGAACCTGTGCAGTAATTCCTGTACACCTTGTATTTTCCCACAAACCAAGTTTTCAGCGATACCCGCGTTCCTCAATTAATGGCGGTACTTATGTAATTACGTTATAATTACAGTGCACGTAAGCAAGAGTAGGATGGTGAATATTTGTCCCGTACCGCAGTCCTGGAAGGCGATCTGCTTCCCGGCCACCATCGCCATGACCAGTCCCAGCACGACAGCGAAATTTCCAAGCGCCGCCATTTTACAATTAATTTTTATCCGAATATTAGCAACTTTTTAATATCGTCAACCTTCTAAAAATGTCGGCACCGCTTTAAAACTGGCTGATTTAAATGTTTTCAGGAGACACGTACGACCGCAGGGAATAATATAGCGGATGTTTAATGCTTTATATAAGTCTCCCTTGACAGTGGTTATCAGGCCAAGCGGTATCGCTATCGGTGCAGCGGAATGGAATGCGGTGGTGTGAGCCATTATGCGGCCGCCGCTTATCGCAATCAGTTTTTGTGACCTTTCGCCTCCTGATAAGCCCACGCAAAGCCCGCACACATCCCAACAATTCCCTATTGTCTGTCATGAGTAATTTCTCGTGCAGCGTACAGATTCATTAATTCCAGGCTTCCAGCCAAGTCCATTGCTATTTTTGTAACTACAGTACTTACAGCAGCAATCTGGTTTCTTGTCAGCATTTTGTAAAGAAACCGTATTCCGAGCAATTTATATGCATAATAAATACAACAGTAAATTTTTTGTCATTCTTTTCTGTTCACTCATATGCTACTTCGGCGGAAATGAAAATTTAATTTCCGTGTAATTTCTTGTTACCTATACTCTGTAGTCTGTACATACTTCTACAGATATGTAGCAGAAAATGCAGAATTAATAATGTACGTTAAGTAATAAAATTGAACGTTAAATCGTCGCTATTGTACGTTAATCAACGGAGCAGCAGCACCGTGGGCGGTCGCAAGTAGACAAAATCCGCAATTTCCAAAACGAACATGTGGAGATTTATTTGAAAATCAGGGAATATTTCAAATGCTGGAATGTTGTTGTTGGCAGTGCTGAGCATGTTGCGCGGAATGTTGTAGCTCGTAGGAAGACTCTGTAAGAACAGTAGAGGAAGATTGGAGAGTGGAGTGCTGTGATCTGGAAGGTGGTGTCAGTGTTTTTCGTGATCGTCTGAATCTTGGAGTGAGACGTAGTTGAAGGCTGGAAGCTGATCCTGACAGGGACGCGTTGTTGCTGCTGTTGAAGAATTGGCGACGTTGGATTGCTGCTGCGACTGCGTGGAGCCATGGCCTGCGGGAAGAGCTGGAGGGCGGTGCAGTGGGCACGGCGCAGTGTGCACACGACGGCGCTGCGTCGTCCGCAGCACCTCTGCGACACCGAGCCCCAGACCATCGCGCAAGGTGCGTCCCTACCTCCTCCTTCATTTCGTCGCAGTCATAACCGTGTTGTGTATGGGTGACGCGTGACGGGCTAACGGGGTGTGTGTGTCCTGTGTAGTGCGCGACCAGATGAAGTCGTTGGTGGGCTACGAGGGCATCTTCGGGTACGCTCACTGTCAGTGTCAACAACCTAATGGGTGCGTTGATAACTTGATGGCTGGGTGGTTGCAGGACGCAGGGCCCCCGGCCCGACCGCTCGCAGCTAGCCTCCTACCTGGCGCACTCCCAGGCCGAGCTGCCCCCGCGGCGCCTCTTCGACAGCTACGACGAGGCCGTGATCCCCCTGGGGCGCGACCTGGAGGTGCGCGAGCAGTACCACAACGCCTTCCACCGCGTCCGCTTCGGCCGCCTCCTCGAGGACCTCGACACCTTTGCCGGTGCGCCTGTCTGCTCGATAATAATAATAATAGTAATAATAATAATAATTGGCAGTGTGGCTGGCGTACAAGCACACCCTCCTCCCGCGCAACCCCGACCCCTCCCGCTCCCCCTTCGGCATCGTCACCGGGATGGTCGACCGCATCGGTAAGAGCGTCCCTCGCCTGCTGTTACCAGTGTTGGAGGTTACTGTTGGGTAGATATCGAGAACCGGCAGCTGCCGACGGACCAGGACATGCGTCTGCGCGGCCTAGTCTCCTACGTCGGCCAGTCCTCCGCCGAGGCGCTCGTCCTCATGGAGCAGAAGAAACGCGACGGCCCCGGATGGGACCACATTCTCGAGGCCCGCTTCGTCCTCGTCGCGCGCGATCCCGTCCACTCCAAGTACGTCGCCATTTCAGTTGAATCTCATTAATTTCAGATTAATTTTTAATTAATTTCAGATTAATTTCAAATTAGTTTGGATTTTAATTGCAAAGTAATTGCAGATTAATTTTTAGTTAATTTCGAATTAATTTCGAATTACTTTCACATTAATTTCAGATTGATTTCAGGTTAATTTCCAGTTAATTTCAAATTAATTTCACATTGATTTCAGGTTAATTTCCAATTAATTTCCAATTAATTTCAGATTAATTTCAAATTAGTTTGGATTTTAATCGCACATTAATTGCAGATTAATTTTTAGTTAATTTCGAATTAATTTCCAATTAATTTCGAATTACTTTCACGTTAATTTCAGATGGATTCCCAATTAGTTTCAAATTAATTTCACATTGATTTCAGGTTAATTTCCAATTAATTTGACATAATTTTTTGAAGGCTGCGCAACACGGTGGTATTAAGCAGAGCTCTTGTGTTTCCGCAGAAAAGCCATCCTCAATCCGCTGCAACCGGATGGCGACGAGGAGCAGGCCCTGTACGATGACGGTCAAGGTCTGTTACTATCCCATCATTTTTTACGAAGTTTTTCTTAATTTAATTTTATTTTTAATTAATTTTTCTTGATTAATTCGTGTTATTTATGTGTGTGACGTGTGATAACTTTTTTTCCGGATTAATTCGTGCATTTGTATTGATGGAGATTATTGTGGTGACAGCCAGCTACACGGCGCGGAAGCAGTGGGCGGAGGACTCGCTGTTCAAGCTGCCGCCGAACCCGGAGGAGAGCCGCATCATCCACGACAAGTTCCTGCAGACCGTCGACCCCAAGTCAGTTGTTTACTGCCGGTACTTGCTTCCGGTGGCATTAGTCTACTTAAATTGTTCGTGACCAGGGAGTCGGTGTTCTCGGTGCGCGTCAAGCCGGCCAACTCGGTGTGGATGGAGGAGGCGGTGCTGAAGAACGTGCACATCTGTCATCCGCAGAACCGCAACATCCACGGCAAGATCTTCGGCGGCTTCCTCATGCGCAACGCCTTCGAGCTGGCCTGGTCCAACGCCTGGCTTTACGGGTACGACCATCACTTCTAATTACTCGTATTATTTATATTTATTAAATGACTAATATTAATTGCTATTTATTTTTATTAATTTTTTTAAACTTTTGTACGTATTTATCCATTCATCAGTATTTTTTTGAAATTGTTTAAGTGGTTGTCGCTTGCAGCGGGTCGCGGCCGAACGTGCTGAGCGTGGACGACATCAAGTTCAAACGGCCGGTGGAGATCGGCTCGCTGCTGATGATGTCGGCGCGGGTGAGCCTGTCTTGACCTGTTCGACTGTTCTCTTACACAGCGCGCTACACGGACTGTGTTGGTTGCAGCTGGTGTTCACGGAGGGCGCGGACATGCAGATGCGCGTGCACGCCGAGGTGATCGACCCGGCCACCCGCAAGATGGAGACCACCAACACCTTCTACTTCACCTTCCGCGCCTCCTCCGGCGCCCCCGTCCGCACCGTCCTCCCCAAGTCCTACGCCGAGGCCATGCTGCAGCTCACCGGCCGACGGCACTACGCCGCGTCGCGCCACCACCAGCGATTATTGCAGGCGCAGGAGAAGACCGTCGCGCCCCACTAAAATGACCATTAACCGAGGCAAAATATTTACGGAATTTATTAACGGTTAACTTTCCACTCCGGCGTCTTGGCTTCCCCGTGAACTGTGCTGTGCTGTGAAAATGTTCATGTTGATCCCATTGTAAGCGAGCGTGGATTACTGTTAATTTTTGTGGTGTGTTAATTTATTCCCGGCGGAAGAGAGTCGAGAATGTAAGTGACTAAATGCTTTTTGTGATGGTTTCTTTTATTTGACATAATATGGTTAAAAATTCTTCCGACTGTTCATATGATTAGTTTCATTGACAGTGGATAGATTTTGGCAGTGTAGAAAAAAACAGTTGATTAAACTGGTGACGTGATGGGATGATAGTTGGCGGTCAGACGGTCTTGCGGGAGGACGTGGGCGGCCGCGTGGTCCGTGTCGTCATGGTGACCGCCCCGGGGCGCAGCGTCGAGGTGGGATTGCTCTGGCATTCGCCGGGCGCGATCTGGTAGGCCTTGTAGCGGAAGGTCAAACTGCAATGTTAATTATGACGTTATGAGAACCGAAAAAAAATGAAAAGTTAGGAAAACAGTGTTCCAAGAGCCTCGTTGATGGAATTATGGCTACTGCGCTGAGTAATAATAATAATAATAATAATAATAATTGCCGGTGCTTAGTCTGCTTACGTGATGACGTCCTTGCCCTCGACGGGACGATAGCGCGAGATGCAGGGCAGCGGCCCGCTCCACTGCGCGGCGTCGCGGCTGCCGGCCACCAGGGCCTTGGTGACGGGGCACTGCCAGTGGTTGATCAAGGTGCGGGCGTCCCAGTGGTCCAGGTCCTCGGCGATCACGCGGGCCACCGCGCTCTGCAACGCCCCGTCTGGTTAGTGCGGCTGTGCAACGAACGCTCGATGTACTGACTCACCCGGAAGGGCCGGCCGCAGGAGTCCTTGGTGAGGAGTTTGTTCAGGGTGGGACTGTTGGTGTTGTCCACGCGGAACACCTCGCTCCAGAAGGCGGGGTCCGAGGGGCCCGGCCACTCCTTGAACGAGTGCTCCCTGTATAATAAATATACCACTGTATGTGTCTGTATAATATTATAATATATATATATAAAAGTACATGCACTAGTACTGCATTTACATGTATAAAAATATATCTGAATACAACATGTATGCATACAAGTGCCTTGTATAAATATAATATGGATAGCTGTCTTACGTGTCGAGCGAAGCGAGGACGACGGGGTCGCAGGCGTTGCCGTTGAGGTCGCAGTAGGCGTTCTTGTGGTCGATGGCGCCCTCGTTGCTCATCTTCAGCAGCTCCACCTCCACGCGCACGTACTCGGGATGCTGCGACCGGTGCCCGTGCCGGCCGCGGCCCGCCTCTGCTTCATACGGCGGCCGGCGATCGTCTTCGTACTGCGCTCGACAAGTCCCCAAGGCCTGTGCCGGACAGATAAACACAACTGATTAAAAAAATCTTTTTATTCCGCAAAATGCTGTATGGAAAAAATACTGCTTGGTAGTTGATACACGGTGACATCGTTACTATGCGCCATATATCGATCCCGCAAGATGGACCACGTGACTTACAGCAATCAATAGAAAAACTAACGTATCGCGCATTTTTTTACACAGTAATCAACTGCAGGGCACGGTGAGTGTTTCTAAAGGGATTGAGCATTAACGAGTGATTAGTAAATAAATGCAGCTGGCAGAAGCAGCGCAGCGCTGCTGCGTTCCCTGGATGGAGCGTATCTGTAGGCAGCCCTTCGGTCTGGTCGTTGCGATAGCCATCGCTCGTGTTGACATCGGACTTCCGCAGTCGCCGGCTTCATGCGGTACTTGCTAATCAAATGCCGATAGTAACTGCGCGTTCGTTGACTGCTGTGTGTTACAGTGAATGGGTGTAGTCACGGCCAGGAACCGTGGGAAGGGTCTTGCGCCGATGGACCGGCGATAAGCCGCGCGAGGAGTACGCGCACAACCAATCAGCATAGTTTTTTTTATTTTGTTATTTCTTTCCTCGTACGTCTTACTGCGATCATTATTTATAGCCAGTCTATCGTAAATTCCATTAACTCAACTTAAACCTATCCATTCACTAAGTCGACGCAAAACGGAAGGAACTAACAAGAATAAAACAGATCAAAGAAGGAGATAAAAAAACACAAATCTGTCACTGTCCAGTGGGCACCGTTGCAGCGCACCGGCAAGAGACCGAGAAAAATCACACCGATTCATCCAAAACTCCCGGTCAAAACTCGGCGTCGGTGGTGAAGACAAAGTTGTCCTCGTGCCGGGCCATGACGCCGCTGCGCTGGTACTCGCCGACGCGCTTCTCGAAGAAGTTGGCCTTGCCCTCCAGCGAGATGTTCTCCATGAAGTCGAAGGGGTTCGCCGTGTTGTAATACTGTAAATTCAAGTAAAAATGACAAGAAACGATGCTGGGTGGATGGTGGAGCTTCGTACCTTGTCGACGCCGAGCTCGGTGAGGAGGCGGTCGGCGACGAACTGGATGTACTGGCACATGAGCCGGCAGTTCATCCCGATCAAGTGCACCGGCAGCGCCACCGCCAGGAACTCCTGCTCCACGCGCACCGCCGCCCGGATGATGGCCAGCACGCGCCGCGGGCGGGGCTTGCGCCGGACGTGCTGGAAGAGCAGACAGGCAAAGTCGCAGTGCAGACCCTGCCAAACAACAACCGTCACAATTATATGGCAAACGGGAGAGCGGTAAATTAAAAAAACTGATTTTTATTAGCTCCTATTACACAAGCAGCGATTTACTTTGAAAAAACACTTTATTCATATAGAAATAACTTTCCTGTATTAGAAATTTTATGTTTCACGAAAATTACGAAATTACAAATTGCAAAGGAAGGACATTCAGCGACTTCCGGCGCTTGACGCACTTGCCACCGCCCGGTGCGGCGGCGTAGCGCCAATTTTATCCTGACAATTTGGAAAAATTCCCGTTCTTTGCTATTTTAATTTCATCATAAAACATGGCCTTACTTCTACAACTGTTTTAAAAAAAATTAAGAGAACTGCAATAAATAAATGAGGAATATAATGTGTCGGGTGACTGATGTACCTCGTCGCGGCTGATGAGCTCGTTGCTGTAGGTCAGCCCGGGCATCAGTCCGCGCTTCTTCAGCCAGAAGATGGCGGCGAAGGAGCCGCTGAAGAAGATGCCCTCCACGGCGGCGAAGGCCACCAGGCGCTCGGCGAAGGAGGCCGTCGGGTCCTGGATCCAGCGCAGCGCCCACTCCGCTTTGCGCCCGATGATCGGCAGCGTGGTCAATCCGTTGAGCAGCCGGTCCCTGTCAAACACGAGCATCAATCAGTAACATCGAAGGAAAAACGTAGTGATGCTGTTCACCGTTCGGCGCGGTCCTTGATGTAGGTGTCGATGAGGAGACTGTACATCTCCGAGTGCACGTTCTCCATGGCGATCTGGAAGCCGTAGAAGCAGCGCGCCTCCGCAATCTGCACCTCCTGCGAGAAGCGCTCCACCTGTCAACATTTTAAGGGGAATTATGCGGGGAAGGATGAAACAGAATGAGCAGCGGACCAGGTTCTCGTTGACGATGCCGTCGCTGGCGGCGAAGAAGGCCAGCACGTAGGAGACGAAGTGCTGCTCGGCCGGCTTCAAACTGGCCCAGTCCTCGTGGTCCTTGCTTAAATCCACTTCCTCCGCCGTCCAGAAGGACGCCTCCGCCTTCTTGTACATCTGCAGCACACAACCAACACCTGACGCTATTAGTTTTTCCAATAAATATTAACGCAGTAAATAAATACAAATAATAAACATTTAATTTCACAATAAATATTCATGTGCGTTGTTGAAGATAAAATGAATATTATTAAAATGTTCTATTTTAAATAAATCAACCATTAACAATAAAATAAACAGAACTAATAAAAATGATAAAAGTACTAAACAAATTGAGAATAATAAAATTATTACTGAAATTTCAACAAATAAACCATTTTCTCAATACTAAGATTATAAGAATAATAAAAATACACGGATATTTTTCTTGCAAATAATTCAATAAAAATTTCTAAACCAATAAAAAATTCTGCTATAAATAATTCAGTGATTCCACTCAGTAGAAATTATTGAATACCTGCCAGATATCGGGGTACTGGATGGGGAAGATGACGAAACGGCGCGGGTTCTCCGTCAGCAGCGGCTCCTCCCAGTCCACATCCCCCTCATCGTCGTCCTTCTCCTCGTCGTCACTGCCCTCCACGGCATCCCCATTCTCCGCCGTATGGCTGTTCACATGGTCATGCACTCCCTCCACCTCCTCGCTGGCGTCCTCAGGGAAATCGTCGCCGTCCACGGCGCAACTGTCACAGAACGAGCAGCTCAACAGCGACGGACGTAAACGATGGCCATTTTCCTGCGGCGCGCATAACTCCTCTTGGCATTCGTCTCCGCGATCCATCACCGCGTGCCGAAGGGGAAAATAGGCAGCCTGTGATGGGTAAAGACGGGGCCAATGATATGCGTTTAATAGACGCTGAAACGACACCAGTCGGGAAGCGTCACAAATACTTGCCAATCAAACAAGAATCCAGGAACACTGCAGACGCAGATGCGATATGCTACAAACTCAAAAGTGCGATATGCTCACCATATGGCTGCTCACACGGTTTTCTGAAAAATCCTTTCAATCGTTCCCAAAAACAACGACTAGTAATTGCTGATGAATTTGCACTGCCAAATTTCTCATCCAACTGAAACGCCACTTCGAAACGGCCTAGACTCCAACTCTGACTCTGACTCTGATTCTGACCACTCAAACTCTGACTCTGACTACTCAAAGTCTGACTCTGACCGCTCAAAGTCTGACTCTGACTCTGAAGGTTTCTTAGGTTTCTTAATAGGTTTCTTAGGTTTCTTAGGTTTCATAGGTTTCATAGGTTTCTTAGGTTTCAGTTTCATAGGTTTCATAGGTTTCTTAGGTTTCTTAGGTTTCTTAGGTTTCTTAGGTTTCTTAGTTTTCTTAGGTTTTTTAGGTTTCTTAGATTTCTTAAGTTATTCTTAGGTTATTCAGTCAGAGTCAGAGTTTGGACAGTCAGAGTCAGACTTTGAGTAGTCAGAGTCAGAGTTTGAGCGGTCAGAGTCTGAGTCAGAGTCAGAGCTTGAGCGCGGGCCCTTCGAAACCTTCTGACAAACTCTGACTGGCAGCGCTGCTGCTTAATGCTGTAATTTCATGTTCAAACATGTTTCTGCATGATGCAACAGCCGCAGCGGCAGCGGCGAAACCACAACACAAGGCAGGTGGCGTGCCGAGCTGCAGAGTGGAGTGTGCGCGGCCCCCATTGGCGGCAGCTCTGCTACAGCCGTTTTACTGCATGTGGGCGGTCGTCTTTGCGCTGTGCGCGTGTACAGAGCACCAACTACCATAATTATACCATTATTAAAGCGGTACGAGTACATACTGTATACTTTATACATAAAGTACTGTACTTTCCTGCCGGATGTGCCGACTGCCGATTAGAATACTATATTATTTCATTATTGCTGACGTACAGTACTTACATGTCTTCTACGTCAGCAGAAAACTGAATTCCTATTTCCAAAACGTACGGGTACAATTAATGGTAAATGTTCTGATCTTGCCGGTGGTACTTTTGCTAACGTGATGTACAATACTCGCATACTATAATTATTCGCAGTATAAATATGACTCCGCATCCCGGCAGTCACTCCAGCACACCCGTTAATTACGCTACGAGTAGCTTGTTTCTACGTGCGCACACTGAAAAGTTCGCAACCGGTGCCGGATTTAGTAATCACTGGAGATTTCCATTAAAATCACGAGTATATGTATCTCTGCCGGCAACGTCCGCGGCGCTGCCGGCCTCCAACTCCGCTTAAACGACAAGCAGAACACAGAATCACCTGCAAGCGAACGTAATGCTCGTAGACAATTTGCTCAGCGGTCGTAAACAAAACAATTGACATTGTGCCGGTGAAAGTGAAACAATGCGCCCTCGGATCCGTTGGCCGTGCAGTAAGAAGCTCGTACCGTATACACGGTACATACAATACAACACAGTGTACAATGATACATAAGTCCCCGCCGGTGATTCGAAAAATTGTGCAATAAATTCTCGAAAACGAAATGCGACGTACAGTACAATTCGACATCAACACTGGGTGCTCGATGAGATCAACGCAGCTGAGAGCGAGCTCAATGAGTAGTTGCGCTCAAATTCGACGGCAGTACAATGTAGAATTATTGTTTACTGCATTATTATTGAATTTATTGTCTGCAGCCTTTCCGCTTGGTTTAATATTAGCCCGTAGAGTCGTTAATAAAACCCAAATCCACAACAATGAACGTCTGTGCCGTGTTATTGCTGCTGGGAGTGAGCCTGACGGAAAATATAAAGGTACGGGCGTCCAGCGTGGAGTTGTTCCGCGACCACTTCGCCGGGGAGCAGTTGAACCGGGAGAAGTGGAACGCCGCCGACCGGCGCAGCGCCGTCAATGAAGAGCTGGAGTACTACTCGCCGGCTAATCTGCAAGTCGCCAACGGCAGCCTGGCCCTCGTCGCCAAGCAGGAGCGCCGGGGCGGGGCCAACTACACTTCCGGTCGCGTCGACACCAAGGGACTCTTTGATTTCACTTATGGCAATGTCGAAATCCGCGCCAAATTACCCAAAGGTAAAAATAATATTTTATATATGGTCTGTTCACTTCTTATTTTTTTATAATAATCCCTTTTTTTATAATTTGGTAATAATGGTTAATTATTTTGTGGTTATTTGAAAAATGTACCATATATTAAAAGGATTTAATAACAGAATGTACGAAAAACCAATACATAACAAATATGCATACATTAATGTGTATAAAGTAAGCGCATGTAAACTAAACGCAAGTAAAAAAAGCTTCGTATATGTAGACATGTACTGATTGACGTCAAGTACATGCAGGTTTTAATTTAATTTTTAACCAGTAGTGTCTGGTTGTAACCTTTTATATTCGTGAAATAAATGTAGATAATTGGACTAAGAAATATACATGTACATATTGATTTTTATTCGCAATATTTGAAATGGGGAGCATCGCTCATAGCGGTACGATCCAATGAAAACTTTGTCCTCAGTAGGGCGAGAAAGGCGACATTATACGCAGTACATACATAGATATATTTATATAGATATAGATATACTGTGCGAGAAGGGACTGTACATTATACACAGATATATACCGTACATAATCATGTAAGTACAGTATTATGACGTATATTTAACAAATACGTACTTACTACATAGATTAATTTCATGCAGATAATTTTTATATAAACATATTTATATATAGATGCATACACAAATTATATGTACACACCAGTTTATTAACAAGAGTATGTACTGTGTATGTATATATATAATATCTATATATAGTTTATCTGTATACATAAGTTTTACATTTGTACATGCAGTTGTGCCGATGCAGGTAAAGGCCTGTGGGCTAGTCTATGGCTGGAGCACTACCAGTGCGCGGCGGCGGTACCCTGCACGCAGTGGCCGCCGGCCATCAGCATCCTGGACTTCCGCGGCGACCAGACGCACACAATTCCCGCCACGCTGTACTACAAGGACGCCGCCGACCACGTCCAGTCCAGCGGCAAGGTCCTCAACGCCGCCGACGACCTCAGCGACGACTTCCACGTGTACCGGCTGCAGTGGAGCCCCAACAAACTGGCCTGGTCGGTGGACGGCCAACCGGCCTTCTTCGTCATCGACGACCCGCAGAAAATCCCTGCCCAACGCCTGCAGCTGGTGATGAACGTGGCGGTGGGCGGGATGTTCCCCGGATCACCGGACGACACCACCGAGTTCCCCGCGGCCATGCTCGTCGACTACGTAAAGGTCACGCGGGAGGACAGTTCTTCGGCGGGTCATACAATCAGAAACTCGTTTATCTTTGCATGGATTTGTGTATTTATTCTTACTAAAGTTGTATAAGCCGGAAGGATAAATAAAAGCGCACACTTGTTATGGATTTTCGCGAGGGGCGGAGCAAAGTGTACAAAAAAGAATTACAATAAAATACGTATTATTTCGCGGCATGACGGCGCATGATTATTATCTGTGTACTGCATCGGCATTCCGATATTATCGATATTAGCATTATGCAGTTTATTATTGGGTGCTCAATTAGCAGTTCCTGTGATTGTTGACGCCGCGGGCCTCTTCACCGCCTAATCAAGCGAGTCGTTCGCTGTATGTACGCTGAGAATAAACACGTTATGAATCAGCTGCATTAATGTGCATGATCGCATTACCATGCATCACTTCGCTGCATCCATAAATAAATCAATTTATTACCTGCGTCTATCTCGACCGTGTTTTACCATTATAAAGCACTGCTCATATATGTTGTCTGTTTGTTTTTCTCCGTGGAATAATTTGCCAAGTTTATGCGCCGGATATCGGAAATGTTGGCGGTGATTTTTCTCATCCAGTGTGTAGCGTGGGAAACGGTCCGCGCCGGCGTCAACCAGGCGGCCAAAGGTCTCTTCCAGGATGATTTCGGTTTGAGCCGGCTGGACACCACCAAGTGGAACGCCGCCAACGGGCGCAGCGAGGTGGACGGGGAATTACAGGTGTATTCGGCGGACAACATCCAACTGGAAAAAGGGAATTTGCTGCTGGTGGCCAAACGGGAGAGCAGCGGCTCGGCTAATTATACCTCCGCCTTGGTCGACACGCGCGGAATTCTGGAGTTCCTCTACGGCGAAGTGGAGATAGTCGCCAAGATGCCCAAAGGTAGGCGAAACATTAAAAAAAAAATAAAAATAAAATTTTGAAAATTAAATCAAAAATTTAAAAAAATTAATTAAAACATTAACAACAATCCTAACAAAATTTAATTTGATGGCTATTATTGGTAGTATTTTTAGTGCTTGAGTTTAATTTATTTATATAAATTGCATATTTATTTATACAAAAATTTATAAATTAATTTCTACATTTATTTATATAAAATTTATTTGTATATGTTTTACTATATCAGCGATTTTTTACTGCTTAAATTTAATTTATTTATACAAATTTATATATGCAGTATACTATATGTATCAGCCATTTTTAAATGTTTAATTTTTAATAATTAAGAAAGGTCACCGCGTAAGTCATTATTATCACGCCAGGCAAAGGCGTGCGCGCTTCTATCGCGCTGCTCCCGGAGAAATGCACCTCCGCCGTGGCCTGCCCGGAGAACCTCCCACCGGCGGTGACCCTCCTAAATTACCGCGGCGACCAAGTCTCCGCATCCCAAGGCATGGTGGTGTTCGAGAACAACGCCGGCAACGGGACACTCTTCTCAGCCACGACGTACCACGGCGCGGCGGACCTTTCGGCGGACTTCCACAACTACAAGCTGCGCTGGACCCGCGAGCGCCTGACGTGGTGGCTGGACGGCACGGAGTTCCTGGCCGTCAACGAGTCGGCCAAGATCCCGCGGGCCGCCCTGCACATCGTCATGCGGGTGGCGGTGGGCGGGGGCTTCGCCGGGGCGCCCGACGGGAATGTGACCTTTCCCACCGGATATGTCCGTGGCCTCGGTCACCGTCCGCCCGACGGACCGGGCGGTGCGGACGGTCGGCGGGGATTCCGGGGGAGGGTGTTCGTTAAGGGTCGATCTCACACACGCCCTGTTGCTGATAGTGTGTTTCCTTGTTACATTGTATACGTCGGTTCCTGTATCGTTGTAACTTGTGTTCCCGTAATTAACTGTGATATCCCGTCGTTGTTTTTGCTGTATCATGCTGACTTTTTAAATAGTCCGTTTCTAATGAATTTCTGCCGTCCATGTGTAGGTTACTCACTCCACTGCGAAGCGAATAATCAGGATAAATGTTATTTTTTACCAACATTTTCCGAAGAAGAAATGAGTAACAAAACGCCGGCATAAAACCGGCAGAACTGAAGTGTGCCCGCCGCCGGGTCGCGCCCGCGTAACGCCCGAGCAGCGGCACATTAGTACGTGTACCGGCGAACGGTAGTTGTGCAGGGTACAGTATTCGTCCGTTGAGAAGCGGAAACGAAAATGCAGTTGTGAATGTTATTCTTATACGATCGGATAGCATTTATTAATATTGTGATGACGCAGCTGCTCTTCTGCCTGGATTTGTGAACGTCGTTGTTTTATCAGCGGAATACAACCGAGCCCAAGGTAAACGCATAAACACCCGCTACTGTAGATAGGAATAATAAGTTGATTGTCCTCTGCTACGGAGCATCGCCCCGCTTTCAAGCGACGTTAAGAAAACGGAAAATAAAAGGTACATTTTGCTATACAGAAAAAAATTTATGTTATACTGGACGTATTAAGAAGAAGAATGTACTGCGCCAGTTACCGTAAACTGCTTCATATAATATTATATATATAATATATATTATATAGATGTACAGGTACTTTTTTTTGCTGGAGGTGTTTTATTTAATGATGCTAAGCCAGGTACTTTTAAACTGCAGTAAAGTGATAAATTTAATTAGATGCGGCGTCTTTATACTGCGAAAATTTCCACGGTAAATGTTTGTATGCCATTATGGTTGATTTAATATGCCGGTATACTCAGAACTCAGAAGTAATAAAATAATTATTAATTTTATTGATACGAGTTTCAACCTGTACGTGGACTTACAATGTACAATACAATACGTGCTGTACCTACACGTACCGCAGCTTTGCTGGCGAACTGCAAAGCGACAATTTGCCAGCGGCTGCATAACACCGACTAAAATTAAGACACGTACTTATTCTTCACGGTGTACTGTGTTTTGCTTGTACAGAATTCACCAGTGTGTAAAAAAACTGAGAAGCGATGTTCAGGTGGAATATTGATACGACTACTTTATGTATCGACACTGGAAAGCTGGATATCAAACGCTTTACGCGCGATGCTGATTCGGTTGTTGCGGTGTGTACATGTATCTGTATCTGGTTGTTACGGCTGCTATCTGGTACTGAAGCCGTCAAGGTGTTAATGGCATTTCCGCTGTCGATAACAACGGCAACAGCACCGGTACCGCTTGCTATGTTTATCACCGCAACTGTATATTTATTTGCACAAGAGCAAAACACGCATTAATTTCGGCAATCAGCGCGCATAATCACGATGTATTTGTATGATACAAGCGCATATGCTGGTTGCCTTGTTGATATACATTTCCATAATGTTGACGGCCAATACGGCACTCGTGTCACTTTCCACCGGCACACTTGTACTTCCCCTCTTCGCCGAAGTATTACGCGCATCCAGCCCGAATTAGGCACGCCGAATTATTGATACCGCGATTAGCGCGCACATGTCAGCACAATTAATCGCCACTAATCACAAGGATTGGCTGGTCGCTGCCGCGAAACGCAACCCCCTGGATACATGTCGATACCGCGCAGATTGTGGAGTTTGGACTGTTTCTGTTTTTCCGCGCGCGATACCGCGTATCGGCCGTCAACACGCGGCGCTGCTGCTGCGATTAATTAGCACAACTGCCACTTGTGCGTCTTCCCAGTCAGACTGCGCTATCATTTATTTACAGCTACTTGTAGTAATTATCAGCGTCTGCTCATTCTGCCATTTCACTGGCTTATTGACGATTTACTGGATTTTTTCTTCTGGATGTATATATGTATATTTTGGATGTATGTGTAATTTTCTTCTGGATGTATATATATTTTGGCCATTTTTTGTTAGCGTGTTAATCGAATTTGATGGCTAAATCAGCGAGTTAACTGACGGATTACTGCAGAATTTATACATATAATTATGCGATTAACCGGAAGTGGCAGAACATGTGCTCGTCTGATCACGGATTTCTATTACTGCGTGAAATCACCGTGAATTATTTATAAAAAAGTGTGCAGCAATTAAACCGCCACCGGCGTCGTATAACGCACGCTTTTTTCCATTACATTAAGTACCTGAAAAATCACACCGCCTCAACTAATCACTGCCCTCCAGCAAAAATACGATTTCCGGCGTCATGCTCAACACTGCGTAGTCATTTTCTTACTATACGTTGTGAAATGAACGTCGTGATGTTATCCGTTACAATCCTGTTGTGCGGCGTCGCGGGGCTCCTGGACGCCGCCGTCCTCGGCGGGAGGGCGACGAATCTGCGGGAAGTCTTCCGGGACGACTTCGACGGGCCGACGCTCAACGCCAGTCGGTGGAACGTGGCCGACGTCAAGTCGCAGGTCAACGCGGAGCTGCAGTACTACCGCCCGGACAACGTCCGCGTCTCCAACGGGACTCTCCGCCTGATCAGCCGGATGGAGGAGTTCGGAGGGTGCCAGTACACTTCGGGGCGGGTAGACACCGCCGGGAAGTACAGCTTCCTCTACGGCGAGATTGAGTGGCGGGCGCGGATCCCCGCCGGGAAGGGCATCTGGCCGGCGCTGTGGATGGAGCACCCCCTGTGCCCGGCGGCCCTCCCGTGTCCCAACCACTGGCCCCCCGCCGTCAGCGTCATCGACATCAAGGGCGACGCAACCGACACCGTCTACACCACCGTCTTCTACGTGTCCAACGGCGGTCCGGTGTTGAACGCCGCCACCTCGACGAATCTGTCCCAGGACCTCTCCCGGGACTTTCATATATATAAGTTGATCTGGACGGCCGAGGCGTTGCTGTGGTTCGTCGACGGGAAGTTGATCTTCTCGGTGGTGGGCGCCGAGAAGGTCCCCACGGTGGCGCTGCAGGTGGTGATGAACGTGGCCGTCGGCGGGAACTTCCCGGGGAGTCCCGACAACACCACGCGCTTCCCGACGGAGTTCCTCATCGACTACGTGGTGGTGCGGGAGGGTGAGATTGATGTGTCGCGGTGGGTCAACATCACTTCCGGTATGCGGGAGGTGCTTCCGGGGCCGCCGGTGGTGGCCATCGTCCTCGGGAGCCTCGCGGGAGTGCTGGTTGTTAGCGTCGCCGGGGTCCTAGTCGGCCTGGTGGTGCACCGGAAGCGGCGCCGACGACTGCGGCATGGGGATATGCGCAAAGGCTCGGCCGCCAGCACCGACTCCACGATGTTGACCACTCGGTCGCCGTATTTGGCGTATCTCATTAATTCCGGATACGAGCACGTCGACTCGGCAATTCAGCATTATGTTAACCTGCTGGAGATCCCCATGGCTAACGTCGAGATCGGTGGGTGGGCGCTTTAATTTAATTTAATTTAATTTAATTTAATTCATTTAATTTAATTTAATTTAATTTAGGCGCTGTACTGGGAAAAGGCGAGTACGGCATCGTCCGCAAGGGCGTGGCCACCGGGCTGCGCGGTCAGCCGCTGCCCACCCAGGTGGCGGTCAAGATGGTGCGCGACCGCACCGACCCGGAGCAGAACCGGCAGATCATCCAGGAAATGAAAATCATGACGCAGGCCGGTCGTCACCTCAACATAATCAACCTCCTCGGGGCGGTCTTTAAAGGTACAGTAATAAAATTACTGCCAACCGGAAGTGTCACGCGGACGCGTCACGCACGTGTGCCAAGTGTTGATTTATGGCGCCGAATAAAATCATATATGCACATATGTTTATTTCACCGGCAGGCGAGACGTTTCTGCTGCTGGAATACTCGGAACACGGATCTCTATTGAAGTATCTCCGCTGTCACCGCGAGCCGCTGTTTTACAACCACACGGACGCCGCCGGCCAGGTGCTGGTCTACGACGAGGCGGAGGTCGGCCGCCTGCAGCGGGCGGTGGACAAGGATCCCCCGGCGACCGCCCAGGACGACGACTTCGACGGGAAGGTGCTGGCGACGCGGGATCTGATCAGCTTCGCCTTCCAGGTCAGCCGCGGCATGGCCTACCTCAACAGCCGCTCCATCATCCACCGCGACCTGGCCGCCCGCAACGTCCTCGTCTGCCAGGGGGGCGTGGTCAAGATCGCCGACTTCGGGATGGCGCGCCAGTTGTCCGAGTACGTCCTGCTCAATGAACAGGTAAGGGACTTCCGGTCGACGAGAAGAGACGGGAGAGTAACGGAAAGGTCATCGTAGGTGGCGCTGCCGGTGCGCTGGATGGCGCCCGAGTCCATCCGGCAGCGGACCTTCTCGCAGAAGTCGGACGTGTGGTCCTTCGGGATACTGATGTGGGAGCTGTTCAGTCTGGGGGAGACGCCGTATGCCAGCTCCGCCCTGGACGTTGGATACGTCACCGAGTTCCTGGCCGAGCTGCTGAAAGGCGTTCATATGGAGCGGCCGCCGGCTTGTCCGTCAATTATGTAAGTGACCTTTACTAATATGCACAAACTGACCGGAAGTGGAGCCTTGTAGTTATTAAATTCAATCAAAATTGAATTTCATTTACATAAGTGACCTTTAAAGCTTAACCAGGATGACCGGAAGTTGTCACATAATGAAATTAAATTAAATAATTAAATTAAATTATTTTAAACTAAATTAAATTAAATTAAATTACTATTTTATAGATATGACATCATGGTGCAGTGTTGGCGCCTCCGGCCGGAGGAGCGGCCGGTGTTCAGCCAGCTGGAGCAGGAGCTGACCGGGCTGGTGGGGCGCGACTCGGCGCAGAACTACCTCGTCCTGGACGAACCGTATCAGCAGTTCAACGTCGCGCACCAGAATCTCCTCGACGAGATCGTCGACGAGTCGCGCTACGTGCCCACGACGACGGACACCGCCGACTCCGACAGCACGTCCATTTAGTTGCCACCGGAAACTAAATTCTGCAATTACCGGCAATGCCGGCTATCATTTTTTAGGGCTTTCATCAGAGACTGTATTTCTTTTTGTATCTAAATAAATTAAAAGCATGTATTGTAGAGGTATACGAGTATGTATTATTTTGTCGGCAACATTGCTTCGTTGAAGTTTCCGGTGATGTCTTCGACTGCTGTGAGAACGGTTTTCCCTAGTGGTGTCGCCGAAAACAACAGCTTGTGTTGAACGAGTCGTCAAGCCGGCAAACCGAAAATTCTTGATTAATTTTATTTATTTCACTTATAACGCGTACGCCTCCACAACAAGCGAAACATTCGATTCCTTAATGTTTCTTTATGTACAAAAACAAAAATGAAAGCACAATTGCCATAAAGAGCGTCCGCGATGATTTATAGAGAAAACAACTGCCGGCTCGGTATTAATCAGCGAAGGATCCATATTTCCGGAGGATTTGGGGTTTTGTGTAAATTTCTGGCAAGCCATTTCCTTTACTTGGCGTTGCCCCAGATGTAATAGTCGTTTCCGTTGCAAGCGGCTTTAAATCTCGAGCCGACCGCGTAGTTGGTCTAAACAAAATGCAACTCTGGTACAGTTTTTTTATATGCATACGAACAGTAATATATGTAATTACCGGTGCAATCGGTTGTTTAATTAAATATGTGTAAATCCGTATTTTTTTTTTACAAATTTCGATAGTTTATTTTATTTATGTGATTAATGAATTTTTTTTCTAATAACGGTAGATGCGCGTACCTGGAAGCCGAAGTTGTTGGGCGTGCCGACGATGGCGCTCCAGTTGTGGCGCGTGAAGCGGCCGGCCAGACTGGTGAGGAGGGAGGCGGCGATGGAGGACTGCTGCGCGGCGGTGTAGGCGTTGCAGGCCGTGTTGACGAACTGCTGCGTGTCGCTGCGCAGCGTCCCGCTCTGGTCCGTCCACGCCGCGTCCACCACCGGCGTCGCCCGGCTCCCGTTCTGCACCACCGCGTTGCCGGCGGTGCCGACGCCTGCACATCCAGCGCCGATTAATAATAATTAATGAAAATAATTGTTTATATTGCGCTTATTATTAATTAGTTTATATTATTAATTAAATTAATTCTTAATAATTATTGTAATAATATTACTCACCAGCTAGTTGGCCCAGGGTCGTCGCTGACAGGGCGAGCAGCACGGCAATAACAAACGTCACCTCCATTGTATACTGCAGCTACTGTTTGCAAATATTCGAATATAACTTCGCAGTTTACAGTTATTCGATAATGTCACAACATAAATCGGAATGGCCTGGTCAGCGCTCGCGGTAAGGTTTATATATGCATAATCCCTCGACAAGCGATCTTGTCGTCTTTTCTTCCCTGAGAACAATGCGCCCGCCGATAGCGCCGACAATGGACGCCGCAGTGCCTTGCAAAGAACAGGCGTCATCGCTGATTGTGCACATTGTCTGGCTTATCAGTTTTATCAGCGCAGCCGCGAAATAGTTATGCAATCTGTGCTTTGTACGGCCAAGTTTGCCGCATTATTACCGCACAATGTAGAGCAACGCGAAGCCTGAATACAAGACATATAATTCTTATTGCCGGAAGTGACCGGAAATCGTTGCTTTACACCAGTTGTATTAATTGAAAAGTGATAATAACCATAAACAAACACGCGGCGATAAGAGTGTTGTTTCGCGTCGGATGAGCAGAATTTTTCAATCCCAAACGAACAATGCCCGTAGAAACAGTTATGCAACGACACCGCGAAGCCGTTATTGAAATTGCCGCTGAAGGACGCGTTACGAAACACTGCGGTGTTTCGTAACGCGTTCAGAGAAATATTCCGAAAATATTTCGAAGGAAACATTACTGCGCATTTCTGAAGCGTCAGATAATACAACGAGTCATTGTTGTGAGGAGAAAATGCACAGTCTGGATTCTATCTTGTATCAATTCATCACAACAGCAAAGCGCTGAACCCGGAAGACAAGGCCGGAAGCACGGATCAGGTGAGGCCGATGAAGGAGTGCTCCACCTCGCTGATGAGGTCGCGGTAGTCGAAGGCGTCGGGGTGCGCGTTGAACTGTTGCAGTAGATGGAGTTTGTGGGGGTCGCTGGTGGCGTAGTAGAGCTGCAGCTGGTTGAGCAGGCACTGCACCTGCACCGCGTTCACCACCTACACACAATTTATGGGCTAAATTTGTATCGGATCGGAAGAAATCGCGAGCCTTACGTTCTGGTCGTACTGGCCGCGCATCAGCACCAGTCCCTTGCTGTCGCGCAGCTCGTCCAGATGGACCAGGCTCAGGCAGGTGGGCGCGTCGGCCTTCCGCTGCTGGAAGGCGGCCAGCTGCGTGAAGTGGCACTCGGCGCCGGCGAACTGCGACACGAAGAACTCGTAGCCGGCGGCGCGGGGGAGGGGGTACAGGAAGGTGGGGTGGGTGGCGGCGCGCGACTGGATCTGCGCGTAGGACGACGCCGGCATCGAGGCGCAGATGAAGCCCGGCTTGTCCTTGTGATACCTGCGCAACGAGTCACCAATGATCAGTCAGTCAACCCAGTACCATTCAATGGTTAGAAAAGATTTTCTCATTACAACTGACAATTCTCAAGCGACAAACATGTAATTACTGATACCTGGCTGAACAAACTGCAAGTCCATCTACTAGCACACTCTGGATCTGACACTTCCGGTATAAATAACAACTGATTTATACTTCCAAATGTACAAAATTACTGAATTACAACCAATAACATTTCCGGTATAATTTAATTAACAAAATTAAAAGTGGTACTTCCGGTGAGAAATAAAAGACCAAATATTTCCTATGAAAACTACAAACGATTAAGAATATTGAAATTGACCTATCTGGCAAGAATTAAACATCTAAAACCGTTATTTCCGGTAACAACCAAAAATTACAGTATTAAGAAAATAAAATCTGGTATTTCCGGTTTCAGGAATGGAATTTCCTTTGAACGCAAAATAATAAGGAAGCAGCGATAATAACCGACTGGTTCAAAATAAGAGGAAACTCTAAGATAAGAAACTGGACGCAAAACTGTGAAAAGGCAGTTGAAAAATAAGCGGGGAAGAAAATACAGAAAACTAAGACAAACTGCTAAACAGCGTAAGAAACAATGGTTACTTACACGCGCCACATCTCGGCGATCTCCTCCGCGGTCTTCTCGGTCAGCAGCTCCACCTTCATCAGATCCGCCAAGCGGGTCCGTTGCAGCCGCACCGCCGCGGCGGGCTTGTGCGGATCGACGGTGCTGACTATGTTGACGGGGTGCGCGACGCGCTCCTTGTCCGCTTCCTTCACAGCCTGCAGCCAACACAACATCAACGCATGCTCATCCCGCAGCGCAACACGCGCGCCAGCACCTGCTTGACGCTCTTGTGCTCCTCCAAGCGCTTGGCGAACTCCGCGGGATTGGCCTTCTGCAGTTCCGTCAGCTTGGAGGCGTACTTGGTGTAGTACGGACTGGACTGCAGTTCCTCCATCTTCTCGCGCTTCTCGGGGGATTTGCTGCTGTACAACGCTGCGGGGATGCGGCGGCAGCGGATGAGGATGGCGTCGAGACGGGTTAGTGCACTGCGGAGCCCATGCGACATGTCCGCAAGGAAGAAACTCACGACAAAAACCACAATTTCGAATCAAAACTGGTCGAAATCAGCGCGGAAAAATCACTGAAAAATGTCGCCAGTAAAATAAACATTAACTTGCTACAGAATATTCTCAGTTTGCGCTGGAATGACTCTCCATACATTTCAGCGCCATCGCGGTGGCGACTGTTTGTAACGTACAGGGAATTTTAGAGCGCCGTGTTTGCTTTGCGCTGATTGGCTGTTCCCGCCTCCAACCTGGTTTCCCGCCAATGGCGATTCGTGGTTTATTCAGCTGGCATGCACTCAGTTTTGGGATCACGCATCGCCACTCAACGCAAACAGTGCTGGAGAAATTTTTACAGACATTTTTGCAGTAATTCTCGCAACTTTGTATTTTCCCATCGGAATTTGGTTGTCTGGAGCAGGTTTCTTTCTCAGGTAATTGTGGCGTAGTGTGCAGTCGTGGAATAGATTGATATGGGGATGTGTTCGTTGCAGCAGCGGGCAAAATGGTGATGCAAGGGCTGACATGGAAGTCGCTGAAGAAGAACCCCTCGCTGATGCCCCTGTTCTTCTTCGTCGGGGCGGGCTCCGTCATGGCCCTGGTGTACGTCATCCGGCTGGCCACGCGCCACCCCGAGGTGACCTGGACGCGGGCCAACAAGAACCGGCCGTGGGACGCCTACGCCGACAACAAGCAGTACAAACTGTGGAGCGACACCATCGACTACAAGAACCTTCCCCCCATCCCGGCCCCCAAGCTCGACTGAGTTGATGTCCAGCGGTTCATGTATGCACGGGGTAGTGTGAAAAGCGTAGCACTTTAATTTCTGTGTGGTGATGCATTTCTTGGGATGAAAAAATACGTAGTCTGTGTTTTTGCTGGAATTTGGATGTCGAAACAAGTGTACAGTGATCACGGCCGTGTCTGGCGTTTCCTGCGCTACCTTAAATGCGTTGTGTATCCAGTAAATTCGCTACAGATGTTTCTCTGCGTTCTCATCGCATCGTATTTTGTAGGAAGTGAAATCTATTTGTTTTTTAATCTTAATAAATTTAATTTTGTTTAATTTTATTTCAATTTTGGTTCATTTAATTTGTAACATCGGTGATCACCATTTATCAGGTATAATGATTATCATTTTCATTTTTAACATTTTTGTTTTATTTTATCTAAGTATTTTAGTTTGTTTTATTTCACTTAAGCATTTCGTAATTTCAATGTCTGGCCTCGGAAATCAGATGTGATTTTATCTGAATCAGTTGAATGTCTGCTAATTTAATTTTATTTTGACAGTTTAATCTTATTTCAATTTTAGTGTGTTTAATATTAAAACTGCATTTTATTCAAATTCCTACCAGGAAGGAAATACTTTGTGAATGATGCAAAATACATGAACCGACAGAAAACATTACTGCTACGCTTAAATCCGGAAAATTCACGTCCCGCATCGTGAGCGCGTTAAAAGGAGCATTCATTTCAAGACGCTGAGCTTGAACTTGGAGGTCTTGCTGGCCAGGCGCACGGTGAGGGAGACGCGCGTGTCCCGCTTAACCACCTGCCCCTCTGTCAATCCACACGTCTCCCGGTTGACAATCCGCTCGTCGACTGTATCCTCCTTGACTTCGCGGATCCCGTGGAGGTACTTGCTGTACATCTCCTCCCGGATGACGAGAGACTGCGCGCCGGGAGGTACAGGGAGAAGAGGTAGCGCGAGGGAGGCGCCGCCGGTCCTTCATGGTGGGCGTCCATCGGCGGGGCCGGGGCGTCGTCGAGGGGCTGGTGGAAGTCCAGGAGGGTGTGGCTGCCCAGGTTGAGGGTGGTGATGGTCGGGAAGAAGACCGGGCCGTCCACATGCGGCTGCGGAGGTACACAGATCAACATAAAGACGAAAGGACAGAACAGGCAGTGACTGACCATGATGCCCTGGCCGGGCTGGTACTCGTTGACCAGCACGTGGTTCGGGATGGCGGAGGCGAAGACGCCGAGCTGCGCGATCTTCTTGGCGTACACCTGCAGCCACTGCGCAACAAGAAACACTGTACAACAGGCTGAAAATATCATAGTGGGGCTGAGGCATACCGCGGGCAGGTCCTCGGCGATCATGCCTTTGGCGTGGGGATATCCGCCTGTGCGAGAGAGAAGACAGAAGACTAAGTCTTCTCAGTGCTTGAATTAAATTCAAGTGTACCCCAGTTCTGCAGGCGACGGTTGGCCAGCTGCGTCCAGCGCGGCTTGGGCGCCTCGTGCACCTTCTTCAGCAGGTAGGCTTCCTCCTCCGCGTTGATAAAGTCCGGGATCAGGTAGACGCTGCTGGGCACCTACAGCACAGCGCACACATTTACACTTGGCAAGTGCTGCCATGCTGATGCAGACTGCAGCTATCAAGCATGACGCCATCACGCATTCCACACAGATCAACACATACGTCCGCCACGCGATAATCCTCCAGATTCGCACTGGCAGCATCAAAAATCACCGGCTCCATGATTGTATGTTGGCAAGTTGAGAGATTGCGGATGAATTCAGCTCACTAGTCGTGCGGCTCGTGCCTAGTGGCTGCACTGCTCAGTGCTCACTGTGTTCAGCCAACACTTCGTGTAGTGCCTCTTCACACAAGGACTGCAAGCAGCAAGATTAATCGTAAACTGGTTCTGCCAATGGCGGGTAGGTAATAATGTACAAGTGGGCCTGAAATGAAGTGGGCCGAGAATGCTAGAATGCAAGCATGCCGGGATACGAGGCTCCATACTGCGGGCCTGCTTGTATGCTGGGCTGCGGTATGCGGCGCTGTGGAAATGCCGAGCTGCGTATATGCTGGGCTGCATACTGCGGGCCTGCTTGTATGCTGGACTGCGGTGCGGCGCTGCGGGAATGCCGGGCTGCGTATATGCAGGGCTGCGGTCTGCGGCGTTGCAGAACTTGCGGTTGCGGGACTGCGGTTTGCGGGACTGCGGCGCTGCGGGACTGCGGCGCTGCGGGACGGTGGTACTGCGGCGATGCAAAATGTATTTATATGGTGTTGCTAGGTCTTGATATTGAAATTGATATGATGCCACTGGCTTTGAACTTTCGCGTATGCATGCATTTTTTCGTATGGTACTTTTAAAGCAAAATGGCGTTAAAATTGAAAGAATTTTTGAATTTAATCGATGATTGCGATCAAAAAGCCTTCGAGTTTTGCATCGAGCACGGTCTTTTGAGATCGGAAATTGTATGTCCTGCTCATAGTGAAGAAATACTACGCATTACACGTAGAAGTGATCGTTCACTCTTCCCATGGACATTTCGGTGTAGTCAGCCACCTTACAGCAAGTATTCTGCGAAGACTGGCACTTTTTTTGAAGAATCACATCTTCCACTTCATAAAGCAGTTCAGTTGATGTACTTTTGGGCTCATGAAATTTTTAACCAACGAAAATTGTGTTTCCATTTTAATTTTAGCGAACACACTGTCGTCCAGGTGTCATTCATGCTGCGAAATGTATGTGAAGCAAAAATAATTAAGGATTTGTCGGTTGCGAAAATTGGTGGCATTGGAATGACAGTCGAGATTGACGAATCGTTAATTTTTAAAAGAAAATACAATCGTGGAAGACTCTTGTCAAACGAAAGAAAACAGCAATGGGCGTTCGGGGGTATTTGCAGAGAAACAAAAGATGCTTTTATTGTTTTTGTCAATGACAGGGCTGCTGAAACATTACTGCCAATTCTACAAGCACATGTTTTGGAAGGCACACTAATTATGAGTGATAAGTGGCGGGCATATTGCCGCATTGAAGAAATGGGGTATGATCACCTAACAGTGAATCATTCTGAGAATTTCGTGGACCCGACTACCGGCGCATGTACAAATCGCGTAGAGAACATGTGGCGATGGCTGAAAGATTCTTTGCCATCAAATGGAACTACGGATAAGATGGCCGATTCGTATATTTGTGAATTTTATGGAGAAAGAAGTATGACGCAAATCATGATGGTTTCGATAATATTATGAAGCATATTGTGGAATACTGTAATCATGAACTGGACGTTTCGAATGATGAGTAAATAAATTAAAGAAAGATCGTAAATAAAAGAAATATCTTTGTACTAGCGAATCCGATGGAGTGAGGAATAAGGTTAATAATAAATATAATCAGTAAAGTAGGAATACGATTTTGTACGATAACGATGCTGGCCTAACTTTTGTACGATAAATTTTATACGTACAGTTATTTTCTTTGTGTTTTTGCGCTATAGTACAGTACGATTACGAAGTATCTGTATTGTGCATACTGTACACACTGCACACAACACGCATGCGTTAATAGTGAATACGTGAATATTTTATACGTACAGTTATTTTCTTATTTTCTTGTTTTCTTGTTTTCTAGTTTTCTTATTTTCTTATTTGCTTATTTGCTTATTTTCTTATTTTCTTATGTGTCTGTACATACTGTACTGTCTGTTGCCTGCATACTGTACAGACAACACGCATGCGTGGATAGTGAATACGTGAAGCATTATGTACACATAGCACGTACGTATGTCAATAAATATGCACAAGTAAATATGTACAAGTTGCATACTAGCAAAACTTTAATCGTTTAACTGAGTTTTGTACAATTGTTGTACGACGTATATGTAGCTCAAAATTAGTTTCATAATCCGATGTAGCAAAATCGAGATTTTTTCCAAAATCCGAGGATTGATAATCCGTAGCTTATTGCCTTCTTTGAAAAATTGCGAATAGTCTGCGATTGTGTCCTGGAACATAACACCGCGAATTTTAGCACTTTGGTCTGCTATATCGAAGGAGAGGAACTCTCCAGCCTTTCCGTCTTTGAACCATTTCGTGGGTCCTTTTACATTTGAGATGACCCCATCGATCGTACAGCTAGCAATAAAAATATTTAGTCAGTTATCTCCAATCTATATTGTGGATCGTGCTATGTTCTAAACAAAAAACAATAATTCTTAATTTTATTAATAATTTCAAAGTAATTTCTGCATTGATAATAATAGTGATACTAATTAATGTTATGTTTTAACAGCAGTCGGTTAAGTGTATTGTCATGGTGCAGACCGACAGCATTACTTGGCTGATTCCAGATTCAGTTCGATAATCAACATTTCTTTCGACGTGCGAAAGTTTTCTCGTTTAATGCCAATCGGTTCCCATTCATCTACCATTTTTTGAATTCTGTCTGCGGCGGTATCGAGTAGTTGGAAACTTTGAATGAACAGAAATTTTCTAGAAAATTATAGCGGCCGTTATTATAGTTTCTGAACAGAACAGTTATTAAAGGATTGTAAATTTGTTATAGAAGTTTATTGTTATCTTACTCCGGTGAAGTGTGAATCACGCTGACGTTTATCAGTTTTGCGACTTTGGGAAGAACTGCTGCTTCGATTAAAGTATTTAGACTTCTGTCGATCTGGACATCTGCAGAAAACATGTCTGTGTAAATATTATCAAAAATACGAAAATCAGTAAATAAATATTATCAATATTGCTTCCGCACTCGATGTTAAATTAAATGCGTCCTGTATTGTTAACAGCCATGTTCCGTTGATGTGCCGTTTATGGCGTACGATGACCAGATCGCTTTGTAATACGTCCCCGTTTATGATTTGCTGCAAATACACATAATTTTAGTATGAAGGTGTTTTTCTTACGAGTATTCTAATGAATATATTTATTACGAGAATAAACCTGTATGACAGGCGTCTGGTTAGAAGGCAAAGCCGTGCACGATATGTCTTCTTCATCTGGTAGATTGATATCCTCGAGAGAAATATTCATTTTGGCAGCTTCATTCTATAAGTATATTTTTTCCAACCAAAGATATGGTGCTTGAAACACTTCATAACACTTCACTTGAAACACACTTGAAACACTTCCACTAGCATAAATTTCATGTAGATCATCAAGAATTCTATAATTTGTTGAGTGACCTTTAAGAACTAATTGTCAAGGTTACAAGGGAAGATATTTGAGTGCAGCGATAAGTACTTATATGAATACAGTAGTACTACAAGCATTACTAAATGTACAAAATGCACGTATTGCAATGTTTAAAGCTTACGTTAGGCAAAGCAGTTGATACTTGAAACGAAGAATGTATCAATTCCATGACTTGACGTTCCAACATTGTGATTGTGTATGTTGCAAATTTTCCACAGGAAGCAGATTTGCAAACAGAGTCAGTACAACGAAATTGCAGGGATGTGCTTCCATCCACGTGCACAAAATAAACATTGTTGTGTTTATGCCTCTTTTGGCAATAAGGCAATGCTGTTGTCCGCGAGTAATACAAAGCAACACATCATGTTTTTTTTGAAAACTGCATCGAACCGAGCAGTAGATTACGATAGTTTTCTGACCATTTGATTAATATCTGAATAAAAGCCTTACAAATATCAGATGAAAAATTCGCTTGTCCAAGCGCACTGACTGCATCAAAATGTAAGTCGTGTGTTTTGATTGCCCTGATATCTACTGCCACAAATCAAAGACTGCATAAAAATCAAATAATTACATTTGATTTGTCCACATTCTGTCGTAAGGTTATGGAGTACAAAATTATTGGTCGCGCCTTTCTTGTTGCACATGAACATGCGGAAATTTTGATTTCGACTGTAAACAGATAAATCCACGCAGTCGATGTATGTGATATTTAAAAGATCAGCTTTAAGTTCGTTCGCTAAACTTTTGTGTTCTTGATTTCCAGCTGCTAAAATGGCAGGCCAAATTAAATGATAGCTTTCTTTGCGATCAGTAGTAGCGTCAAGCACAATAACTTTGTGCGACTTCTTTTTCAATCCGATGTATTCGATGATTTGTTTCAGTAAAGTAAGCAGTAATCTGCATTTAATTGTCTGCGGGTAAACAAGCTCGATATCCATATAAAACTTGCAGTAATAGCCAGGTAAAAGAATTTCATAAAAAGATCGTTCGGACGGATTTCGTGATAAAAGTAATGAATACATCTCAGCTTGCGTACAAACAAGAAACTTTCTGCATCCGCTGGTCAGAATTTGTTCGGCAAATACGTGTTCGCCATCTTTAAGATGATGAATCGCATGTTGCAACTTAGAGTACCACAACATGGTTATTTGTCTTTGCGGAAAGATAAGCAGACAAATGTAGTGTAGTACTCGAATTTATTAAGTATTTTATAACATCATTGAATTGTCACAGCGCAACAGCTTAATCAGCTTCTGCTGTATGTACAATATGCAGCTGATCTGTGTATCGTACGAAGAAAAACTACGTATTTGCAGTGGCTATGATAATGTAGTTACTGTACGTGTAGCGTAGTCTAGCGGTTACGTTAATGTAGGATAGAGATAATGTACGTACTTATTAAATGAGGCGGAAAATCTGCTCCTTGATATCAGCATATAATTGTGCTTGTGGAATTTCGGCATTCATAGTCTATAATTCCAAAGTATAGGTTTTAGTCCGATTTGTTATTGACGTGCAGTGCGCACCACCGCAGGTCTGCATAATTATGATAATAATTATGATTTTCGTATTCTCTATGACGATATTAACTATGATTTCGTATTTGGACTATAGCATTTCGATTAATATTGTTATTGAATTACCATAATAATACTGGGAACCGGAAAGCACTTTCCACTGAGCCATGTATCGTAAAGTTCATTAAGCTTTGTAAGATACGCCTAAAATGGACATTCATATAATATGACCTTTTATAAACTTCCAATTAAATTGCTGTGCAGTTCGATGAAGCTACTAAAATTTGAGTGACCTTTGTGATGCAACTTTCTTCTTCTCGTCCGCGGCAAAGAATTCGTTGTTGCAAAGTTTCAACCGAAGCTTTGAGATAAATAATCATTGTCACTGGCAGGTGTTTAGCCGAGTAATTTTGAAATAGTTCGTCAAGCTTTTCGTACTCCACATTCTCCAGCAGTTCGCTTAAAAACGTAAAGTAGGTGTTTAAAATAAGTATGCTTACTACAATACTTTCAAATGTGTTGTACCTCGAGCGCAGACTTTCAGTAAAAACGTAACGCGCACTGAAAATTGATCTTTCAAATACAGTAATTGTTTCGGTGGCAAGATTTTTTTGGCGGTCCATCATGCTTTGCATAACCAGCTTTTGAAAGTCAAAGCCGTATTTGCGTGGATCTTTGTACATTAGATCCTGAAATATATGTGAGCGAACTGAATTACATATTTATCTACTAATTATTTGTCTGCAGGTTAACCAGCAAATTTCGGTTGTCTTTCGTTTTCCAAATTTCAACTGGTTCTTCAAAAGCCTTAAAAGTAATGAACAATATTAGATTTACAGATAAAAAAATTACAGACAAATTAAATTACTTGAATACGGCAGTCTGCTCCCAGATATTTTATGAGATCTGTTTTCCCGCATCCAATATTTCCTCGATAATAATCTGCATGGATGAGTTATATGAAGAATGGTGAAGTGCTTCTTTATGTTGATAACTTTACTTTAGTTACTTTTAGGCTAGTAAAACATAATACCTGTGAACTCTCCTATGTAGTACTCGTTTCTATGTATTGTAAATTTTTTTTTGTTAGATCGTTGTATCAAGGCAACTAGATTTCGTAAAGTATAAAAAATAATATAATAGAGTCAAAACACAGTAAGGGCTGTTTACAAAACGCAAATACTCCGTAATAATCTGTAGTAAAGTAGTTCTCTGTAGTACAGTATTAACGATAATTTGTAGTACGTGTAGTAAAGTATTTCTCTGTACCACCACTGTCCGCTACCACGACTACTGTCGTAGACACTACTGCCGTATCTCGTAACAGTCCATAAATTCAGGCCTGACCTTTCCAATACACATTTACACGCTTACCCTGTGTATAGTAAAGAAAGCAACTTCAAACAATATAAATACTGTATATAAATGGTAAGATAATAACTGGAAACGCATGGTTTTGTTGCTATGCAGTCAGTTATGTAAAGAACACACTAATGCTATGTAGTACTGATAACACTTTGTGGTACATATCATAAATTTGTGGTACTGATACAGTGTTGTCGAGTCAACTTGCCACCTTTTTTTTCAGTGAGTCGTATCCGATTAGCATACAGCTTACTGTAATACGTAGTACTGGTGGTACATAATACTGATAGTACCGATGTACTTAGTACTACTAATAGTACTTGTTGTTGTTGTTGTTGTTAGGATTTTACAAAGTATTCTGTATTTATTAATAGCCAAATTACTATATCCAAGGCGAAAGCCGCTGCGGCAGCTGCGACCTATTGTACCAATGCACACCAACGTGCATTTGTTAAAAGTAGGTTATAATTAATACAGCACTGGAAAAGGTTAATTAGTTTTCTTAACTACACCAGCAACTACTCGTTAACTGAAAATGAACTCTTCATTGAAAGGAAAGTTGTCCGCCGTATCGAAACATGAGGCTAAGTTCGTGCAGGAAGTCTGCATTAAGAATTTTAGCCACCAGGTTGAAGACTACGTGTCTGGTGATTTATTGAACTGCATAATCTACCATGCTCAGACCAACAGAACAAAAGAGATGGCTGTTTATGGTTCGTTGTTGGCTACAACAGCAACAATTTCCGCAGAGAAAGTTCTGTTGCAAATCACAGAGAACTACAAGAAACAATGCCCAGCCATTAACTTGCTTATTGTTTTGCAATCCGGGGGGAGGAAAAAGCACAGCTTTGCAGGACTACTGTACAGACTTTCTGGATGCAATTTCACAAAAAAAGAACAAGAAGTTCTATGATAATCCGCATACATTTGGAGGTAACAGATTTGTGTTTATAAATGGACATATACAATAATTATCCATATACAATAATTATTATTCATCACAATATTTCTTTTAATTTTGTACACCATTAATTTTAATTTTGTACAGTTTAAACACGCCACTGTTTACACACACTTCTACACTAACGAACGCACTTTCACAAACTATAACTTTGTTTTAGCTTATCGTACATTTCTTGCCGACACCAAAGGATTTGGTTCTGTCATAGCTGACGAAATAGCGGGAACACTCGGTACACTAACATTGGCAGAGGAAAACGCAGCAAGCCTGATGAACAAAGTTTGGGGAGGACAAAGCTTAAACGTGTCGTATAAAACAGCAGGATCGTTGAAGCTGCCTCGCAGTTCGTCTGCGTTTTTCGGTAGTTTGCATCCGCAGCCATTCTGTAATATTCTTAAATCTTGGACAGCCGGAAACGGCTTGGAAGACCGGTTGCTGGTCACTGCAGTCGATAACATCGTTACTGATATTCCGGAAAGCAGAGAAGCAAAACAGCGTCTGCCAAAGCCGGTGGTTGACTTGAAAGAAATGTTTATTAAATTGTATGAATATTTGGACAAACATCCTGGCTTATTACTCACTTATTCGGAAGAAGCTTTCGAATTTATTGCGAAAATATCTTCGGATGTAAAACGGATGCGCATTCTACACAACCAGAAAATTGCCAACGGTGAGTCATCTATGGATAGATCGGATTTTGTTTCGAAGTTGAGGACAACATTCAAAAGTTTCAATGCTGTCCCACATATTGAGCTCGTCCTATCAGAGTATGCTTACTATCAAGGCAATCATTATTCCCGATAAAGTACCATTGGAAACAGTGCAAAAGTCATACAATTTTGCTGATATCAGCGGAGGTGCCTTCAATGAATACGAAAACATCAGGCCGGCAACATGTGCTAAACCCACAAATTTCTCTCTTGTTCTTACACCGGGCGAATTTACAACATGTCGTATACATAATGACACATACGGATCCAGAAAAGCATTTGTGAGGCTGACAGAAACCGAGTTTTCTAATGCGGCGCTACAAATGCAAGAGGACGGTCTGGGCATTATAAAAGTTTTGTCATGTCCAACGGCAAAGAAGGAAACGTTCTGTATAAATGCCCCTGCTGAAATTGACAAGCAGATTTTGATCGCTGCCGGGCTGATTTTCACGGTTTACGAAAGTGCCTACAACGCGGACTTTGCATTACCACCATCCAAGAAACGTGAACTCTCGGAAATAATTGAGCAACTAAAAAATCAAAATCCTTACAACCGCAAAGCTTCAACTGAACGCGGCACCAAACGAGTTGCGCCCGACGATGAATATCCGATGGGAGTAAACATCTATTGACCATCGATTCCTAATACTGTGCACTCGCATTAAGTTTAATAACTACACATTTACGCTTATGTTACTAGTCGTAACGAAAACGAGTCGTACCGTTAAAATTGCTTCATGCTGTTACCAGAATTCAAAACATGGATATTATTTAAAGGTTAAAACATAAAGATTAACAATAGTAAGCTCGCTAGCGAAAACCTACATATAACTGGAACGGGTGTTATTATATGTAGAAAATGTTTTCCGCTGGCAAATTTGTCAGCACATCACACATTCGCAACCTGTATCAGTTTCACAGGATGCCGCAGTTTCGTAGGCTACTGCAGTTTTGCGGCCTATCGCAGTCTCGCAGGATGCCGCAGTTTCGCAAGATGCCGCAGTTTCGCAGGATGACACAATTTTCAGATTGTAATGACTTGATATTCCAGGGTCCCACCCCCCCACACCATAGACATTAACAAGTATCCATGCAACACTGTCCCACTAGTGCACTGATGCCGGCGGGTAATTCCTCAAAAACTCTATATCTTCCAAATGAAACCGGAATATTCAATTTCAAAAAGCATAGAACTGGAGAATGTGGTAAACGGTAAGTATTTACAACTTTCAACTGAACTCTTTGGAAGAATCTGCAGCTTCATAAACTGCCAGATGGCAGATGCGATGACACTGACGGCAGACTGCCGTGTCACGCTTGGAGTGTCTGCTCGTGGCCGCCCTCAGGTTGCAGTTACAGCACGATGCTGTACAGCCTGTACTTGGGTGCACGGCCACGCACTCGTACAGTCGTGATTTAATTAATTATTGTACGACTCTACGATTACCACGATTATTGGTACGATAAATTATTTAGAATCGGCGGTATACAGATCACAAAAGTCAGAATTTTTCAGTCAGGGTAAAGATGGGCTAATTCCTCAGCCGACAGCAGAAATAAGTGGCCCAGTCTAATTAACCGAACATCTCATCTAATTAACCGATATTGGCGCTGTTCCCATGACACGTACAGGCCGCATTTCCGCGTTGGATTTCGATGCTGAACCGCTGGCGCAGATTCTCCATCGCCCGTATCTCGCCCGTTTCCTGGCGAATCATCTGCCCGAGCTGGGTGACACAGGCGAGTGGCGTCTGTTCCCAAAAGGTCCGAATGCTTCGACGCCTACTGCCCGGCCGAAACATGTAGTCTGGTGTGATGTCACGATACTTCGCCACTTTATTCTGCTCGGCACACGCCGCGGCTGCTCCCGCTTGTTTCGCTGTTGCCGCGATTATTATATCTGAATAAGGATGTCTGAACTTCTGAGTAAATCTTCCTCTCAAAACTGAATTTTCGTTATATACTTGTAGATTTGTATACAGGCTTTATTCCCTTGTCGACTTACAATGAGCAACTATAACTTCCGTCTTTTATCACGCTGTTTAGACTACGGAATCGGTCGGTGCAAGTCATACGCACAACTCACTGCCTGCCAGCTCCACAGTCCAGACCAGACAAGAACGCAGAATCTTTGTACAGGTCAGCATTCCCAAGCAGCTTAAGCTTAATTCTCCGTTGTACAGCGACGGTAAATTACACATGAACCGTCGATACTCGTATCGCTTAATGCGCGAACGGAACGCAAGCCTTGCGTCGGTCACGGCCCAAATGCTGGCAAAGGTCATGGCGGACCCTGACCGATCTGTTCCGAGGAATGGCAGAGCGCTCGCGACCATCTCCTAGGCCTATATGATAGATACGCGGAACGCGTAACGAACGTTACCTTTTGAATGAACGGCAGACGGAAAGCATAACGAGCGGTATCTGCGCATACCGTGTTAAATCTGTTCAACTTAACTCGCACAATCTTTCTAACAACAAAGAGCTGCATTGACTTGAGTGTGGACCTGTGGTCGTGTGTGTAGATAATAGTTATAGTCTACTTCGCACACGTTAAATTGTTGCAGGTATGTTTGTTTTACTTGTCTCCGCAGAAACCTAAGAAAACCTAAGAAACCTAAGCAAACCTTAGAAAACCTAAGAACTACCGTAGGAACTTTTTTGGCAGTACCAGTGCGACAGTATACGCCCAGCCGAATGACAGGTGGCGCCACTGGTGGCGCATAGCGGACTACATGCCGTCATTGACTGCATGCTGGCATTTCCGTTATTTTGTTAAGCCGATCCTTTTACATTGCGAAAACCTTATACTAGTACTGTTGTGAATCTTTGAGCCTCTCTGTCCCCGCTAGAAACGATGCAGCTGTATCAGCCGCTGTTGGCGAATGGCAGTCAAATCAGCTACAACAACACGGTTGCCGTTCGCAGCGACGACGCGTCCGACGCCACGTGGTGGTTGGGATACATCCAGGATATGGACGGCGAGCGCGCCTTCGTCCACTTCGACTCCGCCACGACCGCAGCGCGCTGGTTGCCCGTGAGCGACGTCTGGCCGCTGCCGTTGTACTGGGACACTGACCGCGTCATGGAAGGTTACCACAACGTTGCCGTATTCGCGGCACTGCGCGATGACGATACGGGTGCGCTGCGCTTCCGAGCCGCCGTCATGCTGGACGCGCTGTGGGGCTGTATATCGTGCAGTGTGATGTTGTGCATCCGCACCGGCGCTGGCGAAACCCGTTCCGAGGTGGTCCACCAGCGCCAAGTGGCCGCTGCGCTGCCACCAGCGGATGCCTCCCTCTCCTCTACACCAGGAACTGCATTCCCTTCGACCAAGCCGGCGCCCTTCTCAACGGGCCGGCCGACACATTGTGCATGATCAAACATATGTGTGACGCTCTGCGCCAGGATTCCGTGGCCCGAACGAAGTCGACACAGCGGTATCTGGGTGACTGCTGCCGCTTTCACCTGCGCGTCGAAGCGGGTGTTTGCGTCTTCATCATCGTCGGTCTCGCGGTGGACGCGCAGGCGCCACACACGCTAGCTGAAACCTTACCGCACATCCTGCAAACGCATCTGGCCACCCGCGCTCATCTAACAGTAACGCCGATCCGTAATCGAGTATTCTGTGCCAGTGTCGATATTCCTCGCGAAACCGGTTAGCACTGTTAACGATATCTTAAGTATAGAATTTTCGAAATGAACCACAAAAAGATTTTCAGTAGACTGGTAAGATATCTCCGTTAATGGATTTGACTACTGCAAAGGGATAATAATAATAATAATAATAATAATCTATCAGCCGGTACTCAACATAGTCAGATTTAGCAACGTTTTCCTCTTAGTTGTCGACGTTGATGCACTGCTGTGGACTGCCGGTATCCGGGATTTACCGCCGTCGCTACTAAGCGACATCTTGACACATTTGGACTTGCATTCCAACATGAGAGCGCAACGGTACGCGATATCTTCGCGGAGTTTTATCCTTGAAGATCGTTATTCTTAAAGGTCACGATCGACTGCACAAGGTGTGCGTCTTGTGGCAGCTGTTGCTGAGCAGTCCGCGCATGAGAGAACACATCAGCATTTCGTTGGAAAAGTGCTGCCCGCTGACAGGCGACGCCGACAAGTGCGCCCTGCGAGCAGACTCCGATGACTGCTTTACGATGGCCTCGCTGCTCAGCCGCTCCATCAACGCAACGACCATCAGTCTGAGCCTGCTGAGCACCTTGCCACTGTACCAGCCTCATTCTTGCAACCCATTCTACGGACCAGGCAGATTAAACTACGCTGGCTGCTGCTCCAAGACCACATTAACCCCGAACCCAGAGGCTACCAGCGGCGACAACCGTCGCGGGTCACGCACGGGACCGCGCGGGATATCACGGTCTATCGGCCCGTGTGCCGCTTCGTCTGGCTGCGCAACTGGACCGTGGCCGGCCTTTTCGGTCGACAGATGCACGATGCCTTTGTCAGTAATGGCCACTATTATGTGGAAGATCTCGACGTGCAGGTGACCGCTCGTTCCTTGCCCGCGCAGGAGCGGCAGTGGATGCTGCCGCTCACGGAGCGGTCGCACGAACTGCCCATCGACCAGCTGCAGATCCGTATTCCCCGAATGCTGCTACGCTGCAGCGAGGGCAAGATGCACATGACCTGTCGCGTCATGTCCGCGCTGAACGACCACTTCCCGCCGGTCACGCCGGAGATGCTGGCAAAGGTCACGGCGGTACATGAGCGCTGGCAGCGCACTCTGGCATATCCCGAGGAATGGCAGCGTATTCGCATCTATCTGCAATTGTAAGTCCCAGTGCGATAGAAATACTCTGTATCGATAGCGATAGAAATTACATGTACCGCCAGCAGGAGTGTTAATTGCCTTTCTCTACTGCATATTGGTTGCTGTGTTATGAAGATCAAAATCCTTATTTTAAAACATTTTACCGACCACATCTCACGGTGAGAAACATCTTGAAATTAGTCTTGCTGCAGCTTACTCCGAATGTTGCTCCGCGCCTTCCGCGCTTCTTGCCCCCGCTTATGCGTTCTTGCTCCTCAGCTTGCGTTGCTCGCTGAATCTTGCTACACTGTACTTGCTAATAAACACTAGCGATGATCTCGTGTTGTGTTGCTTAACCGTCATGGGATGATCGCGCATCATCCCATCGTTGTCACCCGGTAAACGGTAGTCAGCTTCCGGTCAGCATCGCTGCCGATCGTACCAGCCTTTCCCACACTAACCGCCGACAGATCGTGGTAAGGTGGATTAACCAACCCACTAGAACAGCAGTCAGACCGGCTGCTGTTACAAAAGAAGGTTTGTGTACGGGCAGTAGGTAAGTGCCAAGGCATGGCGTGTAGTGACTGATCCTTGTACTGCCCGAAAGCCAGCTGTGCAAACGCTGAACCAGGTACTGGAAAACGAACCTGCCACGTACTAATTATATTTTTTGTGGTGCAGGTTTAGTGGATTTCACTGGGATGGAAGACCGAAAGCCTGGGACGACGTGGATCTGCGGGTTGTAAATGTATCCACCTTGAGCAAACTGGCCATCTACGGGATCAACGAGGTGTTCCGTGTGAGGCCAGGCAACGGCAGTGCTGATTCTACTAACAGGCATACATGTATAGCTAGCACGTGGCTGTCTGCTTTGACAAAATAATAGTGTCCGGATTGCGTTGCAGTCGCGCTAGCTGGGAACGTGTGCACTCTAACTGCTCAACGCTCGTGTTGCATGATGCTTCGCATATTCTGCATGATCGCTTAGCTATCCGTCGCGATAAATAAATTATCGCAGTGAGTGCGTTTGTATGCGAGCTGTACTCGTTGTAAAAACCACTGCCTACTTAGTTGAAAACTCAATGGATCGAATGCGCGACAACCGATAGAATAAGCGGCACATCTTGGTACATAATCCTTAGTCGTTATTAACACCAGGAAAGATCATACAAGGTGAGAAAGGCATGCTGCTGGTCAATCTCACAGCAGCAGCACGCAAGCCTGCAAAGTTGTCTTCCACCGGAAATCGTCTTGGACGTTGTCGTGCTCGTTTGCACGCTCCACTTCCTGCTATCCATTTCGTCATGATCAGCTGATCATTCCTTGAATCCGACAGTGCAGCGCATTCGCTCCATCGATCAACGCATTCGCGGCACAAATCAGACAGTACAGCTGTGACCTTTAGCTGCCTTTTAGACCCGGTCAATTTGGCGGGAAAACTGCATACTGGAGCTGGTGGCGAAGAAGCCGGGCGCGATTTTTCGCGGCGCCGCCCCGGGGCGCAGTCGGCGGATGACCTTTCGAAGCCCCGCAACCGGCGCGCCAGGAACAGCCGGACGTCGTCCAGCATGAGCGCCATGAAGAAGGGATCGAGCGCCGCCTGCAGCGACCACAAGATCCAGCTGACGCGGAACAACGTGCTGAGATCCTGGTCGGTGAAGAGGACGGCGGTGTAGTAGCCCTGCGAGGGGATCCAGTTGACCATCACGCTGCCCGTCACCAGCGTCAGCACCAGGAACCCGTGCACGTTCTTGCGCGCCTTCACCTCGCTGGGATGCGAGTGACCGCCGCCCGTGGTGGCCGTCCCGGAGACGGTGGGCGCGGTGCGGGTGGGCCGGCCGCCCTCGGAGTCGGAGGCGGAGCGGCTGCGCTTCTGCATGGTGGCCATGTACAGGCTGCGCTCGCCGTTGGGCCCGGCGGCTTTGGCCTGCCGGCGGCGCCAGTCGACGTAGATGCGCAGGTAGGCCACCGCCATCAGGAAGATGGGGATGTTGAAGTTGAGGAACTGCGTGATGATGCCCCACAGGCGCTGCCCCGGCACCGCCACGTTCAGATTACAACCGCTGCAAAAAAATGGCCATTTACATATTATAATCATTAAAATGTATATACCACACAAACTTATGACGACACGTATATATTAAACATATACTAAATATTAAATATATACGGGACGGGATTTTTATTGGGTTACACAAATGAACATTGTTTAAACGCTAAATCACGCAATAACATTATTTCAACACATAGTACACTTCATCCAGCCTCCTACCGATGCAGAAGGTTTCCTGAGCGCAAGCAGCATTACCTCGCATTAAAGCAATACTGATTCTCTGCTTCAGGAACTGAGTGGACCGCTTTTCCTGGGTCCTCTCAAAAAGCATCTTACCAATACGTATGTATTAAATATATACGTATTTCGTATATATATTTTTTATGTATGTATAAAATTTTCATACATATATAAAAATATATATAAAAATACGTATATATAAATGGAAAATTAGTTACTTATATATATATGCATATATAAAACATATATGCATATATGATATACATACATTTTATACATATAAAAAAAAATTATCTCTACAACTATTTACTTTAGAACTATAGTAACTATTTGTACAAATTGCGCTTTAAGCAATAATGCGCGAATGTGGTCAAAAAATGTCCGACATTTTGTATGTATGCTACTGACCCGGTCAGCACCGGAAGTCGGTAATAAGCGGCGTCCAAGATCCATCCCGATCCCAGACACACGTGGACGTACACCCACATGCCGGCACACAGCGCCCCGGCCACCCTTAGGGAGTGGTGCGTGCGGTAGTGGTGCGGGAAGGTCATGGCCCAGAGGCGGTTGGTGGTGATGAGGAGGTGGGACTGCACCACGCCGGCGGCCAGCGGGTAGTTGGCGTACAGGTACAGACTACACGCGCCCTCCCCGATGGCCCAGGTGGCGTGCAGGTCGTTGTAGATGTCCAGGGGGTTCTGCGCCAGGACGAAGAGCAGGTTGGCGCACATCAGGTTGACCTGGTACAGCGTGAAGGGCCGGCTGCTGAAGGAGAACTTGCGCGATAAGAGCATGATCACCAGGACGTTGGATACCACCACCAGCGTGAAGACGATGATGGTGAAGATGGGGGCGTATGTCCAGGGCGCCGCCAGGTCGGCGGGGGTTGAGGCGTTGCCGGTCTGGTTGGGACAAAGTGCCGGGTCGGTGGAATTCAGCATTAACGTATCGTTTAAGCATTGCATGGTATATATCCGTATAATTAATAAGAATTTAAAAAATTGGAAATCGGTCGGTCGATCCGCAGTTCAAAAATTGAATAAAAAATCAACAACGGGATACGTCCAGATTATTCAGTCCTTCGTTGCCGGTCATATGTGGCTGTTTAGCAGGCTAGAGTCTCGTTCGTTATCGGAATTAACCAGACTAGAATTCCCGGATAAAAAAGCGGAAATCGATTAGTCGTTCCGCATTCATAAATTGGATATTAAAATACACAATCAGCGCATATATATAAAATATGCCCAGCGATGGGTTGGGGCAGAGAAGCACGTTTCTGCGCAATATGCGTCCAAAGCATCTGCGTTTTTACTCGCACGTTGTCGCGAAGTGTCGGCACAATGCGGGATGTAAGAAACGAGATTTGCCGAGTGTTGCTTAATTGACGCAACTGCCTGTTAAGCTGTCTCCGTTGCGAGTGGATGCGGGAAGGAAGAGGGCAGGTAAGGCGGCCGGAAGTGGAAGAAAGCGGCGCTCCTGAGTGCCGTGTCCGATCGCGGATGCCGGCACAATGCCGGCATCGATCTCCGCTGCCGGCGCATAATGGCCGCCTGTCATCCTTCATCAGCGCAATCACGCTCGGATGTGACAGGCGCGACAATGAGCGCCGGCAAAACGAATTATGCCGGTGCTAGTTGATTAAGTACTTTTTACCGGGTTCTGTATAGGATTGCTGTAAGGAGAGCGGAGAGGAAGAGAAATGTAGTACGTGACGGAAGTTTTTGGCCGGCAATCGCGGTCAATTACGCCGCCCTGATTGCCTGATAAGCCGGCTTAATTGCGCGCCGGAAGCGGCTGCGACACGTACGCGGCACCTGCGTGCGTTAGTCGTTAGCGTTAATCAACGGTGTGCTTGCTGTTCCACAGACATACAGTCGCTGTTCGAGCCGATTAAGGGGATACCGATTCCCGTCGGCAACGGCGGAAACGATCAGTTTTCCCGCTAAAATCGCTACGTCATACCAAACTAGATTCAGTTTTCTCCATCCTCGATCATACAGCATCATGCTCATTAATTTTATATATGCGACCTTGTGAAGCTCATTAATGCAGCGATAAAGGTCATCACCGGTAATCGATTTGACCATAAATCGGCGATGACGCATATATATTCTGACCGGTTGAAAGGATCGCGAGCAGCGAACGTTCCCCGGCAACACCCGCCCTGGGCGTGACTGTCGGTGTCGCGCTAGCACCCGCCATGACGTCAACGCTGGCTTGGTCGCTCTTACTTGCCGTTGTGCGTTCGCGTCGCTCACTAGTCAGCACGAGAATAATTTTCTCGTGTAAGTCTTCTTTATTTGCAAATTATTGTTATTACTCATATAAATTGGACTCTAATTTATTAACAGGAAAAGTCTCAACGGAGAAACGCAGACAGTGTTGACTATTTGGAGGTGTCCGAAGAGGGCGTGGCCTTGTTAGTCGCGGCCATATCGAAGGAGCTGCCGCGCCAGCTGCGGGTACAGGAGGAGCAGAGACACTTCACGCTACACCCGCTCCCCGCCGCCGCTTCCCGCCGGCACCCCCCGCGGGCGGCTGCCCAGCAGCGCCGGACGCCGTGCAGCCAGTGCCGGAAGGACTCCCGCACGGTGTCCATCACCACGGCGAAGAGGATCGGGTTCAGTCCGGACTGCAGCGACAGACACACCGTGCTGATGCGGAACAGCGTCTGCATGCCGCTGCGCGCCGGGTCCACGTAAAAGACCGCGGTGAAGTAGATGGACGCCGGGATCTGGTTGAGGAACATACTCCACGTCAGCAGCGTCAGGATCATGAAGGACTGCGACCGCGCCCGCGGGCGGGACGGCGGCGACAGCGGCAGCGTCCCGCGGCAGGTGTCCGACTCCCGGTGCACCGCTCCCGGGAGGGGCGACACCCGCTGCAGCCGGGCCAGGAGGAGCTGCCGGCGTTTATACCAGATGAAGAAGTAGGCGCAGGCGCTGAATAAGAGCTCCAGGTTGAAGTTGAGCCACTGTGTGACGTTGCCCCAGACCTCCAGGGCGCCGGCGCCGGTGTTGACCACGCAGCCGAAGCGGGCCGGCGGCCGGCGGTAGCGGAGGGCGTCCAGGAGCACCCCCGAGAGGAGGCAGACGTGGGAGAAGGCCCACATCCCGGCGATGAGGAGGACTGCCACCCGGCGGGTGTGGTGATCACGGTAGTGCACCGGGAAGGTGACGGCCCACAGCCGGTTGACGGTGATGAGGACCTGCGCCGAGATGACCCCTGCAACAGCGCCACCTATAACACAGATGGCCGGAAGTGGAGGGACAACAACAACACGTACCGTTGGAGAGGACGTAGCTGGCGTAGAGGAAGAGCGTGCAGACGGCGTCGCCCAGCCACCAGCGGGCGTAGGAGGTGGACAGGAGGTCCAGGGGGTGCTCCACCAGGATCCACAGCAGGTTGCTGACCAGCAGGTTGAGGAGGTAGAGCGTGAAGGGCTGGATGAGGATCGCCGGGCGGAGGAGGAGGAGCAGGACGCCGGCGTTGAGCAGCAGCGTTATGACGGAGCTGACCACGTTGAAGACGCCCCAAACGGACCACTGCAGCGCCAGCGCGGGGGCGCTGGCGTTGGCGTCCGTCGCATTAATCAGGTCGTCCATTTATTAACCACCATAAATCATCGCCGCATGAAATTAATTACCGAAATACGTAAAATAACTGCGCGAGGATGAGTATATATCAGTCGCCATATATAATAATCCGACAAAAATTGTGTAAACATGGGATGTAAAGTGGGAATGCGATGATAATGATGTCGGCTGATGCATATATAAACCGCATATATAAATCATCGGCGGGCTGGTGTGAATTGTGAAATACGAGCCATCGAGGTGATGAATGGGAATCGGCCGGCGCCGCGGTGGGATACATGTCAGATATGCGGCGCAGTGCAAATAGCGCGGCGTCCCGGCGGATCCCGTGGCGCGCGCTGTATAATTAGTCTGCACCGTTCGCGGGAACACTGGCACGTACGGCGTCCGCGTGGGCCGTGTCAAGTGGCGCAGCGCATCACAATGACATCGTACGGTGTGGTACGTATAGCGGTACGTATTCCGGCTGACGGAAGTGCCGGGTTGACAATGACCCTTCGGGAAAGCGGCGGTTATAGGGGGAATGCAATCAGCCGGCACTTGATCACACGTCGGATGCTATTCACGGCGTTCCCATAATACGCCGCAGCGTGGGAACGGCGCTACGCCGAACGGGATTAATGAGCACGCTGTGCGCTGAATTTAGATGGAGATTGTACCGTGTATCGGGGACGATTTGGCAGATTGTTCTCCGGTATAATTAGCGGGGATTATTTTTAGAGCATTATTGGGAAAGTTTGAATGAAGAAGAAAAGTTTGGAAGCGCCGATGAGCCAGGCATCGGCAGTCGCATAATGAAACCGACGTTGATAGGAGATCGTACAGTATGGCAGAATGGCAGCCGGTGTATTACGCAACGCGCGTATCTGTACGTCCGGCACGCACCGTCAATTAGCCGGTCGTAAAAGGTCATCCGCAATGATAGCGTTGGTTGCGTATATGGGAGGTGTCGGTGGTACGGAGGACGAGATAGTCAATGGTACCGGAAAAGCAGTTAACTAGTACTGCTTAACACGCCGGTCACGAACGGATGGCGCAGCACGCATTATTTGCGTCTGTACGACGTCCATGCACCTCGCACAAATACCGTTATACCGGGATGCACATCCCGGGAGTGCCGGCAGGAATGGTAGTCCGGGTTTGAAGGACTCCGGGAAATGTGCGGGATGACAGGAAGCGAAGGACGGCATTAGTGCACGTGGTGTGCAGCGGTACATCTCATGGCCCGACGAATTACGTAAACGGCATAAATAATGGCGGTTATAATGATGCAGCGCGTTTGTGTTGTACAACGGTTAAGTAAGGTGCCAGGGACGCAGATTAGGCAGGTTGTTAAGTTAACATTGCTGCTCGTAGTGATGATCAGCAAAGGTGATTGTTATTTATTATCTTACTCCTGAAGCTGTCACGCTACGCCCCGTTCTGACGCATTGGTGTTATAATGTTATATAGATATTCGTTTGTGTCATGCACACATTCAGTTGCAAGTGCAACAGGTAGCGCGCCATTGACGATCGTATCATTCGTACGTATAACCAAGAACCTACTATAGGTAGACTATAGTAAGTACTATAATTATTATTAATATTATTGTTATTACGGCACAAGAGCAGACAACCCCAAGGGGACTTCAAGTCTGGTCGAACAAAAACATTTTCAATAAGTACTTGGTATAACGAGTAAAGGTATTACGAGGTACATATATTACGAGGTTTTGTACCGTTGTACGTGTGGATGGTGAATATAATAACAATTATGCTATGGATAATGCACGAAATTAACACTGAATAAACGTACGTACAGTGCTAGCGTTTCCGGTGGTATGCATATGCTCCCAGGCTCCCAGCCGGCGACACTATATTTATATACGCAGGTTTATATAGTATATAGTATACGCGCTGGCAGATGCTAGCTGGAATTGAAGTACGGGCTGAGCGCCGTCTCGTCGACCGCTGCAGCCGCATAAAAGTTTGTTTAACGGCACAATACGCAAGGTGAACGACTCGTTAGTAGTTTGTACTGTACTGCCACTGCATACGCTAGCGGAAGTGTGATTGATTGCTTGTGGATGGCGGTGCTGAAGCCATCCAGATTGTTCTATCCTGGCCAGATACCCGAGTAAAACAGTTTGTAAAAAAAACGTTAGTTAAACGTTAGTCAAACGTTAGTTAAAGGCCAAAATTCGAACATGTTCGAATTTTGGCCTTTAACTAACGTTTAGCTAACGTTTTTTTACAAACTGTTTTACTCGGGATATTTGTATTGCAGACGTAGCAGGAATGCAGGATTATCCGAGAGTTATGGTTATGGGGACGCACATGTTAACTGTACAACACAGTAAATCCAGGACGGTGTCAGTTAATCGCACAACATTATATATTACTGCCACCGGAAATGACTCGAACTGTTGCCCGCCCACTCGCTATACTCTGCAGATTGCCGATTGCCAACGATCATACAATTAAGTGTTAATCCACTCTAAAATTCTGTCGTTTGAAAGATTCCTGCAAATCATGCCTGACAAGATGAAAGATACACAGACATTAATATGGCTGGATAAAAAGCACAATGTTTAACATTCTGTGTAACCTGTAATTGGCTTCGTTTTTACAAGGCAGCTCCATTAATATTGATTTACCATCAGTCTGCTTCCAAACGCCGCGTTAATGATAATTTAAAACAGTTTTTTGGTAATTAAGTTCTTATGCTTTCTTATGCCATTTGTATTTTGTCTGAAGATAATCAAACCGAAAAAGTATGGGATTTTTCCCGAACTGTCAAAATAAAGTAAACAGTACGCTGCCGCCTTGAGCGGTTGCAGGTGGGTCAAGCACCGGAAGCCCCTGAATTTCCTACGTTTGCAACTTCCAGCTTGGAGGTTTCCGTAAAACATAAGTTATATTGAACAGAAAAATAATTTCCGCATGAATGTGGTATATTTTGGAGGAAATCGTTTGGAGCGGTGCGTTTTCCGGCGCGCTTTTGCGTGACAACAGTGCGGTGTTGGAAATTGATTAGCTGCGCCGAACTCAATGCCGACCGCCTGCCAGATGCGTGCTACGCGCGCCACGAGGATCCGCTTAGACTGACGTGTCAGCAAGTCAGCACAGCGTCGCTACTCGCTTGCGCAAACATTTCAGCGTAAATTTTGTCAGTGTTTCCCCGATTTCTGCCTGCAGGTCTTGTTTTCTCCCTTCCCTGCAGTTTGCAGAATACACTTTACCTTTCCTTTATTTTTTTAAAAGAAGCGGGAAAATCTCCTCTATCTGGAGCACTGTCTGTTGGAGTGTGATCTTCAAGCGCTGATTGTGAATCAGCGCAGTTACAAGACTGTGTGTCGTTTGATTTGAGTGGACGCAGTTTCGTTGAGGATGAGTTTCGGGGAGTTGGTGGGGAAGCAGCTGGGCGCCGTGGTGGAGAACCTGGGCAAGGCGTTCCGCGACGCCTTCGCGCAGACGGAAGGCCTGGACCTGAAGGTGAACGGGACGAACGTCTCGGCGCTGGACGGTCTGGGGGGGAACGGGACGAACGGGACGGACGCGGCGCTGTCCGGGAAGAAGATCCCCGCCACCCTCCAGGGCCTCTTGACGGCCTACACGGGCCTGGTCATCATGGCGCTGCTGCCCATCTACCTGGGCTCCTTCAAGTCCGTCAAGTTCCAGAAGCACAGCAAGGTAGGGACGACGGCCCCTCGGGGGGCCCCCGGGGGCGCGGGGGCGGCTGGGTAACGGTGGGGTGGTGTGTTGCAGACGCTGCCGAAGGACAAGCAGCCGGAGAAGATGTCGGCCAAGGACGCCATGATGTTCCCCGTCATCGCCAGCTGTGCGCTCTTCGGCCTCTACCTGCTTTTCCACGTAAGTTCCAAAATAATCAGCATTTTTTACTATTCAGTCATTAAATGAATTATTATTATTAAATTATCAGTATTATTTTTATTTTAATTTATTATTTTCATTATCCAGTATTCAGTGGATCGGTAGTAATTTTTGGATAATTGTTGCAGTAAATGAATAATAATTTTGCATGTCTGTTTCTGTTTGGATAATGGCAGAATATCTCTGTCTGAACCGTTTTATCACTGGATGTGAAATTTGAAACAAAAATATTGTTTTTGGATAATGGTGATAAGAATTTGTGAATCGTCATTGGCGCCGGTGGGTGCCGTTATTATTTTATTTTAATCATATTTATTCTTGGAATTATTATGGCTTTTTTTAACAAACAACTATTCGATACTTTTCTCTGCTGTTTGCATAATTATCGGCACTGCTGTGCTTGAATTATTCTACTGTAATATTAATTACCTATTTATTAATCGTGCATATTGCCATAAAAATAATGTATTTTTTTATTGATAAAATTTATACCATTGATAATTGTTTTTAGCTGCATCACTTATTGACGGCTGCATCAGCTACTTTAATAATAAAAATTCTAAAAATAATGTTTTTTGTTTGTGTTGCAGTTTTTCGGGAAGGAGTACGTGAACTACCTGCTGACATCCTACTTCTTCGTCCTGGGCATCCTCTCCCTCACCAACTTCCTGGCGTACGTAATTTTCACTTGTTGGACTGGATGATTAAATAAATGAATGAATAACTGATCAGAAATAAAAATACAAATAAAATACATTCAGATAAGAAATAAATTAAATCATGGGTAATAAAGCTAACAAGTAAGGGGTGTCTTGTGATTGCAGGCCGTTGACGGAGCGGCTGCCGTTGATCCCGCGGGAGCCTCGCTTCCGGCTGTCCTTCACCGCCAAGACCGGCGACACCGTCGTGCGTAAGTTGCGCCGCTGAATGCTGACATTTTCACCGGTTCCGGTCAGTTGTTTTCTTCTCACTGCAGCGCACGTGGAGCTGGAGTTTGGCTACGCCAACGTGCTGGCCTTCCTCCTCAGCGTTGGCTGTGGTGTCTGGTACATGCTGCAGAAGGTCAGTCTCCCTTTATCACTCTTTCCAAACCTTCCTGAATTTTTCTCTGTATTTTAAATGAATGAATTTTGCATTTTAAATGAATTTTTTATTTCTTTTTTAGTGAATGTATTTAGATTTTTCCTGTAATTTTTATGTATTTAAAACGAACTGCCTCTCCAAATAATTTAACCGCTGTTTACCGGTATTTGCAGTTTTTCTTAATCAGCTGCTTATTCAAAGTTTTTCTTACGGTGCTGATCCAGGCTCCAGCGCAGCCGCATCGCTTCACGGGCTGCTAAAATTATAAAATTAATTCAGATTAAAATTCTGATTAATTCACGGCTGATTTATTTGGAATAAAAATTGACGAATTAATTCAGAATAAACTGGTGATAAATGAATGGGCAGTGAATTAATGTGAAATGATGTGCAGCACTGGATCGCCAACAACCTGTTCGGGCTGGCCTTCTCGCTGAACGCCATCGAGCTGCTGACGCTGAACACGGTGATGACGGGCGTGATCCTGCTGGGCGGCCTGTTCTTCTACGACATCTTCTGGGTCTTCGGCTCCAACGTCATGGTCTTCGTCGCCAAGTCCTTCGAGGCGCCCATCAAGCGTATGTTGATTTCCTCTCTTTTCCACTCTTGATTAATCGCTAATATGGCGTTCCCCTCGGTTGCAGTCATCTTCCCGCAGGATTTGTGGGAGCACGGCTTCTTCGCCAAGAACTTCGCCATGCTCGGCCTCGGCGACATCGTCATCCCCGGCATCTTCATCGCCCTCATGCTCCGCTTCGACCACCAGTCAGTACACCCATTCATCCATTTATTTCTTCATTTTTAAGTGATTAATTATTGATAATATTTTTTTATCCATTTTAAGTCCTTATTATTTGTGGGAATTATTTTGTTTTCTTTACTTAGCCTTACAAGTTAGCGTTATTATGATAATAATAAATTAAAACTGTTAAAATAATTGAATTTTTTTATTTTTTATTTATGATTATTGGTTAAAGGAGAAATATACAGATGATTATTTTTTCGAACTAAAATAAGTTTAAACAAATTAATTCAGCCATCGGTTTCGTTGCTGTGATACTAACGAGCCTTGCTGTGGCGTGGTTGCAGCATGCAGGAGAAGAGCGGCCGGCGTTTCCACTGGTACTTCCGGGCCACCTTCCTGGCCTACTTCCTCGGCCTCCTCGCCACCATCGTCGTCATGCACGTCTTCAAACACGCCCAGGTAAACCACCCGGTTATTTTTTTTCACGAATATCCACAGGATTTATTGCTAATTATTTTCATTTATTTATGCAGTTATTTTATTCATTTTCATTTTAATCTTGATCAGTATTATTTTACTCTTCATCTTGCTGATGAATTGGTGTTGATCAATTTCTTGTATTCCTTCTGTATTTAATTGAGCAATATTCAGGCACGAGTTGATTTCTGATTTCTGTCGGTGGATTTATTTTATTATTTTATATGAATTTATTAAACATATTTTTCTGTCGTTTTCCCGTAGCCGGCGCTGTTGTACCTCGTGCCGGCGTGTCTGGGCGTGCCGCTGCTGTTGGCGCTGGTGAAGGGCGACCTGCGCGAGATGTTCAAGTACGAAGACCACCCCGCGACGCCGGCCGACGCGGACGCCGACAAGAAGACCGACTGAGGCGGATCATACACTCCCCTTCCTGTTTCCACGATTCTGCTTCGTTGTCATTCAGAACAGAGTTTTTAACACATTATTTATTTCTAATCAATTATTATTTTGACGGACAGCCTACTTAATGTAATCTCCATCATGTATTGACGCTGCGTGACATGAACCTTTTCTGCTTTTTTTTATCAACAGAACGGACAATTTCCCATTTAAATTGCATGTATTTTTTTTTCTACATAGAATTCTGGCTTATTTTCGGTTTTTTTAGTCACAATATTTTTTGCGAAATTCCTGGCAAATTTACAACGTAAAGCGAGGGAAACTGTGCGGTTACAGTGTTTTATTAATTGCTGCACAAACTAACAAAAACAACTCCAAAAACTAATCAAATCGCGGCTGAACCATCGCACTGCGCCGCTGTCGGTGTGCCTGAGGAAAAAGAGAGTAGTATCAAATTATCGTCACTGGTCTCGGTCTGACAAGTGAACGGACTAACGGAAGGCCTCAACCAACACATCAAAAATATCCTACAAAATCGAAATAACCTGGGCCCCGCGCGGAAATTGTCTGATTAGGAACAGGGAATTATTACACAAAAAACATACAAAAATACTCTGTCCATAAGGTTAGGAATAGGAAGGGCAAGAAACGAGAATATCGCCGCCTGTGCAAGAAACCAACCAACAGATCCAACCATTCCGGTGCGCCACTGCAACAGCCACTATTCCTCCCCGGCGCGCCGCTCAGTCCTGTTTGGTGCGCTTACGCGGACGGCCCACCTGGCCGCCGGTCTTGGCGCGCTGCGCCGCGCCCGCGGCGGCCTGCATGTCCTCGAAGTGGCGGCCTTCCGGCGCCAGGATCTTCGGACTCATCTGCGTCGGCTTCCTGACAACAACAACAACAACAGATTTATTTATCCGAATTAAAGTAATTAAAACAATTCCCATGAGTAACGACAATAAATTACCAGTTTTAAAAATTAATCTACGATAATTCAAGCCACCCACAATAAACGTAATCAAATTATAAATATATAATACTCTGTAGAAGAATAAATAATGAAAATAATAATTCTGAGTGTAATATTGACTGAATAAGAATTAATATGAATACAAGATATAATAAATCTGTACAAATGTCAAGTAAAAATTAAAGAAGAACTTCTACGCTGACCCGTAGTCGGCGTAGAAGTTGTTGAGGGCCCACGCGGCCTCCTTGAGCGTCGTGGCCTTCTGCCAGGTGCACTCGGCCAGCTCCCAGCCGCGCCACTTGATCAGCACCCACATCTTGTTATTGCGGCCGGGCCCGCTCTGCAGCAGCGCCCCCACGATGCGCTCCACCTCGTACAGCTCCTCGCCCTCGCCGTCGCGCTTCAGCGGGCCCTGGTGGGGGCGCACCGGCGACGACGCGGCCTCCTCCTCTCCCTCCTGGCTGCCCTGGCTGGTCTGGCTGCCCGAGGACGGCTCCTCCCCGCTCTGACTGCTCTCCGACGCCGGCTCCGCCTCCCCCGCTTTGGCCGCGCCCTGCTTGCTGTCCGCGTATTCCGTCTTCTCCAGCTTCACCAGCCACGCCTCGTGCGCCTCCCCCTCGGGGCTCATCACGCGCGGATTGCGCCAAGTCACTTTCCTGCATCAACGAGTTCAATTCCAATTAATTACACAATTAAATCCTGATTAAATTATCTGCATTTTTTGAAGGATTCAAATTTAATTAATCAGCTGAACAAAATAAATACGGACTAATTTAAACTGCTCATATTTGTATTTCTGCAAGAAAACAAAGCTAATTAATCAAATCACTGTTTCTCAATGTGTAAATCAAGTTTGTTATTCAATTAATAATTAGCAGTATTAAAATTAAATCCTCCGTATTTCTTGAAGAAATTAAAATGATTGATATCAAGAGTACTCGTATTAAATTAACTTTTTTTTTAGAGTTCAAAGCTAACTAACTGAATGGTTTACCTATCAGAAAAATTAAATTACTCAGTTTTTCTTCGATAAATCAAATTTGATAAATTTTTTATGTACTGTAACGAGCGCAATTAAAATCCAGTAAATGCACGTACCCGTATTTCTGGAAGAACTCCTCCTGCAGGTGGTTGCTGCCGGCGAAGGCGGTCTCCTCCTCCCAGGAGTTGTTCTCCGGCGTCCAGCCGACCCACTTGACCAGGTAGTACTTCTTGCCCTGGTTCATCACCGCGCCCAGAATGCTCTCGATTTCATAGTACTGGTTGCCGTTTTCGTTCAGCGCCGGGCCCGTCTTGTTGTCGTCCTTGGGCGCCTTGCGCTTCTTGCCGGCCACCTTCCCGTTCTTGGTGTCGGCGTCCCACTGGGCCGTGTCCTGGAACTGTTGTAGTTCGCGGTTTTGACGGATCTGCTTGGCGCTCATGTGCGGGTGGATGGCCGCGCGTAAGTTCGACTCGTCCTCCACCGTCCTACAGCAACGAGCAACCGAGGCGATTAACAGGAGAAAAACCAAGAATTTAAATAGGAAATACTGAGAAAAAACAATTACAAATTACAATAAATTACAACAAAAATTAATTACTTAATAAAATACATAAACATGAATGCAGTAACAACAAATGAATAAACAGCAATAAATAAAAATAATTATTTACAAATAAATGATAATAATAAATGAATAACGATAAAATGCCGAATTTTGCTTACCAGCCTTCGGCCTCCGTGGGGATGCGCTGGAGTTTCTGTAGTTTCTGCACGTAGGCTTCACGCAGTGGGGCCGGCACCTGGCACTGACGGCGGTAGTCGGGGTGGGCTTTGGCCGTGGCTGGCTTGCACCACATCCACACGACGTCCTTCTCCTGCACAAAACGCGCAACGCTCAACAGTCACTCAACACCACCGAAATGAAATTATAACGGATTTTAAAAAATAGCAACAAAAACGGTATAACGCTATAATTAAGGGGAATAATAACACTACAATTAAGGATAATAACAAAATTATAAAAAAGAATAGCAAAATCAATAAATAACTGAGTACAGAAAATCAGAAATAAAAAAGCAAATAAAAGGAAAACACTGGCCACGGACCATTTTGTGAGTCAACACTTCCAAGACAGGCGCCGGACTGGCGCTGCGCGGGGCCTTGGCCGAGGGTTTGGTGCTCATGCGGGCCACCTGCTTCGGCGGACGGCACCGGCGACATCCCAGGACTCCGCAGTTGTAGACATCCTGCACAAACAGACAACAAAGATGACGCAACAACTTCCACGTCGTCCATCGCCCTCACTTCACCATTGCGGATTACAGTCGGTTTACATCTTAGCGTTATCAAAGTAGATTTTTTATCAATTATAAAATCTGGAATTCCCCACTGCGGAGACGCGTCACACAATTTACAACTACCGCGCAGAAAATGGGAAAAACGGGCGAAATAAAATATAGTGTAAATGGCCCGAAACCTGTACAACAGCATAAACCAAGCGGCTGTAACAGTGAAGTGAGCCCCATGCGCCGTATTGATTGCTTACCGTGCGAATCTTTTCCAGGGCTTCCTCCACCTCCTTCGCCTGGCGTGCCTTCACGACGGAGTCCAGTTCGGCCGTCTTGTCGCGAGTCATTCGACGCTGCTCGACCTTGCGCTTCAGCTCCGCGTGACGGACGGCCATGCGGTGCTCGTGGGCGACGCGGGTACCAGACTGTGAAAATGGTAAACAACGTCACAACGTTCAGTGGACTGGTTTCAGCGAACTCACGAAATCCATGCAAAACTTTAGTAAACCCGAAAGAACACACAATGACCGTATGAAAACACGAATGTGCCAAGGATTTTTTATTTTATGAAGGGCGCAAAACGCAGGTAAAGAGGTTTCTCAAAAGGCAAACGCGCGGATCGCACGGACTTTCAACGCAGCATCGAACGCAGCAGCGCAGTGCCCGTTTCTATATCCTGTTTCTGCTGTTTGTCGTTTCTACACTTCTACTCACCATTTCTCAGAGGAATCAGGTTACCAGTAAAACAATCAGAAACACGTTTACAGTAAAGAAATATTCGAAGCGGAATTAAGAAAGGAAAATCTTGTCAACGTAAAAATTAAAAGCAATATTGTGCTGCCAGATTTCTGATTTCTCTCAGCTGCTGCGCTCGGAACCCAACACGAAACTGAACAAAGTAGAGAAAGGCAAGAGCCATCAGCCTCAACGTTGATCACGCGCCCACGGTACGACGGCCGGCCGGCCCGGTACGGAGCCGACAAATTAAGTTTTTGGAAATGTGATCATTTTGTGTTAGAAAGGTTAGTGAATTCAGAAATATTAATCTACCTAATTGATAATTTTTTAGGATAACGCAGTAAGAGTATTGAAGAAAAGTTTGCAGTTGACTAAGACCGAGAAAATACAACTCGGTTTGCGGTCCGGTTTAAGCTGAACCGGTCAAGGAAAAATTTAGCAGTAATGTATCGTACGTACGGCTGAACGTACGACTGGAGAAATTACTAATTATTTTATTTTTTTTACTTGAGTATCTTCGTCGACGTGATTTTCCGGAAGAGTCTCCAGCGCGGGGGCAGGATCAGCAGGGAGCGCGGCCGCGACCAGTAAGGGTGCGTTGGGTCGGCCTGTATCGCCAATGCGGATCTCTCCAGCGTCCACCAGCCACTGCAGCACAACGGGATCGACTAGATCCATCTTGAACACGTGATATTTTAGTAAAGCCACAAAAGGTTGATAAGAAATACAGGCACACTGGGGCAGTAATTCGGGAAAGGTTAAATATAAAAAATAATAAAATTTTTTTTGTACAAAAAATACTGTAATAATTTTTTGTACCATAAGATGTATTTTTAAAATAAAAATTTACAACTTGGATTGAATCATTGACAGACACAATTCACAAGATGGATTCGTTCAGCGCACGTGGATTAAGCACGTGGCGTTCCGCAGTAAATTTGCACGTTTTATATCGTACTGCAGTAGTGTACGAGTAAGTACTTACAATGGACGCAAAAATGAGCAACTCTTGTTGAGTCAACAAGGCTAGCCTGTTGCGCAATTGACAATGAATGAGAGAGCAGAGAGACGTTAGAAAGCGATGACCGGCGTTAGCCACTGGCACTGACCCACTGACGCTGTCTGACAGCCAGTCTGCCTGCGCTCCCGCGCAAAATGCAGCTGCCGCCCGCAGAGCGGCAACCGGCGGATGCACCGCACAGCACTGTACTCGAACCAGAACGAAGCGTTCGCCGCTTATCGGTTTTTATGGCCATTCCCGCGTCGGTTATGCAGTATAACGGGAAACTGAACGGTTCTCGTTAAATTTATTTCCTCAACAGTTGGCTGCAAAAATACTAAAGCCCGTTTTATGATCCACGAGGCTTACGTGCGCGCTTGTCGGGAAGATTTCTCCACCCTTATATATATAAAATGCGCGCTGCTGGTTGTATAAACATCTGTTTCGACTGAGTCCTTAAAGTTGCATAAGAAATTTAATGGATTTGGAGGATTCTCAGAGAAATAATAAATCCAGTGATTATACGACGTTGGCCAATCAATGGCTGCGAAGAAGGCAGTCGAACGTTGCGGTACATGTGATTTGTGTATGTACTGTACGTAAATAGCGGCTCTGACCGGAAACACGCCAGTCAGTATTCTATTCACCTGGCTGTGAACGGTTCCGCTGCATTAGTACTCGTATACGATTGTAACTTGTTGCGTGTTTATCGTTATTTTTTCGATCCTGTATCTTTGTTGTTCGACTGATTTCAATTATGGTATAATTATTATACGTACATAATTATTATACGTACATAAAGTATACAAGCTTCGTTCAATTATCAGCATACGCCGGATACTGCGTTACTGTTGAAATATTCGAATTCGCTGCATGCCGGCATTTGTCCCCGCCTTTACGTCGTCATGTCAGCCCCCCGGAAGTCGGTGCGTTTGAGTCGGAAGTGTCGTACATCCCCAACGGCAGCGGTGACGAGCGGAAGCCGTCCAGCAGCGGGGACGATGGAAGCGGCGGTTACGGCGCGACACTGCCGGCATTTATAGATGCTCGTAAAAGGAAGCCGGCATGGTTCCATATCAACTACAAACTGGTCCCGCTTAAAGTCCTTATGCTCCTTATGTACGGAGGTCAGTACACATGATAAACATTAAAATATAAATACGCCGACGGTTACAAAATGATTAAAAGCGCTCAAAAAGATTATTATAAATTAAAATAGCTGCAATACGTATGTATTAAAAATTATTATTTTATTACGTTGTTTAATTAAGACTATATCTATACAAGCACTAGTAATTTAATTTTTAATTACTTACTGTGACTGGTTCTGGATTAGCCAAATCATTAACGATATAATTGTTACTATCGTTAATATTAAAGTGCTCAGTATAACGCGTCATAGTCCGTAATTAATCAGTATTCAGTATGATTATTATTGTTTTAATTTTCTGTAAATAGTTAGGGTATACAAAGTACGAGCGGAAGTGGCGTTGTTTATGCAGGCATCGCGGCGCTGTACCCGTACTTGTCGGTGCACATGAAGAGCGTGGGCCTGTCCCTGACGGAGTCGGCCATCATCTACGGCATCCTGCCCTTCTTCAGCTGTCTGGGCCCGCTGCTGGGCGGCTTCCTGGCCGACAAGATCGGCAACTACAAGCTGGTCCTCATCGGCTTCAACCTCTTCAGCATCCTCGTCCACCTCCTGCTCTGCTTCGCCGTCCCCTCCGCCGTCTCCCGCATCCACATGACCGACTTCCAGCACGTCCGCTTCAACCTCACCCTGCCCTGCGCCGCCGCCCCGGGCCGGCTGCCGGCGCCGCTGGACCGCCCGCTGCTGAGTGACCTTTCGGTGATGGACCAGGACTGCCTGCCCAACACCACCTCCTGGCCGGGCCCGGACGCCCTGGAGTCGCAGATCCAGCTGCGGGAATGCCGTGCCTATGGCCGTTGCGGGTCAGCACGGCTCATTAATTAGTTCAATAATATACATATATACAGATACGTGATACGTTATATATATATTACATATACGTTATATAAAAAATATATATATGTTGTATGAATAATATATATACGTTAAGGCCGTGTTTAACAGAAACGCCAGTAGTCTGTGCGTGGACGCCACCACTTCCGGTTGGCGCCACTGCCTCCCCCTGGCGGACAGCAGCACCGGCGACACTTCCGGTCCGCGCCTGACCAACGCTTTCATCCAGCGCATCGCCCGCACCAACGACTGGTGGATCCAGCAGTTCTCCCTCAACGGCCAGTCCTCCACGCGCCTCGGCTGCCGCGCCGCCGACCACCCGGACTGCGAGGTGCGCTGCGCGGCGGTTGTGGGTCTCCTAGGCAGCTGCCGGGTGCTGACGCCGCCGGCCAACCATACCCTCGTCTTCGTGCTGTACTTCGCTCTGCGCATGCTTGCCGGCATGGTCGGCTCCACGCTGATGCCGCTGATGGACGCCGCCGCCTACCAGATGTCGGAGGAGCACGGAGGTCAGTCCCCGAAAGGTCACGGGCGCTCCGTAATCAACCGGGTGTGTTGCAGGTGATCTGGGATTTCAGCGGATGTTCTCGCTGATCGGCGTGGCCATCTTCCCGCCGCTGTCGGGGTACCTGGTGGGCGTGGCCTCGCAGTACACCGGCTCGCCCAACTACGCGCCCTCCTTCATTACCTTCGGCGCCATGCACTCGGCCGCACTGGTCATCAGTTGTTTCATGACGTTGAGTCTGCGCAACGCCGCCGAGAACATCGTCTCCAACATGGGCCAGATGCTGCGCAATCCCAAGGTCTTCGTCTTCGTCGTCATGATGTTCCTGGCGGGATGCGCGTGGGGATTTCTGGAAAAGTCAGTGTTAAGCGCAGCTACTGACGGTTGTGTGCTAGCATTAAATTAAAATAAATCATAATAAATTAACATCCAATTTTAAAAAAATTTAAAAAACAAAAGAAAATATCCATATATAAAATTTGTCATAATAAAAATGAATAAAGTATTAAATTCAAATTAAATTTAGATTAAATTAAATTAAAATAAGATAAAATTTGGGCAGCTACCTGTTCTGGTTCATGGAGGACCTGCAGTCGCCGACGTGGGTGCTGGGCATGACCAACACGGTCGCCTCGGTGGCGGCGCTGCCGGTGGTGGCCGGAAGCACGTGGATCATGCGGCACATGGGCCACACCAAGGTCTTCATCGGCTGCTTCCTGCTGTACGGCTGCCGCTTCTTCGCCTACAGCTCCACCTACAACCCCTTCCTCATCCTCCCCGTCGAGATCCTCGAGGCCTTCACCACCTCCCTGCTGTGGGTGGTCGCCTCCGTGTATTGCGGCAAAATTGCGCCCGATTATTTGGCCACGTTGCAGGGCGTCATCGGCAGCGTACATTACGCGATGGGTATATATATAATATACATATATTCAAATTGGGCATATTTTATGTATATTTATTACATAACTTATTTTAAAATACTTACTTCCAGTTTATTATAAGTTACTTTTTGAATTTTTATACGTAAATATATAGAACAAATAAAGGTGCAGTATTTATCTTAACATGCAATCCTTATCCCGTATTTACGGTGCTGTATTGTACATATGTACATGTATCAAGTAATTAATATTAATGGCATCTGTAATTTCATATGCCACAAGCTTTTGCGCAATATGAATACCGACATCTACCGTACTCGTAAGTATATATGCTACAAGGCGCAAGCGCAGAACATTTGTGCAATGAAGAGCAGCGTTATGGGAACGGCAGGTCATATTAAAGGTGACGACCTTGTCCTGGTGTAGGTCGCGGCGTGGGCGGCCTGGCCGGGGGCGTGATGTTTGAGAAGCTGCAGCCGCGGCTGACCTACATCATCTGGGGCAGCGGCTGCATGGTGGTGGGCCTCATCTACGCCGTCCTGCATTACGCCTGGTTGAAGCGTGTGCCCAATCCGCAGCGCACGGATGCCGGTACATATACACAACTATGCGTTTTATCGAATATATGAAATTATATAATTGACAGACGGCATGCGGCGTCCGAGCCAGCTGAGTCCGGAAGACGAGAAGATGCTGCAGCGCTTCGCCAAGATGGACGCCTTCACGCGTCGCTACACGGCCGCCAACATCCTGGCCGAGAGCGAGGAGTCGCCGTCCGCCGCGGGTAGAGACTCGCCGCGACGCGGTTCGGACGTCTCGGAGACGGAGAGCCTGCAGAAGGTCAGGGCGGCCGCCGCCGGGCGCCGCAAGAGCACGCTGGTGCCCACCGTGGCCGGCATGCGTAGCGCCAGACGCTGAGACCGCAGTACTTCCGGTCCACATTTTATTCTGTACACATACTAAAATGGCAAAATGGCCAACGCTTGCGGCGTATATATGCGACTAAAGAGTAATGTGTGCGGTGTTCATTGGCTAACTGAATTCTTCGAACAAAGTGACCAAAAGGTCACTGCTGAACCTGTTTGCTTAAAATATTCACAAATTAATAAGAGATATGCATATGTATATAATTATCATATGTACAAGTATTTAATTGTGCGACATAAAGGTCACGATAATTATGATAAACCATTTGCAAATTAATATGGAATTAATTTATTTTGTGATTTTGTTGTGCAACATGAAGGTCACGACAAAATGTATAAATTATCCAGATTATTTACAAATCAATGCGAGATATATTATATGTGTAATTTTATTGTGCAGCGTAAAGGTCACGTTGGATATCAAAAATAATTTACAAAATGGTGAAATCCAATAAAGGAAAGATCGGTGTGCAATCACGGTAAAGGTCATGATCAGGTGAGTGAGGCATGTACAATTTCGTTATATAAGAGTGGTGCGGGGCCGGCAGCGCAGGATGCTGATAACCTCCTTGCGGAGACCGTCCAGACAGAAGAGGTAGATGAGGGGATCGGTGCAGTAGAGGAGGCCGTAGTTGGCGGTGACGGCCAGCAGGATGTCGGGGTGGAAGTAGGCGGGGTTGTTCAAGAGGAGGTAGTAGGTCAGTTTGGGGCCCCAGAAGAACATCTCCGCCGACACCAGTAGACAGAACAGGTACAGCTTGGGGTCCTTGCGCAGGAACTGCAGAAAGGTCAGGGTCTGGGAGGAGGGCGGTTTGGAGGCGTGGCTGGGGGTCTGGCTGCAGTGGCTGGGGTAGCTGGGCAGGGGCGCCAGGCTGGACTGCCGCGAGTGCCGTCCGGGGAGGCTGGCCGGGTTGAAGGAGCACACTTCCGAGGGCTCGTACTTCACCATGTCGTCCGTGGGCTCTGCAATGCAGTGCCCAGTTAATAGGCCATTGCAGTAGTTTTGTGTATGTATAAAGGATGCGTATTAAATTAACCGTAAGATATATATACATACGTAGTATACCTGTAATTATTTACGTGTTTCAATTTGATATTGATAATATTATTCTTAGTTTCATATTAAATCGAAATACGCGTATAATTACAGTTACGTATGCACGTACAGTACGTACATAAATATATATAACCTGTAACTGTGCTATATAGAAAGATATACAAATTTTATATAAATTCAGTAAATAAGTATAGGTTGAATTATATGGGTTCTTGTTTATAGATAATTATTCTAATTATTATCCTACAGATGCGTTTCACAACGATGTACTGTACGGTATTATGTGTTACGTATAACCTAGTGTAGGCGTTAAGGTACGGGTAAATCAAACATTAAACAGATGGGTACATAACGCTATGTATTAAGCGTTAATGAGGGTAAAGGTCACGTTCATGCAGTGCTAGAGACGAAGCGGAAGCAGCGCGTTGACAAGGACGGCTTAACCGGTAAATAAGCCGGCGTGGAAGACGCAATCAGCGGCTGCCGCAGTCTCAAGGAGCAGTCGATGGCAGTTCGCCGGTAGTGCGGTCGGGATCGATTAGCACTGTTGACTGTTTACAGCCGGCGCCATTGAAATCTGAATAGCCATCCAGAATCTCGATTCATGTCTCCTCTTTCACTGCACCCGGCACATGTGTCAACGTTTCTTGTTGGTTTTTTAAAGCATTAACAGTAGCGCATATACGTCATATATATATGTCATATATGCAGATACCACAATGATGCATATAATTATTTCTTTGTTCTGCATCGCAGCAAAAAGACCCGTAATTAACCCAGTTCCAAGCAGCCGGCACCGGCTTCGCCCCTCTGTATAGTATAAGCGTCACTCCGGATGTCGAATGACGTCACACCGGATGACGACGAAACCGCAGAAATCACTGCTTTTTCTCAAGCCGTTAACGCTACCCCGCTAATGCGCGTAAAGTACGGTACATTAAGTTAAAAGCCGAACCCAGGGGCGTTTGCCGGCCGGCGTCGTTTTTTGTCTTCGTTTGCTCGCTCGATAATTATTCGCTTAAAGCGTTGCGGCGGATGGCGGAATATGGGAGGATCAATCAATGCGCCTGATTGTTTACAAGCGGATATAACAGTTACTCGTAACAGTCCTTAATATTAATACAGATCTGTACTTGGTACATCTTTAAGCGCACCGCATCGAAAACACAGTAGCATATTACTTTTTTTGGGCAAACTTTTCACATACTTTCCCAAGGTTTTCATTATAAAATAATAAAGACGCTACAAAATTTGGTATAGTGAAAACAACAGTGCCGGCCATGAATAACATTAAGCTCCGCTCTGTATAATACAATTGCCGCAACCCATTTTGAACTGATAAAACATTCCGCATGTTGATCAATATAGATATTGCAAATCATCAGCCTCGGCTGTTTAAAGAGGAGGAGGATAAATAATATTAATTTCGATTTATTTGTCGATTTTCCAATTCGATTTTTCTGCTTTAACTGCTTCGACCAGCGTGCGGTAATTGCGTCAGTTAAAAAGATGTGATACAAAAAAAATAAAAAAATAAAAAAGAATAAATAAAACACATCTAATATACGAGTACATTATAAAAATTACTGTGTCATATTGTATAAATTGTTTGGATGTATTTAAACTTACCGGGTAAGGCGTAACTGTGCATCCGCATCCGTCTCAGGCGTTTGTGCCAGACCTTGGCGACCACCAGCGGGGCGGCGGCGTAGGTGGCCAGGATGGGCAGTCCGTAGAGCATCAGCTGGACAGTGATGGCGTGCAGCGGACACGCGTAGATATCCACGAAGCACTGCCATTCGTCGGCGGCTAGCCGGCGCCGGCCGTCCAGCAACAGCAGCGGCAACGCCCACAAATGGGCGTAGGCCAGCGCCAGCCCGCTCAACGCCGTCACCGCCGCCAGGCTATTGGCCTTGCGGTACAGCAGCGGCCAGCAGACGGCCAGCAGGCGGTCGTAGGCGATGAAGAGGTGCTGCAGGATCGGCAGGCAGTACAACGTCCACACGCAGTACAGGTAGAACCGGCACGCCACCCGTCCCATGTCCCACCGCCCCAGGAGGCTGTGGCGGGCCAGCAGCGGCGTGGCGGTGAAGATGAGGAGCAGGTTGGACAGGCACAGGTGCAGGACGTGCGCCGTGAAGGGCGTCAGGAGGCTGCGGCGGCGCGCGAAGGCGGCGATGATGAGGAGGTTGAGGAGGCCGCCCACCACGGCGGTCAGCACGATGGTTAGGCTGCACACCGTCGTGAAGAGGGAGCGTGTGGGCACGGATGTGTTGGAGAGGCTGGCGTTGGCTGACCACTCCATAAGCTTGCGTTAATCATTAATTCCCTGTTATATATCCAGAAATAAACAAGGAAGCATCCAAGAACATCCAAGAAACGGCGCTTGGTTGAGGGTCAGTTGAATAAAAATAATCGCCGCTGCGTTACTACTTTATTCGTATAATAATCCGGATATGGGGCAAAAGTTATCCAGGGAACATCCCAAAAATATCCAGTCAACGCTTGGTTAAGTTGAAGGTAAGTTGAATAAAAATAATCGCCGCTGCGTGAAGCGCTTATTGGATAGTCTGTCGGGAAAATTTGCCGGTATATGCATTATATACAGATTTGTGCATATATGAAATACTCAATATATATCCAACAAATATCCAATGCAAGTCAGGTTGAGGGTCAGTGGAATAAAAATAATCGCCGCTGCGTTGAACGTTAATTCGATAACAGGAAGGATATTTTCCGGTATACACGTAGCAACATATCTACGACACCCGCCTGCAAATTCCTGTAAGAAACACCGGTGAGCCGCGGATCCCGCGAAGCGGACAGTTAAATGCAATTTTCCGCTGAGGAGGATTCGCTGGCGGTGGAGCCGGGAATTGGAGGCGCATTAAGCGATCCAGAGAGACAGCAGCGCCATCCAACCCAGCGGGATATAATTACGCTGACTGGGCCGCGTAAATCTGCAGATAAATTCGGTGTAGGTGAGCGCGAGTGTGGAGAGTCAACCGTCAACAGTCAACAGCGCCAGCATTACTCCCGGCATCCGATTACACTCCGCACCGGATGTGCCGTCGTCACCGCCATCAAGATTATTGCCGGCACGTGATACATACATAACAACCAGCACTGCTAAACGCCGCTGCTTGTTAACAACTTAACACTACGTACAAAAATAGCGCGTATATTGTAGTAGCCTTCCAACTTCTTATCGATGCATATAAAAAAGTCTCCGCTTTCCGCGATCAATGCCGACAGAAGTAGTGCACTTTGTTATGCTGGCGAAGTCAATAATGTATTGATGAGGAATAAGTGTACGCGTGCCGGCACGACAAGGTAAACGACAGCGTACAATAACGGCCAAAAAAACACCCGATTGTGGTGCGGCGTGTACAGTTACAGCATTGGGAAAATAAAGGAGCGAGTAGACCGACGTCTTGACTGCGCTTTCCAGCTACTGAGCAACCGGAAGTCAGTGCCAACACGCTGCAGCGCCGGCAGCGGCTTCTTGCCGGTGTCAGTACATGTACAGCTACGTGACTGTTGAGTGTTGACATTCAGAAGAATCTGGCGGGGATATGTGCATATGTGTGATTGCGAGAGAGAGCGGAGAGTTGTAAGAGTGAAAGAGGTTTTTTAGGGAATAATTGCCGCGGGGCAGGTGGGCGTCGATTACGTCTAATGCGCCTAATACGCGCTGCTTATATATACCGAGTACCGACATATGCAGGGATACGTAATACGTGCATGTCAGCCCGGCGTTGTTTAACGGCGTCTTGGCACGCCAGCTGCCGCTTCCGTGCGCCCTCGTCTTACCCAATAACCACTTCCGGTCGGCGGAAATAGTCCCGGGTTTCTACGTTACAAGTTAGCGCAGTCGCACGCCACGCACCGTTTTGGCTGCGATAAAACCCGGCACGTGCACGATTAGGCCTGACGGTGCAGTTTTACACACAACCGGCGTTCATTCACTGATTTTTACGTAATGCAGCCAACGTTCGCATATAAAGTAATAATAAAAAATAGTTGTATTGCGGAAAATGGGAATTAATTAAGGATAAAATTTTTGCTTGATTAAATTTGGTCAAGGACGCTCTGGAGGTCTGGGTGGACTGGCCATCCGGTCCGATGGTGGCGCGCGCCTTCTCTCCCAGTTTCCGCATCGTCTCGCGGTACGGGCTCTTCCCGTCGCCCGCTTCCCTCCACCCGGCCACCGTCTGGATGGCCTCGACGATCTCTTCCGCCGGGACCACCCGCCCGATGACCCCGGTGCCCTTGATCGTCTTCCCGGCGCCCAACTGCTCCAGCATGATCGCGTTGACGTGCTGGTCGCCGAACATCGGCCAACCGACCACCGGGACCCCGTAGGACGCCGCCTCCAGGCTGCTGTTCCAGCCGCAGTGGCTGACGAAGACCCCCGCGGCCGGGTGACCCAGGACGCGCTTCTGCGGCGCCCACGGCACGATCAGGTCCAGGTCCAGGGTGTCGGCACCGGACACCACGTTCTCCTTCTGGAGGTACTCCTGCATGCTGGAAGAGACGCAGCGGATGAATGTCTCGTAGTGCAGGTTGAGGTCAGCCACTTTCCACCATAGTGGCTTTGCGCACTGTACAACAGCTACGTTCGATCAGTCACTTACTTAGCGGCTCGGCACACAAGGATGGTAGCTGCGCATGCTCACTAATATAGCGATTCCGTCTGATGTTTGGTCGGTCATCCGCTCTCATCGCTGTAACTTTGTCAAAGTCCAACAAACAAAATCAGTCAGTGTCAACGTCCAATGCGTAAATGTCAAAGTCCAAGTTTAGTTAAAATCAAGTTCAAGTCAAAAAGTACTCAGTAGAGAATATATGCCTCGGTCGTGGGAACATGACTTCAAACGTGCAGGAACGGACGTCTCCAAGCTTCAGTTCAAGCGGGAGGGTCTTTCTACTTGAGCAGATTTCCGACTGCTGCCGATTGTTAACGGCTGGTTCTGTAACTTCAGCCACAGCAAACTAGTAATACAGAAATAAACATTTTTCTGATGCTTTTTGCTTATCGACAAGTGCAGTTGGTGGCGGTGCATTCTGAAAAGGTGATCAGCGGAATAAGGATTAATTAGCAACGGGCTGAACGGGGCCATCAGGCGAGCCGAGGGTATATGAGGCGTAGCGCGCTCAGCGTTTGTCATTTCGGTAGAACCTGCATATCGCGGACCAGATGGACAGTGGCTAGCTTGCCATTACAGAATTTACAGTACATACGAAAGCACGTTGATTAAGTGACTTAAATCGGAAATTACAATCTATAATAATGTTTTTCATTATTCGTATCACAACTGTTGAACGAAATTAAAATTATACAAATTATAAATGTTGTAGTAAATGTTTAGTTCCTATATGAAATAGCTGCTTACAGTAATGTGCGGAAAGTTACTTCTTTCAGTGGAACGTCTACCCTAGTTATACGCGAATCCGCACGAGTATATCGGTGGTTACTCGGAATGATATTTTTCAAATTATAATACGCGTAAGTCTGCAAAACAACGTGAAAAGTATTCATTTTGGAACTGCATAATTTTTACGAACTGCGTACTTCCCCTACCCGTAAGGTCGCTTAAGTGAAACACTATGGTAAGTGAATGGGCGATGGTCATTTAAGTGAAACACCCAAAATAACATTCTCCACAGACCGATTTTCTTTCGGATTTTTTCCTCTTCCGATTTTTTCAGGATGTACCCTTTACAGAGTACTTGAAATTTTTAAAAAAGCTTGAACCGTTTTCTTGCAAATGCCTCGTAAAGAAATCAGTGACGAAAGCGTTTTAGCCACGCCACGAGTGCCACTGCACTACACTCAGATATTTGCAGTCACTGCCATACATGGGGGGTTGTTAATTCAATTCAGGTAAATTTATGTTCAAATGAATTTTTTCTTCGTTTGCTTGAAGTAGGTGTCATCAAACTGTCTTCGTTTTGCTCAAAATACACATCTTACACGGCGATGGTACAGCCGCCCATGTATGGCGGTGACTGCAAATATTTGAGCGTAGTGCAGTGGCACTCGTGGCGTGGCTAATACGCTTTCGTCACTGATTTCTTTACGAGGCATTTGCAAGAAAACGGTTCAAGCTTTTTTAAAAATTTCAAGTACTCTGTAAAGGGTACATCCTGTCGAATCGGAAGAGGAAAAAATCTGAAAGAAAATCGGTCTGTGGAAAATGTTATTTTGGGTGTTTCACTTAAACGACCATCGCCCATTCACTTACCATAGTGTTTCACTTAAGCGACCATACGGGTAGTGCATGCAAAGCCTGGCGGCGATGCTGGCATACGTTCAGGATAAATTTAGAGTTAATGCTATTATGTAGCTTGAACCAGTCATTTATATTTAAACGAGAAAAGAATTATCTGACGAGCGCATGAATAATAAAGTAAAAAATTTCTCGTACTTATTCCTTATAAGACGGTAACTCAGAAATTCGAAGGGAAATAAGGGAAACTTTAAGACTGGGCGATTTAGGACCAACAATGTTTTGCTGTTGCAAAATAATGCGCTATATTTTTTATCATTACAACGAATTTTTGTATACTGTATAATAACGAAAATTTTATTTAGCAGTACCTTGTTATACCTGTAGTTCGCCATGCGACATGGCACATGATGCTTATTGCAGATAACCAATATATTAAATGATATTGTAGGATCGGATTCCAGCATAAGAATGTAGACCTGATTAATAAAAGCGGTAAACATGCATTTTCCTTTAAATATGCGAAGTGAGACAATAAATAAATATAGATATTACAGTAAGTATATAGCTAAAACTCACCAGTCAGTGCTGATACCAAAATACAAGAACTCGAAGTGGAATTTTACAGAAAACCTGCTTATTAATGATTTGTATCGCCAACGATAAAAAAAGAGCTTGACTATAGTCTTATATGTACAAAGTCCCGTCCTACTCGGTAGTAGAACAGATGACAGCAAGCATGCGCACCTTTGCAGACACATATCAGCGATTGAATTGTTGCAAAGAACACCTCACTGTGCTTAAGTAGTCTATTATTATTTTTTATAAAAAAAAGCGCGTGAAGAAGGAAATTTAATTTTGCACAATTGGTTTCTTTTCATGAACGGGAAAAGTTGAGGTGGTCTCCGCAAACAGTTCAAAATCTAAACTAGGGTACCATTTTTTCCGTAGACGCGTATGGTATATGTAGCCACGCGGTTCTATCGAAATGACACGAAGGAAGCCGAAATCACACCTCAATTAGTGATGGCCCCGTCGCTAATTGCTAACTTTTTTCGCCGAACTGACTGATACCAGCGAAACTTAAATACGACTTCTACGAGTACCGACCGGAAAATAGAAATGCGAGTACCGGCCAAACCTGTGCACGCCGACCAGTGCCCTGACGCGGAAAGCGAGTGAATAACCGAGTGACCAGTGACCACTTTTGTTGGCTAACGTTCCGTACACATAGCCACACAATGTCATTAAACACGGATTTTTGCCGGTTGCATTACTCGGTACATCACTTCTTGGGAAAATTTGGGAAAATTTTTTGATTGGGAAAATTTTTCAATATTTTGATACCTGTATTAATTTTTTAATCACCTGTGGCACGTTCCGTACCAAAGGAAAAAAGTGGATTATTTTTTTCTCTCCTTGTAGTCACAGTAGACATGTGTACTTCATACAGGCTGTAGACACCACGTAGTCCTATCGGTAGTCACCTGGATTCTTAGGTTTCTTAGTTTTTTCCTTAGGATGTATACTTCTACAGGATGTCTACAAGGTGTCCACAGGTCACTTTTTGCACTTTAATGGATGAAAAGGATGAGTTTTTGCTCTCTTTTGTGTATTAAACAATAAAGAGCTGTTTCTGTGAGGAGGACTCTTAGCTGAGAGTTTACATTTGAATTTGGGCGAAACTTGGTGAGTACGATTTCAGTACAGGATAAAGCTTCTAAAGCTTCCCACAGATTTGCGTTTTTTTTAAAAATTGAAGTAATATGACTATTTCCTTAGAATTTCTAGCAATTCTTGCAGCAAGACCCTACGCGTACGCTGGCTGGCATATTCGACCGGAGCGCAGCGAAGGTCCTCTAATTCAGCAAAACTAGAAAAATGTCTGTCTGTCCCGGAAGTGGAACATAACTTCCTTATTGCTGCGCAATCACTTCCTTATCCTGTACTTCCTTATTACGTTATTCCTCATACCTCGTCAAGACTTATTTAGCATTTAAGTTTTTTATTGCGCCATCCCTCATGCGGCTTGGGGACGGAGAAAAGCAATGAATATATTCCCAACAGGCAAAAATCTCGAAAAAAGTTGAGACTATTGCGTTTGAGGAAGGGAGAAGGTTGAACAAGATAGACAAACCGGGAAAGGTCATTAAAGCAGAAAATACACAGATGTCGACGAATGGTTATAGGAAACCAGGAGACCATGGCAAGCTGGAAACTGGAAAGGGACAGGCCATAGCGCGTATTTCTCGCCGAGAAATACGCGCTATGGCCTGTGTTAATTCTCGGGCAGCACCAGCCGGAAAAGTTCGTGTATCTCGCGTAAAATGCGCCGATCACATCAGCGACAGAAGATTCGATACAAAATTTTTATCTCACACTTATATAAGAGCGTAAAGATTGATTAAACTTCATTAAGAAACAGTCGTATCGATTTCATTATTAATTTATGCAAATTTCAAATTTCCACCCGAATTCCTGGCTCCTTGACACTTAGGCCGTCTGGCATTTGGGCCACAGAGGAAAACTAAGGACCTTAAGCAGCCAAATCAACTCAAAGATCTCGAAGCTCAAAGGTGGACCAATTCAGCTCTGAGTCGTTCAGCAACAAATACTGTAGCAACCGTTTTGTGCATTTCGCATTAGCCACTGCATGGAAGCCGACGCGCTGCTATAATACTGTAGAACTTGCTCAGCCGCTGCAAAGGAGAGCTGTCTGAAAAATAAAATTGTGACATTTCAGTCTTTTCTTAGGCTTTGCGATCATTTTCGCCAAAATCTTGTTTTCTGTACGAAAAAACTTTTGTTCTCGCTGAAACATGCCCAATTACCGGTAACAGTTCCTGCCTATCTTCTATCTTCATCGTCAGCAAAAAGTGAAAAAAGTACGAAATGAAAATCTCAAAAATTGATCTTATTGACGGTCCATAATGTACGGCATGGGCTAAGCCGAACTGTAATTAAATTCAACAAAATGAATTGGGAAGGCAAGGATTTGACAGGGGGTGCGATAAGACTTCGTATAGTGTCAGCTTTTTTCAAAGCATCTCTCATCATTCCGCACTTTTCTTGTGGCAACATATCCGTTTCGCTTGCATCGGAATAAAGACGAAAAAACAGCATTTTACTTAACCAACATACATACTACATAGTTCTCGTGGTGGCCGTTAAAGGTGTATTCAATGGTGCTCTGATAAAAATTCAGCAGCTAATTGCTAAATACACGTTGCTAAGTTACACAGTTCAAAAACCAAAAGTGAACTACATTGAACCCTTTCACGCCGCGCTCCGGGCTGCCAGTGCACGCAAAACTCAAAAGTGCATTTTCCTAGTATAAATGTTTAAAAAAGAAACAAAACGGTATCATGCGTAACGTATTTTATACGTACATAACGTACATAACATACACTAACAAGCGTAACATGAGTTACCTACATAACAACCATAACATAACGTGCACAAGGTCGGGAACGGTATCGCTACAGCCACAGGCTAGAAACGGGCGAAAGAGTTTTTTAGTCAGCGGTTATCTATCCAAATGCAACGCGGAAACGCGATATGTGTTATGGGTACCATCCCCGAGCAGGATAGCATTAAAGAAGTGTTTTTGTTATAATTCTCGTCTTTTTTAGTACGTACTCAGTTTGTACATACATGACGATACTTGAATGCTGTCGGTAAACGAACATTCGCATCAGCCGGAATTGAAACAGAGCTTGAACCAGTGGGCTTATGTCGAACGAATGGCCAACGCCCGAATGGCGTTACGTTAGCACCGTGGGAAAGAGGAAGAATGCTGACGTGGGATGTCACCTGCGTCTGTACGGTGGCATTATCGCATATCGTGGCAACATCCGAGCGAGCTGGAGCAGCGGCCAGCAAAGGCTGAACAGGATAAAGTAACCAAGTACCAGAGCATCACCCCGGACTACCTGTTCAGCGCTTTGGGCTTTGAAACGCTAGGACCAAACGGACCGGAAGCTTCCCGTCTGCTGACGGAAGTGGGTAGAAGGGTACGGCAAGAAACTGGCGAGGCAAGAGCACCGGAATACCTGCGCCAGCGTATCAGCATAGAAATCCAGCGCGGGAACGGCGGCCTCCGTTCAGGGAACAGCTCCACCGGGAGCAAATTTAGATCAGTTGTTCTCTGTTCTTAGACCTCCCGAGGCTGTTTTCTGCTGATTGAGTGTACTGCGTTGTGATGTTAACTGTTGTGTATAAGCTAATTGTATAAAATAAAATGCTCCTTATTAAAGACTGTTACACAACGTGCAATACATAATATACATAACAAGCGTAACATGCGTCAGAAAATCAGCACTGAGATACAATGCAGAAGTGTTGTGCCAGTCCTCGGAACATTTAATGACATGCGAGACAACGAGGAAGTTTTTTTAGCTGTTAGGTTGGCTGATCGGGAATGATTAGTGCCCGATGTTGTTTTTCTTGGCAACTTTGCTGTGATTTTTCCTTATTATTGTAATAAAAGTACGTACTACTATTAGTAACATGGCATGCATAAAACCTTTTTGCCCGAACGGCTCGAGCATCGAGCGCAGCGAGATGCAAATATTAAAGAGCATAAAATTGCAGTGTTTTAATCTCTTAATATGTATACAGCGAGCTTCGCTTAACAAATATCATCAAATAAAGAATTTGTCCCAATTGACATGAGAAGGGACTGTGCACAACACACTCATAGCATTACCACGCACAATCTCCAAACATAAACGCTGAAACAAAAAACAAGTAGAGCGACTCTCGCCCGTCCTCATAAACAATTTTTTCCCACTCGTAAAAAAGAGCATAAAATTTGTCTGACGCCATGAAGAGCGTATGTCAAGCTTTACCAATTTCACAAATCCAGTACCACTTTCCAGTGGTACTGGCGCTCGCTTGGTGCACTCATGTGGTTCAACAACGTACCGCTAGTAATTAAAACTTACATAATTATTATGTACCACGGATAGACTGTCGTGTCTCACTGTCTACAGTACTTTATGTCCGTACTGATGTGCTTGTATTATATGTGTGCATGTGCTGCAGATGGTCCACATTGCATGAGAGAAAATTGACTGCGAATATCGATCTTTGTGACGCAGTGATTGCTACGGGTAGCTAGCTGCTTGTTGATGCTGTGCGATGTTTCTTTCTATTTCGAAATGTTGGGTTGATAACCGTGTATTAGTAAAGTGAAATTAATGCAAAACTCTCTTAGTTCGCAGCTCATGATCCCAATTTAAGAGTTCCTATCTGTCGCATAAATGTAGTTTATGTACTGGTATTTTGGGCTTTGACACAATACCAAAACATGGCATGCCGAAAACTTTGTGAAAATCGTGTGCGCTTTTCTCTGACTTTGTATAAAACCGTGTTGGCTCACATCTCGAGCTCCGAAAACTTGTTAATATCCCCCTTGTCTGCAGAACTGGCTGCTATTGCGGCATACATTGGAGCGGAGGGAAAAACACGAAGTGAAATAGCTCAAGTTTTAGGCTTGACAGCGGATTACACAGTCGAAGACATTTCCGGCCGGTTAGCGCAAATTATCTGCGATGAAACCAGAGAGGTAGCATTCAATCCAGAAAGTAAGGATTGCAAAAAAACGCATTACTGTCCTTCATCTAATTTTACGTTTCGTACCGTTTCGGCTTAAAACATTTTGGCATAATAAGGACATTTCAGTATGTGGGCATTTCCGCATACGGACATTCGGCATGCCTCTGATCGGAAAAAGTTTAATTACATGCGTGATATTTTATCGCAGTATTTATTTGCAAAAGTAGTACGTAATTATATTTCTATGGAAATGTGTGCTTGATTTCCTGTACGATATTTCCTGTGTTCATTAAGGTCATTATTATTTACTGTTAACGTGAACTATACGGTTTATTTTTGCGATTTTACTTTGCGAAAGACTTTAGCTACTGCGACAGTTTTCTGTTATGAGTAGTCTACGAACTCGTGCAGGTCATACCTGATCGTCGCAGACATTAAGCCCATTAAACAAACCAACAAACGAGGATTTGTAAATAATTGCTCTATAAATTGTCCGTCTCAGGCAAGAAATTAATAATTAAGGTTGTCAAGGCTTACGATTTCCTCGATTGATAAGATTTTGATTTGCAGATTGCTGCAAAAACTTCGAACTATCATCATGCGTTGGAATATTTATCGACGAAAATGTTCGTTTAAACGAGCATTACGCAGAAAGGGCACAGAATCTTGTGAAGGCAGTTTGCTTGCCTGTTCGATTTGCGAGTGATCCTGGTAGTGCTTGGGAAAACGTGAGAGGCTTTGTAGCGGCGCATTCAAAAGGAAAAGGGCCGGAAATCCTTGAGTTACCAAAATTTACTCGGCCAAGTAAATTAGTATTTGCGACTACTATTAATTTCCACTCGAATTGGGAGGAACATTTTCCTGGAAATTGTACCGTGAAAAAATGCTTCACCCTAATTACGGGCGCCAAGATTCAGGTGGACACAATGCACGGGAGGTTCATTCGTTTATTCAAATACTACAAAAGCAAGAAGTTCCACGGCGCTAAAATTCTTCAGCTGCCGTACTTGGGAAATTATTGCAAAGCGTATTTCATCCTCCCTAGGAAAAAAACATTGTTCTCTTGTCCAGTGCGCAAAGATAGGCTAAGCCAACTGGAAGACTTGTTGACACCCAAACGCTTACTAGAGGAAATGGGAAAAGTGGACTTCCCCCATGTTGTAACAGCTGAGATACCAAAATTCTGCCTAAATTACACCATGGCTGTAGAACAATTTCTCTCGGAAATGGGAATGCCTACCGCGTTCTCCGACGTCGCTGACTTGTCCGGAATATGCCCACTGTCACCCTTGAAGATTTCCACCATCACTCAGACAGCCGTTTTCGGTGAGATAAGACCCCAGTTGTTGAATTTCTTAACGGTATCATGCATTTGTCACGGTTGCGGATCTTGTACAGCCGCACCGGCTTTTGGCGCCATTGGTCAACTGCTGCGGCTATGCCCAGCCGTTTACGAGTACATATGTATCTGTGTCAGTACATCTGATCCGTAATTCCATGTGTTTCATCATTATTTTCTGTGTTTCAGAGATAGACGAAACCGGTACTGACTCTTGCCCCGTAACTGTGGACCGTGCCGCATTCATGTCCAGGAGTCCGACAAATAGAGTAAAGTTCATAGCCAATCGACCGTTTCTGTTTATTGTATGTCATGAAGCAACAAGCACGATTATTTTTATGGGACGCATCTGTAACCCTCTTACTTAAATCCGGAATCTGCTTCTCTCGGACCAGTTGTCAATGCTCCAAGGTGCATTTCCATGTAATACAGCACTGAGCACAGTCAATAACATAGTTGCATAAAAATTTGCATTATTTTTAGTCGTGTGACCGCAAAGGCTGTTTTTGTTAAGTTGGTGGCTATTGCCAGATAAACACAGTACATAACTTAGTTCTGCTTTTAGTGGTTCTTATTGCTTTTTCCGTCTCATCTTCGCTACTTAGAATTTACTGCGCATGAACACAGTAATCACATTGCGCACCGCAGCGACATCTGCACGAGCGAGAACTGCATCAGCGCAAGCTAAGCCGGGTCACGTTGAGAATTATCGCCACATCACTCACCAGGGCACGGTCACCGCCTTTATCCTCAGCAAAATTTGATTTTTTGTTTGAAGACAGAATAGGTATGGGGAACACTTAAAAAAATACTTTCATCGGCATTCGGCAATGGTCCAGTGGCCGTTGCCAAACACGAATTTCATGGTTGATGTTATTGCACGTATGATGATGCATTGCCATTGCCATACTACCGTAATAAACAGTACACGGATAAATTCTTTTCCGAGTTCTGTGTAACCCCTTATCATTCTAGTTTTTACTTTTTCATTTCTTTCGATTTCCTTAATCACTGTTTGAAAAATTTTAAAAAAATGCGCATTATCGACTGTGCTGAAACCTGAACAGTGAACAGTCCATGTACATATATGTGTTACAAATCCATGTACAGTATTTAGAGCTTGATAAGTAGCGAGATCCTCTAACAATTTTTACTTTTTCAAAACAGTGATTAAGGAAACCGAAAGAAGTGAAAAAGTAAAAAGTAGAGCGATAAGGGAGTATGACGTTACGGCAATACATGTGGTTAAATCTGGCGCGGTACATAACCGCCATGTTCAGCCACAACGTCAAACTCCAGGCGGGTGACGGCAGCATTACAGGGGAACGGTGGAACACGTTTACTTTTGCCCCCTATATAATATATGCGTACCCGTAGTAGCATATATATAATATAGGCTATATGATATATCCCATATATATAGCTTACATATACGTGCAGAATCTATAATGGCATATCTTATATTATCGTTTATAAAAGTATGTGTTGCGCATATATACAGGCATGTATAGCGTATATAACTAGCATAAACATGTATATAAATATCGTATATGTACGTAGGTATATGTAGGTTCGTATTACGTATATAAAAAGGATATGTGTAGCCAGTCAGACGCGTTATACAAACAGTAATTACTTAATTACCGGTCTCGGCGCACTTGGTGATGCACACCTTGACGTCCGACATTTTCGGATCGTCGGCATGTGGCTGGATTTTCATGGTGAAGGTGTCGTAGGCACCCCCGCGCACCGGAAAGACAAGGTACGGACAGTTGATGTCATCCACGGCCACGTCCTTATCGTCGCCGCTGCGCTGCCGGCGCTTGAATTGCAGCGTGGTCATCTGGCCGACGCGCACACCGCGCTAGGTTAGCGAAGGTCTGTTGCTGGTCGGGCAGCGGCTGGTGCGCGTCGCCATGCCGGTCCTGGTGCTCCTAGATGATGATCTTGTGCGCGTTATCCACCCATTCCACCACCACGTTCGCGTACAACCGTACAACCGTGCGTTAGATACACCCTCGCTTTGACTTCGCGGAGGTACAGTGTCTTACCATGGATTTATTGTTGGAGAAGCCGATGCCGGTCCACTTGTCGGCGTCCCGTAGGGTAAACTTGAAATGCGTGTTAAACGAGTGGTAAACGCCGCGCACCATTGTCGTGCTGACGATGTCCCATTCCGGCATTTTTCTGCAGCAGTACAGTGTTCATAATTATAAAGATTAGGTGAGAACAGCATTCATGCTCTGACAGTTAAACCACAAAAACATATAAGTACGTAATGTACAACTCATACGTATCTATACCTACCGCTGCGGATGCAGGCGGGCAGGTACACGTCTGGCTTCCGCTTAATCCCGTCCAGCTGTTAAAGTTCTAGGATAAAGCGTTTGCACAAGCACCACATTTTCTAATGCGAAAAATCCTCACTAAAACTGCCGCACGGTCTTTCTGCGCCGCGATGTTAATTATGATGGATTGATGGTCGCTTATTGTTATCGCTATTATGCGAAATCGCTTTTGTACTCGCACCTAACAATCGTCTTCTATGACTCGGCTAAGAATTGTGTAAAAAAGGTTGAGGATTGACCGTTTATAACCTCTTATCATCCAGTTAAACTCAAATCAAACTCTTTAATCAAACAAATTCAGTAGAAACGAACAGCTAAACGAAAAACCACTTTCAGTTAAAGCTTAAACCAACTAAACAATAACACCATTCAAGCGAGAAACAGACTTCGATGGACATCAGTTATTTGCCCTCCTTCTTCATGAATCGCCCCTTTTGGTCTCGCAAACGGGGTACGATCACCTCCTCCGTCTCCTCCGTCTCCATCACGGTGGCTGGCGCTGGGGACTCTTCGGTGTGCACCGTGGGTTCAGTGTACTCCCGCGCCTGGTCGTTTGGCTTCAGCGGACCGTGAGTGTGCTTCCCTTGTAGGTGGGGCCCGTCGTCGGACATATCCAGCCTGACCATGCACGAACCCGTCCGGCGACAACGCCACTGGTGCTCTCCGCCTCGTGCGAAGTCGTGGAGATATTCATATCCGCCCAGTGTCAGCACCTTGCCCTTGCGCTGACTTTTCGCATCCACCGTTTCCATGCCCGGCTGAACCTGGGATGGAATCTAAAAATACGAGCAATGACAACATAAATCGCACTTACGACCGAAAACAACACTCTAGATTTTTCCAAAAATTTATAAAATAATAATATAAACATTTTATTCATTCGTTTTCCCACACTTTACTCAAGAACATTTTCGAAAAATTAGACGTTATTTCAGTATTCACCAATCACATTTCACCATCTATCTTTTCCATAATTTTAAGTTTAATAAACATTCATTTTTAACTTCGAGCAAATATTTATTCAAGCATACGATGTAGCGTTGTACGTACGAAACATTTATTTTAAAACAGTTGTTTGTAATTTGTTTACTAAGCATTTGTTTGACGTTTTATTTTCTTCATTGTATGTATCTTTTGACTTTCTAAATATTTCAACACTAATGTGACATGCCACTAATTTTCTTAAAAGTTGTTCAAACCGGCCGACGACCATTACCTCTATGTTTACACGGGGCTTCTTCAGAGGAGGGATAACATTCGCGTGTTTCTGCCCGAATCTGGGAAGGGCAAAAATGGGTATTAAGTAACCTAGTAACCTTTACGGTATTCAGTAACCTTTACGGTAACTGACGCAAAGATGATAAAGTCAGTAAAGTCCTTAAATCGACTTCGCAAAGCATGTGCTATAATTATTTACTCTCCGTCAAATTCGCTGCTCCAACCCCGTTTCTTGCCATTGGCAGAGCCGGGGACATCTGCTGCTGCCGACTTAATTTTTTTCGCGGCACCGTAGACCGGCTGAACAGCTGGAACAGGTGCAGGGGGACATTGGAGAGCCGTGAGCGTAGCCGGCTGGGCGACATCGTGGCCGATCTCGTTTTCCATCTCATCTGGAATAAATTAAATTAAACAGTGCGCATTATTCAAAATTGCGGGACAAAGAGTTGATTTTGCTGGCGTGATTAGTACTGTATTTACACAAGTTTAAGTGCCATAAAAAAGCCCGGGGGCGCGCAGAATATTGGACGCCTGTTTTGAACTTCAAAGAAGCCGTGCGCTATTGTTTAGCTTCAGCCATTTGGTGGCACTTAAACTTGTCTAAATACAGTAATAATTTCTTGTGTCAGTGCTTGCACAATACGCGATGCCGCGATGCAGCGGACGACAGCGCGTAGGTGAAACTGTACTGTTTGTTAGCTAGAACAGTTTCTACAAAACCGTTTCCGCCCTCCGTTATCGCCGCTCAAGTGAGATGAAAACGATGCGGTACATGAGCCCCGCCGTATCCTGTCCCGAGCCGTGCTTACTTATATCGAAATACAGCCAGATGTGCGACGATTGCGACTGCGTAGGATCATATCGATGATAGTTCTGTGCGCCCTTATTTTTGGGCAACTAATTATCTTTGGTGCTTTTTAATGCTGTAAGCTGCAGCAATACAGACTGCAAGACCTGGTATCATCGTGAACGGAACGTACAAGTCTTCTTTAAAATGACTTCGTTTTTTCCTGAGTGACCGGATATCGTTATAATGACGGGAAAACCTACCGTACCTGCACCGAACAGACACTAAGTACATCATCGTTTACATTGAAAACAATCGGCAGAAAATACGATTTTGTTCAAGAATAATTTTGTTATTGTCATAAGGATCGTTTCTATACCGAACCAGATTTCCACATTTTTCAAATAATAAAATAATTTTTTGAAATTTGTTTAAAATTCGACACATGGTAGAGACCTGGTCCGGTGTAAGAATGTTCTTTATGTGATGCGCCCGAGTTGAAAGAGATCGGTCTATAAATGACTATAATCAGACTTCGGGTACACCTGATTCCTGAATGCCTTTCAGCTTTTCGAAATTTTCTTCCAGCCCTTATTCCCTAAACGGATGTTGCCCGCACATACGGTTTTTGTGTACACAGCTCGGTATACAAATCTTCTGGCTGCTGAATGCCATGAAAAAATGCAAGAAACTTGAAGAAAGTGTTTGTGAGTGTGCGAAAGTGAAGGTTTTCGTGCATGTACACCAACTGGGCGCCATGTACGGGGTCCAAGAAAAACTAAGAAATTAATTTTCCTTTAATGAGTGAATTAACTGATTCTGGATAGGATAGCTCAATTAGAAATTGTTCGAATACTGAATAAATTAATGGAAAACTCACTGAATCCCGTACAACATGCAGATTTATCCGCCTAACCCACTTGTGGCGCCAGTGTCCCTCTCCAGCTCGGGCAACGTTTCCCGGGATGAACCTTGCTGGTGCCGGGATTCATTGGTTCCGTAATTTGTGCGTCGAACCGGAAGCTGCCCCGTGCGTGATTCGACAACCTAATGTGAACGTGAACACATCATCAATTAATCAGAATAACCCAGCATCAAATAAAAAGTACTTGTTTATTAACGCCTCGCCAAACCATTAACGAAAACGATAATATATTTATATTATTAAAAGCGCTGAAACGGACAAAATACCAAGCCGGCATTTTACAGGGTTGGAAGACTTGTACTGTACAGGTACAAGGGACTGTTCAGGTTTCGGCACAGTCGTTAATGCGCAATTTTTGAAAATTTATCACAACAGTGATTTAGGAAAAGTAAAAATTAATTACAGTGATAAAGGGTAACAAAGAATTTTAAAAAAACTTATCCGTGTATTGTAATATGTGGTATGGCAGTACTGCAATGGCAATACATCATTACACATGCAATAATTTCAACAATTTAAGTCATGTTTGGCCACGCCCACTCGACTATTGCCGATGGAAGTATTTTTTTAAGTGCTCCCCATAATATTCTGTCTTCAAACAAAAAATCAGATTTTTTTGAGGATAATGGCGGCGACCGTGCCCTGGTGAGAAATGCAACCGTAAAAGGGATACGCAACTTCTGCTTTTCGACAATTATTAGTACAGATTCACAGAAAAGCAGGCGACGCCGTTTCGAACGCATTCACGCACCGCTATAATGGGCTCCTCCGTGACCGGCGTGACGTACTCCTGCGTCGCGTGTAGAGCATTACACACGATCCGACAAAGGGCTCCCGCGAAAGTGTCGGCCTGCTGCACGCACAAATATATTGTCAAATGCATAATTCGCAGCTAGTAGTTAATCTGCCTACCGATTTATTGAATCGCAGCAACAGAAAGTCATAGCGAGAATCCGGGTTTCCAGTAACCAAACCCAACAAAGTGGGATCCTCTGGATGGCGCCACGGTGGAATAACAACTTCGGTTAAAGGGCCATCGTGTATCGTAACCTACAATGAGTCGATTGCTTTGCTGATTCCACAACGGACATCAAAATTTGTAAATTCGGTCCGAGACCGAATGACCAATAAAAATAAGTGGCCGAAACCAAATGACCAATAAACAGGAAACGCGCAAGTCTTTGAAAACTTACAATTTACACCTTGTGCATTTCCCAGCGAAAACCATCAACTGATATCGCGAACGAAAGAAAACAATTTCAAGAATGTAGATACTAGAAAAGTGCACTCGCTTTTGTGGGCACTTCATGACCGAAGCGTAGCAAGATTACACGGCTGACGTATATACAAAAAGTACTAATATAGGAAGCGCAATTTCAGTTGCATGGTAGTCTGCTTTCTATATAACATAAGAGCATAAAACTTGTGAAACGGACGTAGAGTATACGCATGTGACCGTCAGAACTGTACAGATGGATGAAACTATAGTCATTAATACACCACCTCCGTAAATCTTGGCTGATCACTTTTTTACAGCTGTTAGCATACTCGCTAGCGTACTCGTACCGTTTTTACAAGGTGCAATGTAAATTCCTTTGTACCAGAAACTTGGTACGACAATGCAGCGATCTCTAAGTAACCTTTAAAACGTAACCCACGACTGATGACCCTTTATGAAATCTTGAGTATTTTTTAAATTTTTAATCGTGGTGTCCGAATGGCAGCACCTGCGGCCGTTTCGGTGCGGTCACGGAATAGCCTAAAATCCACATTCCCAGGGAATACTTTCATCTGACGAAAACGTTCCCTTTTTCGCAATCGTGACAGGATGGGCGATGCACATTTTCTCAGACACCCGCGTACTGTAGCCGCTAGATGAAGTGAGACCACAGAGTCTGGTGTACGGAAAAATGCAAGCCCAATATACATACTTTGCTCCATGCAAAATTTAAACCGTTTCACGCTGATGCTACCAACATTTTGCATGTTTTACTGCTGTTTGTTATTTTCTTATCCTTTGCAATGAAAAATATTTATTTTAAGAGCACAATATCAGAGCTCTGATAGTTCTCTATTTATAAATCTGATTTGTTGTGGTTTTTGGGGTGCCCCTGGCAGGGGCAGTACAGTACTGAATGCAATGCAAAGCGTGCGCCGCCCGGTGGGAGGATAGCTCGTGCTCATTGCTCGACGAGTGGAAGGCAGTGCCCGGATCTAACACTGGTCTCACTTCATCTAGCGGCTACAGTATTTGAAAACTGTCCGTTTACGCTCTGACACTTTTTGTGCAACATTGCTGTGTTAGGAATTTCATTGGTGCAAAATAATTTAAAATGATGTACGCGGCAAAATTTTCGGGGAATGTTCTTCTGGACCAGTGAACGGTTTTGGCGGTTTAAAAAGGGTCACTTAGCAGCAAATTGTATGAGTTATTCGGCCACCGAACATGTGTGCACTCAGTATTAAACACCCCTCTGTATATGGCAATTGGTGGCGGTGACCGACGGACAGACATTGTGAGTTACAAGTGGTCTGAGTTAGTGAATATTAAACTCATCATAATCAGCGCGCGGCGCTTACGCGCCGCGCTGCAGTGCAAAGGCGGTTCTTGTCAGATGGGCTCTTTTTGCTAAACGAATCGAAGTGAAACGGTTTTATATGCAAATAAGTCTTATTGAAAAGGGAACACAGTTACTGTATCTAGAAACGGGTTAAACCGAAATTCTTCGGTTACAAAACGTTTAAAAGCGTGGATAAATAATGCGTAAACTTCGGTTACCAAGGTTTAAAGAGCGGGTACAGCACGCGTGGCCTTCGGTGACCAAAAGCTCAAAAAGGCGATTACCGCACGCGTGGTCTTCGGTGGCGAAAGATTTATAAGAGCAGATAAAGCACTCGGGGCTTTCGGTTACTGAACGCTTAAAAGGTGGGACCGCAAGGTTTGCTTAGGTAATTTAAGTTATCAGGTTTGTTAAAGAACTATGGTTTCGAAGCTTAGTAAGTAGTAAAGATAAGGGTGGGGTCCGGTTTATCAGGCGAAGGTTTTACTGGTGAATGCACGAAGTTTTGGAAGCTTACTAAGGACAAAGGCGTAAAAGCACAAGTTTAAAGGGCTGCAAAAGCTTAAAAGTTGTTAGGCGGGTTCCGGCCAATCAGAAACGTAAGGTTTTTTCTGGCCAATCAGGAAACTTTGGAGGCGGCAGCGTTCCGGAATCACGGTTCTGCTTTAATGTATAGGACAAGCAGGACGCGCGGCGCTTACGCGCCCCGCTGACGCGGCCCACGGTTACAAACGGCTTAAAAGTGTGGGTCAAGAGGCCATCAGTGACCGAAGGCTTAAAAGGCCTTCAGTGACCAAAGGCTTAAAAGGCCTACGGTGGCCAACGTACCACACGCGTGGCCTTCGGTGACCAAAACCTCAAAAAGGCGGGTACCACACGCGTGGCCTTTCGTGACCAAAATCTCAAAAGGGTGGGTACCACACGCCTGGCTTTCGGTTACCAAAAGCTCAAAAAGGCGGGTACCACACGCCTGGCTTTCGGTGACCAAAAGCTGAAAAAGGCGGGTACCCCACGCCTGGCTTTCGGTGACCAAAAGCTCAGAAAGGCGGGTACTACAGGGGTAGCCTTTCGTGGCCAAAACCTCAAAAAGGCGGGTACCACACGCGTGGCCTTTCGTGACCAAAATCTCAAAAGGGTGGGTACCACACGCCTGGCTTTCGGTTACCAAAAGCTCAAAAAGGCGGGTGCCACACGCCTGGCTTTCGGTGACCAAAAGCTGAAAAAGGCGGGTACCCCACGCCTGGCTTTCGGTTACCAAAAGCTCAAAAAGGCGGGTACCACACGCCTGGCTTTCGGTGACCAAAAGCTGAAAAAGGCGGGTACCACGCGCGTGGCCTTCGGTGACCAAAGGCTCAAAAAGGCGGGTACCACGCGCTTGGTCTTCGGTGATCAAAGGCTTAAAAAGGCGGGTACTACACGCGTAGCCTTTCGTGACCAAAAGCTCAAAAAGGCGTTTACTACACGCGTAGCCTTTCGTGAATAAAATCTCAAAAGGATGGGTACCGCACGCGGGGCCTTCGGTGACGAAAGGCTCAAAAAGGCGTGTACCACACGCGCGGCCTTCGGTGACCAAAGGCTCAAAAAGGCGGGTACCGCACGCGTCCCCTTCGGTAGACGGTGACCAAAGGCTTAAAAGGCAGGTACCGCACGCGGGACTTTCGGTTACCAAAGGCTTAAAAGGTGGTACCGCAAGGTTATTAAAGGCTTAAAAGACGGTACCGGTAAATTAAAGTTATCAGGTTTCTTAAAGAACTAATGTTTGGAAGCTTAGTAAGGAGCAATGCTGAAGCTGGGATCCGGTTTATCAGGCGAAGGTTTTCACAGGTGAAGGTACTAAGTTTCGGAAACTTGGTAAGGACAAACGCGCAAAAGCACAGGTTTAAGGGGCTGCAAAAGCTTATAACCCGCTAGGCGGGTTCTGGCTAATCAGAAAGGTTAGGCTGGTTCTGGCCAATCAGAACGTTTTGGAGGCAGGAGCGTTCCGGAATAGCGGTTCTGCTTTAATATATAGGACAAGCAGGACGCGCGGCGCTTACGCGCCGCGCTAACGCGGCCCACGGTTTCAAACGGCTTAAAAGTGAAGGTACCGCAAGCGTGGCCTTTGATGACCAAAGGCCTAAAAAGCCATGGGTGACCGAAGCCTCAAAAAGCCTTGGTTACCAAAAGTTTAAAAAGTAGGTACCGCACGCGTGGTCTTCGGGGACCAGAGGCTTAAAAAACCTTCGGTGACAAAGGCTTGAAAGGCTTCCGGTGGCTATAGGCCCAAAAGGCTTCGGTGACCAAAGGCTTTAAAGGCCTTCGGTGGCTAAAGGCCCTATAGGCATTAGTTGATCAAAGGCTTGAATGGCTTTTGGTTAGCGAAGGCTTGAAACGCCTTCGGTGGCCAAAAGCTTAAAATGCCTACGGTGACCAATGGCTTAATAAGGCGGGTACCGCACGCGTAGCCTTCGCTGACCAATGGCTTAAAAGCCTTCGGTGGCTAAAGGCCCAATAGGCATTCGGTGTTCAAAGGCTTGGATTGCCTTCGGTGGCCAAAAGCTTAAAAGGCCTTCGGTAACCAGAAGCTTAAACTGCCTTCAATGACCAAAGGCCTGAAATGCCTTCAGTGACAAAAAACTTAACAGGCCTTCTGGGGTGATAAAAGCTTAATACAGTGGGCCCCGCACCCGTGGCCTTTGGTGGGATCTGCCAAATCCGATACTAAGCTTTGGAAAGCATAGTAAAGACTAATGCGTATAGGCTACAGCTTTTTTAAGATTTCCAGTCCAAAACGTCGTTCGGCTGCTTTCAGCCAAAAGGTTTTATCCGGCACACGCACCTTTCGGATACAAAAGCTAAACCAGTTGATCGCGCACGCGGTTACAAAAATCGTGGTTGGGTAAACCGTTTACCAGAGTAAGCCTTCCAAAGCTCAGCACGATTACTATGCATTCCTTAGTAATCGAAATAAACCTTTAAAAACCTAGTAAAATTACTAATTTTACTAAGTTTTCCAAACCTTAGTCAGTTTGAAATCGAAACTTCTACTGGTTCTTAGTGATCTGGTAGTTCTGGATGATCTGGTTGTTCTAACTTATCTGGCAGATCTGTTAGCTTTGGCTGATCTGGTAGCTCTGGTTGATCAGGTTGTTTTGGCTGATTCGGTAATCTTAGGTGTACAGGTAGATTCAGCTGAATAAGGAAAGTTTGCTACGGTACTGTTCTAAGGTTTGAAAAGCTTAGTGAATACCATGTCGTTAAAGCAATAAGTTCGAAAGGCTGCGAACGCTTAGAAGTTACAGGCGGTTTTGGCCAATCAGAAACGAAAGACTGGTTCCGGCCAATCAGGAAAGCAAGGCTGATTCCGGCCAATCAGAAAGGTTTGGAGGCGGTCGGTGTTCCGAACAGAGAGTTCTGCTTTAATATACTGGATGCTTATAATTTTGATTAAGTTGATCATAATTGAAAATTGATCAATTTTATTTATGATCAGCATAATCAAAATTCAACAATTTTAATTAAACTGGAGTATAATTAAAATTGTCCAATTTTAATATTGCTTATCATAATTAAAACTCAGTTTCCTTTTGATCAGGCTGTTTATATTATTTATAATTTGACTCATAATTAAGCTTAAGTATAATTAAAAAGGACAAATTTTAATTATGCTCAGTTTTAATTATTACGCAATTTTAGTTATACGCAATTTTAATTAAGCTCAGCATAATCGAAATTGCCATAATTTTATTTCAATTAATCAAAATGTGTTTAATTCCCAGCATGATTAAGAGTTTAATTATCACTAGTCTGAGTACATACAGCGATCGTATTCTCTGGTTATTAAGCTCCGCCAATACCATTGCAAAATGGCACTGGACTTGTGGAACTGGAACAGCGTAACGTACGCTCTTTTTGGTTTTTGGCTCTGCTGTGGAAATGTATGCTCTGCTATGGAGCGTGCATGACTTGACAAAGGCTTATTGCTGCAAGCCGCTTGCATGCTGCCAGTGCCGGTTAGCCGGACGCGCGCGTGTGTGGTGGCGCGTGCCACCCAGACGCCGCAATGGGATGACGTCAGTCGCGTGGATCACTGATTCCCACCATTCCTAGCTTACCTGATTCACAGCTGCTTATGCGTGGTCATGTTTGCATGTTCTTGATGAGAATTGTTACAATAGTGCACATATGGAATGTAGCGATGGTTGTTCTCGTAGGTTATCATAGCGAGCGTTTACTGTGCGCAGCTTGTGTTAGTCTACGAGTATATTCGTTCAGCCGAGTGGAAGGATACGTGATTTCTGTCGGTCATATTATTTTAATCGCTTGTGAATGCTTTACACATTATCATTACGATCATTACATTACACCGAATCTGGAGTTCAGTAAACTTTAAAAAAGGAATAGGTTAAAAGGAACTTTAAAAAAGGAATGGGTTATGCGTGCCTATTCCCCTAATTTGTAATAAGGGTTTTTTGTCGCATAACAGCTAACTGAACTCAGTAAAGGTTGATTAATAATTGTCAGCGGTTGCAGATCTGCCTGTTTAGTCGCAGGCACAATCGACTAATAATGTGTGACGTAAGTACTCGTATTTCAGGATGTTGGGAAGGGTAAATACGCAGATTGATGACTTCCCGTATTCTTGTGTATTTTCGGTAGAGATAGAGGTACTAGTCCCTCACATCGACCGAGGTTATAAATAGCAGTGGGTAAAAAGCGAAAATCTGAATAACGATAACGTAAATTCATAAAAGAAATCAGTGAATGAAGAGGGAGAGCAGATCGTCCCTCTTCACTCGTGTTCATTTCATGAATCGTAATGAATTAATTCTCTAAATTCACGAGGTACGCTTCAACCGTGAATTACTACGTCAAAGCATGTGGACATACATCACTCACAGCGATAATACGAACTTACCTCGGTTTCTTTTGTCGAATATTTCAACGTTATCGCTTCCTTGTCTAAGAATATGTCGTACGGCTGGTCCCGGGGCGATTCCATGAGAGTCACGTAAGCCCTTTTACACTCCTCCCATCCGGCCCTCTCAACGACCGTCGCGCCAAGATAAATACAGGTAAACGTCTCTTCGGCAGATGCAGTACTGCCGCTGCTATCAGCCAGACCTACACCTGCAGCAAATTATCACGCAATGTCACTCAATCTGTTTATCTAAGTTCATTTGATTTATGATTTAACTTTTCAATTTTAATTCAATTAAATAAGTTTATTCATATCTGACCACTCTTATAACAAGGTGAAATGCTGATAAAATTACATGTAAAAGATGGGGTTTTGGATTTTGCTGGGGAGGAAGGGGATGATGAAGCGGAAAGTGACCGGCGGATGTCCTTTCCGTTGGTGGACGCGGCTTCGGCGTGATCACTGCCGAATTCTTCGCTGGCCAGTTCCTCTCTGGCCAATTCCTCGCTGGGACGGTTTTCCAACTGCGGTGCGGTGGGAGACTTCTGCGGCCCGATTTTAGTAATATTTAAGTGCGAGCGAACCGTAGAATGGACGACAAAAGTACGTAGATGAGGCACGACCGCAGACCGACTGGCACATTTTCAATTATTTTTGTTATGTATTCACAGTATTCTATACGTAAAATATAATAACGATGTTCTTGCATTTAACGTTAATACATCGCTGATTTACTTATTCCGCGTAAGTTAAGTATAAAAATATCCTTCTACGGGTTTGCGTTTTTTTCTAAAAAGTAACTTTATTCAGCAAAAGCCACTGCACAAAAATATTTGCCTGCTTTGATGTACACAGCAGATAAAAATGTTTTAAATTTTTCTAATTCGGAAACTGTTTGACGGAGCGTCTTGCATGTTTGCTGCTCCGCTCGCGCCACATCTCGGCGTCGCCTGCGGCTCCGCCTTCTAATACGTTGTCTAACGGGCTGAAAAAATCAGTAGTGTATTTTCACAAGTTCAAGGAACGCTCCAGGGGCCGGGCCGCGCACGCGGGTTGTCGGCTCCTTTAAGATCAAAAGAAACCGACGGTGCGGCCACGCTGGCCACGCCCCCACCATGTTCCTTAAACTTGTGAAAGTTAATACAGTATGTATTTTCCAGAAAAGCCTTGTTGGTTAACAATAATGAAGCACTCCATCATATGTACTGCATTTGCGCTACATCCCGCTCCGCACTGCTCGTTTGAACCGAACATGATTAAAATTGTAGCTGCACCGTGGTGTATTTGCATTAAAATTGTAAGTTTTGCAATCCGTAGTCCAGGTTTTCTCGGGAAGAATTCGTTACGTGTTAAAAAATTCATATCTTTCTAGCTTTTTAGGCTTTTCAAGTACGGTGTGTAAAGTAATTATATTTTTCATTTAAAAACAGCAAACCTGAAGTTGCCCATTTGGTGAGTGAACGAAACTGTTTTAGGGCTCACACAACATAAAAAATTTCTGTCGCGCTTATATCGCTCATTTTTAAGATTTAATTATTAAAAAGCGCGATTTATGAGCTTTTTAACGAATCTATTTTGAGAACAGACCAAACCAAGGCGCATAACGAATTCTCAAAGTAGGAATTAAGGTTGGCTTGCTACAAACAGGTGTGAGCGGGGGTTCACTAGCGTTCACGTCCGCAACGCTGCGCCACATGGATTACGTGTCTGTGTTGTGTCTCGCTTCTGATTGGCTGACGGATATAGCCGTTCATTGTTTTCTGTTTTGTGGGCGCGGCATAGCACGTGCTGCACAGTATAGAATTGGCTCTACGATTTACGATCGAGCTGCGCCGATCAGTGTTGATTTTCTGTGCTCCAGAATTGTCAATATTAAAAAGTTAGCAATTAGCGGTGCGACGTTTTGTGTTTCCCGCATAGCTCGCAATCCATATCGCATTGCTCGCTCCACAGGATCTATCCCGTTTAGGTCTCTGTCTCTGGATCCATTCTGGATCTAGCATTAGACAGGTATACACGTATTCCCATAATATTACTAAACTGACAGGTATCCAATCGAGCTTGCACCTTGTACGATGACGTCACGGTAGATAACCTGCACGATGCGTCGGAGTAAGTACCCCTGCGGGTTTAGTACTTTTCAAAACTCTCAGGTTCATACAACTTGTACGTACTATGGCTAAAAAAATAGAGGAAAAAATTTTAAGTTTGTCAATGCGAAAGCTGGCGAGTAGAAAGTTATCAAGAGAGCGAAAACTTCACGATTTATGTAATTCTCGTTTAGCATTCAGGTCTATGAGGCAGCTTGCCATAGACATCTATGCTAAACAAAACCACTTCAGCTGATCAAAATCTAACTGTTTGGTTGTTTTAATTGACTAATAACAGTTCTGGATGTTTTGTTTTGAATAAGTGATTACATTTTAATTGTTTTGATTTGATCACAATAAAAAAATCAATAGTTTTTGTTTACCATAGAGGTCTATGGCAAACAGCCTCATAGACCTCAGTGCTAAATCCGAATTACATTAATCGTAAACTTTTCGTTTCCCTGATAACTTTTTACTTGCCAACTTTTGCTTCACAAACTTGAAATTTTTTCCTCCATTTTTTGAGCCATAGTACGAACAAGTTGTGTGAATCTGGGAGTTTTGAAAAGTGCCAAACCCGCAGGGGTTGCCCACTCCGACGCACAGTGCAGGTGCGCTGCCGTGACGTCACGTTAGTCGATTGGATACCTTATTGTTTAGTAATATTATGGTACTAGTAGACCCCGCGCAAACTGCGCGGAACAAATCAGCTGTAAATAATTCACGTTATTTACAGGCTGCTAAGGTTTAAATTATGATTGAGATTTTTATAAGAAGAATACGGATCACAATTACATATTCTATATTTTAATTTCGATTACGTGTCGCAACTTGCAAGTGTACTGATAAAATTACCTATACTTCTACGGTAGTATGGCTGACACCGCGCAAAGTGCTCAGAGGAATTCGGCTGCTGCCTGATGATAAATGCAATTAAAATAAAAATTACCGCATTTGCTAACTGAGTTGACTTCGCTGATAGAAACTAAGCTGTTATCGAATTAAGTTATTTTTTCCAGCGGTAAGTGGCAATCCCACACCAACTAACACTTAATTCTTAACTAACTTTAAAAGGGTAAATTATGAGTCTCGCAGAGCTGGCTGATAAACTGTAAGAAACAAAACTGCCAAACGATGTCTCACTTGATTGCTGCTCGTCCTGCTTAGCGAGCTCCGCTCGCGCAGCAGTTCCGCTTTGCCTTCTTTAAATATCCGTTTTTTTATTATTGATTTTTTTAAAAATACCGTTTTTCGTCGGTATAATACGAATCTAATGAAACAGTGACATCGTAGAAAGGTTAATTTAAAACCCGCGCAAGTAAGGCAGTTACTTTAAGTCTTCGCTGATTGGTTGTGTTGGGGTTCCGTAGACTTTGTATGATAGGGTTTTTTACAGTTTTCTCTCAAACGATGTTTGTTTTTTGAAACCCGAAAGATGCGGGCTCATCTACGAAATCAGCGCTATCGAATGATCCGTAAATGCTGAATATTGATCCAGTCTCCGATTCTGGGGGATTTGACAGACACACTGGTCACGCCCCCTCTTTATCTTTTATTATAAAGGATTCCGTAAATTATAAACACGGTAACACCCACCGGGTTGTCGATTTCGTTGCTGGATCCAGCGCTACTTGCGAGCTTCTGTGTCTTTTGCTCTTCCTCAACTTTTTTCTGCCAAATAAAAAATGTCTGAAAGAGGAAGCAAACATTTTAAAAAGAAAGCCGCTGGATTGCTGTACTTTGGCTTCCTGGAGCGAATTGATGTAATCGTCCAACATTATTCTCAGCTCCAGAACATTCCGGACATTCCGGCGGGTAGAATCCTCCGGCGAATTCTCCGGCGAATCCTCCGCCAACATGTACAGCTTGAACTTTTCAATGAGAACCGCCACTCGGTTAACGAAGAACTGTGTAGTCCGTTCGGTTTTGTCTAAAATTTACAAAGACCACAATTTTGTGCTTAAAAATATAAACATTGAGGAAAATGTATCCAAAATTATTCAGAAAATAAAAAAATATTACACTCTCACAAAAACCCATTGCCTTCTCTCCAGTCAACCATTTTGCATAGTTTTGACCGGCAACCGGCTCTCACCTTTACAGGCTGGATACTTTTGATCCACGAATTCTAGCACCGTTTTCGCGTTTTCTATCCACTGGTCGAAATCCGAGATTTCTTCCCGAAACTCCTGCAAAAATCATATTCATTACCCGGTCAGCATCAAGATTTTTTCTTGTGTCTTATTGTCTTATTTATTTTAAATTACTGTATTTAAACAAGTTTAAGAGCCACCAAATGGCGGAAGCCGTAAAGAGTAACGCGCCTTCTTTGAAGTACAAAAAATCCGTCGGATATTCTGCGCACACCCGGACTTCTTTGTGGCTCTTAAACTTGTGTACATACACTACAGAGGGTTCGGGAGATTCGGGAGACAGCCTTTGTCTAGAGTTTTGAATTTCCTGCGTTGTCATTTTGTTTTTGCGGGTATTTTTGTGTGGTAAACTGAGCCCTGCCATTCTGGTTAACGCCAGATTGGCAGGGACAAGTCCTGAGCGCTTTTACGGTCGGGTTCTGCCAGCATCCGCCACTGGAGGCTCTCTAGTACCCGTGTAACATCTCACTTCGCCATACTCATCTGGTGGATCTGATTCGCTTTGTTCACCCGTCTCTCGTATCATGGAGTTGAATCGGTTCCTGAATTCAGCCCGCGGAGAAGACTTCGTCGGCCCTGTTGGCGGGAAGCTCGGTGTTTCTGAACGCTGTGCTCGATGTGATCTGGGGCGAGTATTAACCCAAAGCGCTTCGGCGCGTTTTCGCCGTTCAACCAGTGACCTAGTTGGTGCAGCGTTCGGGGGCTCTGTGTTTTTTTGTTTTCGGGGACGCATGGATGGTCATTCTGGAAGCTGTCGTTTCGCTCACATTGGACCGTGGAGTGGATCTCCCGAACCCTCTGGATGGGTGGATGGGACGTGGAGGTGTAAATTCGGAGTTTCTGTGTGTCATGCCCGATGGGGTCTGGGGCGAGTATTACCCCAAAGCGCTTCGGCGCGTTTTCGCCATTCAGCCAGTGATCTAGTTGGTGTGGCGTGTGGAAATTCTGAGTTTTATGCTGATATTGTTTTGTCTGACTGTCTTTAGTGTTAGGTAGATTTATGAATCTTACACGTTGTCTTTGTCATGCTATCATCGTACTTCACTGTACTTGTACTGTTGTTGAATTAAAATACGTATCAGTATACACTACAGAGACTTTAAACGGCGGACAACTGAGAAGATTGATATTTTCTAGTTCTGACGCTAAAAAACGCTTACCTAGTAAATAAATTTTCATGACAGGCAAAGAAGTTTATGAACGTTTATGGATTCTCGTAGACATAGCATAGGATCCTCTTCAACGGCTCCTCGCACGAATCTTATGCTATGTCTACGAGAAACTACAAACGTTCATAACTTTCTTTGGCTGTCATGAAAATTCTACTACTAGGCACCAAAACAATTCAGATTTTTTCTCCATGGTTTGGAATGTGAGTTCGTAGGTTCGGTTGAGATTTATGCGAGTGTGAATGCCAACTTACTTTAACGTTAATGGATCTCTAGACTGCAAGTCTCACAAAAGGGAGGCAGAAATGGAATTCGCTAAGGCTTAGAATATTATTATGTAGGACCATGGCGGTACTAAAGAAAAGGCGCGCGCCACTGGTGACGTCACAGTATGGCAAGGAGCCCGTTAGCGCAGTGCTTTAAGGCTCGTAGCGCGGGGGCTTCATAGACTGCTTTGATAACCGATCGATTTACTTTGATGCTTTTTTCATCCAGGTCTCCTTTCTTTCGGAGTCGAGTTTCGATGACAAATTAAAAACTCGGGGCTATAAACTATAACTTATAATTAAACTATAACTTATAAACACAGAAGTTTCCTTCCAGTGAAACGTTCCGGATGAACTTGGCTGCTTCCTGCTTGGCGGGGTTTTTGGTGGTTTATTTGAGGCAATGGTGAGGGGGCTCGGTTCTGCAGTGGTGGATTCTCGACTTCTCCCGTAGACTCAGCTTGTCACATTTTACTACGTTTTGTAAAACTGAAACTGTTTGTCTCAAATCTGACTTCTGATGGCTCTGCTACGCAATAAGAGCTATCGAAGGATACGAAGACATCGAAGTTTGCTCCAATGTGTCGCTGGGACCGACTCCCCGCAATTGAATTTTGAGCACTCATTATTCTTTTAGTACAAAGGCAAGCGGCATCTCTTTCCCCTCTCTTTCGTACCGTTTATCTCTTTCCCCGGCTGCATCGCTGCCGTGTGTGAGCGCACACGTGACACATTTCATTCAGCTATTTCACATCTAAACCGGTTTTGCGGCTGCGGCAGATTCCGCAGCCAATGCTGTGCACAGATAAGAGCGAATCAAAGCTTCACGTGTACGCTCACACACGGCAGCGATGCAGCCGGCCCTAAGCCGGGGAAAGAGATAAACGGTACTCGTACTAAAGGGAGGGAAAAGAGATGGCGTTTGCCTTGTACTTTGTAATATAATATATATAATAAGAGAGCCCGCGCAGAATAAATAAAAGGAGAATAATTCAAAGCAAAAAAAAATAATTTTTACTTCTATAGATCTTCCTTCACTTCTATAGTATGTAATGTCACTATGTATTTTATGAGGAAATTATAGAATTAGCATGTTGCTGTTATTATAATGTTACCGGACTGCCAGGACAACCCTATAATTATAGACCACTGCATATTAAATTTTCAAAGTTTCTTCCCGGAAATGGGCCGGTTATCGGTTTAGTTTTGCAGGACGAATGTTTCGCACCATACCAGTAGATAACTGATTAACTATCACTCAAAATTTTATTTGCCCAGTTGCAAATTATATCTCAGTAATTTAAACACAACTTATGCTACCTGATCATTTTTACCATCGCGATTCGCGCGGTCAGCCGCGCTGTTTCGAAACTCAATGTACAACGTATTAGCCTGCAGTTGCAGACTTGCAGTCTAGAGATCCTGACCGAGTCCGAATCATACACTGACAATCAAATTATCAAAATTTCCCGATCTTTAATTAGTTTTCTGTTGCTTTGTATTCATTAAACAATCCATGTTACAAAGTAAATTACTTTTACAAAAAATAATTAGCCATTTTAAAATATTATGATATTTCTTTCATCGCCCGTTTATTCGGAAATGTGAAGCAGGTTGCCTCGCTTGCCCTCCGCTCGCGCCGCAGCTCGGCGTCGCCTGCGGCTCCGCCTTCTATGAAAAACTGAAGAAATTATTTCAAGTTTCGCAAAATCTCGCTCTCAAGAATAATTCATAGCACCCTGAATGACGCGCCTAACGACAGTCGAAAGCAATCACTTAAATAAAAAACTTGTTAGTTATACAGCTCTGCTGCAGTTAATACAAATTAACTAAATTACGCTCATGTGGAATATGCACCTGCCAGCATGCTGTCCCTAAATTCTAAACATGCAGTACCACTTTTCTCGGATATTTTCCACAGAAAACAAATTACCTAACTCGCATCTTGCCCGCGAGTCGTAAATCGTCGCAAATTTTTGTCTTCAACGGCATATCAGTAGCATTGCCAACCGCCCGTGGAACGTTGCAACTTCAACTGGTCAAACCACTGCGAATACTGTAGCAGCTTTTTCAGAAACAGTTTTGAGCAAAGTTTCGCAGACGTTTTCGCAGACGTTGTCGCAGACATTTGACAGACACACTGGTCACGCCCCCTCTTTATCTTTTATTATAAAGGATTCCGTAAATTATAAACACGGTAACACCCACCGGGTTGGCGATTTCGTTGCTGGATCCAGCGCTACTTGCGAGCTTCTGTGTCTTTTGCTCTTCCTCAACTTTTTTCTGCCAAATAAAAAATGTCTGAAAGAGGAAGCAAACATTTTAAAAAGAAAGCCGCTGGATTGCTGTACTTTGGCTTCCTGGAGCGAATTGATGTAATCGTCCAACATTATTCTCAGCTCCAGAACATTCCGGACATTCCGGCGGGTAGAATCCTCCGGCGAATTCTCCGGCGAATCCTCCGCCAACATGTACAGCTTGAACTTTTCAATGAGAACCGCCACTCGGTTAACGAAGAACTGTGTAGTCCGTTCGGTTTTGTCTAAAATTTACAAAGACCACAATTTTTGTGCTTAAAAATATAAACATTGAGGAAAATGTATCCAAAAATTATTCAGAAAATAAAAAAAATATTACACTCTCACAAAAACCCATTGCCTTCTCTCCAGTCAACCATTTTGCATAGTTTTGACCGGCAACCGGCTCTCACCTTTACAGGCTGGATACTTTTGATCCACGAATTCTAGCACCGTTTTCGCGTTTTCTATCCACTGGTCGAAATCCGAGATTTCTTCCCGAAACTCCTGCAAAAATCATATTCATTACCCGGTCAGCATCAAGATTTTTTCTTGTGTCTTATTGTCTTATTTATTTTAAATTACTGTATTTAAACAAGTTTAAGAGCCACCAAATGGCGGAAGCCGTAAAGAGTAACGCGCGCCTTCTTTGAAGTACAAAAAATCCGTCGGATATTCTGCGCACACCCGGACTTCTTTGTGGCTCTTAAACTTGTGTACATACACTACAGAGGGTTCGGGAGATTCGGGAGACAGCCTTTGTCTAGAGTTTTGAATTTCCTGCGTTGTCATTTTGTTTTTGCGGGTATTTTTGTGTGGTAAACTGAGCCCTGCCATTCTGGTTAACGCCAGATTGGCAGGGACAAGTCCTGAGCGCTTTTACGGTCGGGTTCTGCCAGCATCCGCCACTGGAGGCTCTCTAGTACCCGTGTAACATCTCACTTCGCCATACTCATCTGGTGGATCTGATTCGCTTTGTTCACCCGTCTCTCGTATCATGGAGTTGAATCGGTTCCTGAATTCAGCCCGCGGAGAAGACTTCGTCGGCCCTGTTGGCGGGAAGCTCGGTGTTTCTGAACGCTGTGCTCGATGTGATCTGGGGCGAGTATTAACCCAAAGCGCTTCGGCGCGTTTTCGCCGTTCAACCAGTGACCTAGTTGGTGCAGCGTTCGGGGGCTCTGTGTTTTTTGTTTTCGGGGACGCATGGATGGTCATTCTGGAAGCTGTCGTTTCGCTCACATTGGACCGTGGAGTGGATCTCCCGAACCCTCTGGATGGGTGGATGGGACGTGGAGGTGTAAATTCGGAGTTTCTGTGTGTCATGCCCGATGGGGTCTGGGGCGAGTATTACCCCAAAGCGCTTCGGCGCGTTTTCGCCATTCAGCCAGTGATCTAGTTGGTGTGGCGTGTGGAAATTCTGAGTTTTATGCTGATATTGTTTTGTCTGACTGTCTTTAGTGTTAGGTAGATTTATGAATCTTACACGTTGTCTTTGTCATGCTATCATCGTACTTCACTGTACTTGTACTGTTGTTGAATTAAAATACGTATCAGTATACACTACAGAGACTTTAAACGGCGGACAACTGAGAAGATTGATATTTTCTAGTTCTGACGCTAAAAAACGCTTACCTAGTAAATAAATTTTCATGACAGGCAAAGAAGTTTATGAACGTTTATGGATTCTCGTAGACATAGCATAGGATCCTCTTCAACGGCTCCTCGCACGAATCTTATGCTATGTCTACGAGAAACTACAAACGTTCATAACTTTCTTTGGCTGTCATGAAAATTTACTTACTAGGTACCAAAACAATTCCAGATTTTTTTCTCCATGGTTTGGAATGTGAGTTCGTAGGTTCGGTTGAGATTTATGCGAGTGTGAATGCCAACTTACTTTAACGTTAATGGATCTCTAGACTGCAAGTCTCACAAAAGGGAGGCAGAAATGGAATTCGCTAAGGCTTAGAATATTATTATGTAGGACCATGGCGGTACTAAAGAAAAGGCGCGCGCCACTGGTGACGTCACAGTATGGCAAGGAGCCCGTTAGCGCAGTGCTTTAAGGCTCGTAGCGCGGGGGCTTCATAGACTGCTTTGATAACCGATCGATTTACTTTGATGCTTTTTTCATCCAGGTCTCCTTTCTTTCGGAGTCGAGTTTCGATGACAAATTAAAAACTCGGGGCTATAAACTATAACTTATAATTAAACTATAACTTATAAACACAGAAGTTTCTTTCCAGTGAAACGTTCCGGTTGAACTTGGCTGCTTCCTGCTTGGCGGGGTTTTTGGTGGTTTATTTGAGGCAATGGTGAGGGGGTCGGTTCTGCAGACTCAGCTTGTCACATTTTTACTACGTTTTGTAAAACTGAAACTGTTTGTCTCAAATCTGACTTCTGATGGCTCTGCTACGCAATAAGAGCTATCGAAGGATACGAAGACATCGAAGTTTGCTCCAATGTGTCGCTGGGACCGACTCCCCGCAATTGAATTTTGAGCACTCATTATTCTTTTAGTACAAGGCAAGCGGCATCTCTTTCCCCTCTCTTTCGTACCGTTTATCTCTTTCCCCGGCTGCATCGCTGCCGTGTGTGAGCGCACACGTGACACATTTCATTCAGCTATTTCACATCTAAACCGGTTTTGCGGCTGCGGCAGATTCCGCAGCCAATGCTGTGCACAGATAAGAGCGAATCAAAGCTTCACGTGTACGCTCACACACGGCATGATGCAGCCGGCAAGCCGGGAAAGAGATAAACGGTACTCGTACTAAAGGGAGGGAAAAGAGATGGCGTTTGCCTTGTACTTGTAATATAATATATATAATAAGAGAGCCCGCGCAGAATAAATAAAAGGAGAATAATTCAAAGCAAAAAAAAATAATTTTTACTTCTATAGATCTTCCTTCACTTCTATAGTATGTAATGTCACTATGTATTTTATGAGGAAATTATAGAATTAGCATGTTGCTGTTATTATAATGTTACCGGACTGCCAGGACAACCCTATAATTATAGACCACTGCATATTAAATTTTTCAAAGTTTCTTCCCGGAAATGGGCCGGTTATCGGTTTAGTTTTGCAGGACGAATGTTTCGCACCATACCAGTAGATAACTGATTAACTATCACTCAAAATTTTATTTGCCCAGTTGCAAATTATATCTCAGTAATTTAAACACAACTTATGCTACCTGGTCATTTTTACCATCGCGATTCGCGCGGTCAGCCGCGCTGTTTCGAAACTCAATGTACAACGTATTAGCCTGCAGTTGCAGACTTGCAGTCTAGAGATCCTGACCGAGTCCGAATCATACACTGACAATCAAATTATCAAAAATTTCCCGATCTTTAATTAGTTTTCTGTTGCTTTGTATTCATTAAACAATCCATGTTACAAAGTAAATTACTTTTACAAAAAATAATTAGCCATTTTAAAATATTATGATATTTCTTTCATCGCCCGTTTATTCGGAAATGTGAAGCAGGTTGCCTCGCTTGCCCTCCGCTCGCGCCGCAGCTCGGCGTCGCCTGCGGCTCCGCCTTCTATGAAAAACTGAAGAAATTATTTCAAGTTTCGCAAAATCTCGCTCTCAAGAATAATTCATAGCACCCTGAATGACGCGCCTAACGACAGTCGAAAGCAATCACTTAAATAAAAAACTTGTTAGTTATACAGCTCTGCTGCAGTTAATACAAATTAACTAAATTACGCTCATGTGGAATATGCACCTGCCAGCATGCTGTCCCTAAATTCTAAACATGCAGTACCACTTTTCTCGGATATTTTCCACAGAAAACAAATTACCTAACTCGCATCTTGCCCGCGAGTCGTAAATCGTCGCAAATTTTTGTCTTCAACGGCATATCAGTAGCATTGCCAACCGCCCGTGGAACGTTGCAACTTCAACTGGTCAAACCACTGCGAATACTGTAGCAGCTTTTTCAGAAACAGTTTTGAGCAAAGTTTCGCAGACGTTGTCGCAGACATTATCAGGTCATCAGTCTTCTTTTTTAAGCAATCTTACTTTTTCTGAAGCCATTTGTTGATAAAAATTTATAATTTAATTCAAGAATCAAGACTACAGAATCGTACGTGGTCATGATTAGAAGTTCCCAGCAAAGCTGGCCAAAACGCGTTTTAGCTGTCGAAACAGTGGTGGGGTGGTCAGTTTTGCAGTGTTGGATTCTCAGCTTTTCTCATTGGCTTCTATGTTAAAGTTTTCAAGTTTTCTTTCAATAGTTTGTTTTTCTCAAAAAACTGAGTTGTGATGGCAAATCTACCCACTAAAGGCTATCGAATGATACGTAGACATAGAAGTTTGATTCAGTGGATCGGGATGGCGAACTCGACAGAGTGGGAATTTCGTTGAGGCTTACGCGATTATTATATTATAGTGATGATGATGATGATAAAGGAAAGGAATAGATGGCAACCAAACGACCGCACGAGTAGCTACAGAAAGGAAATATTTTTGGAACTTACCGGTGCGTTATTAGAGGCTAAAGGCTCGTCGCGTTCACGCTCCTTGGAACCGGCGTTGGAGTCGTGGTCATCATCCCCGCTTTGAGTCCCCGCAGTTTCGCGGCCGCTCCACCTATCCGTTGCGCTCATCTTCGGATGGATGTTTCTGGAGATCCCTGATGAAAGGGATCTTCGCAGCAAATCCTGGAGATCCCTGATTAAAGGGATCTTCGCAGCAAATCCTGGAGATCCCTGATGAAAGGGATCTTCGCAGCAAATCCTGGAGATCCCTGATGAAAGGGATCTTCGCAGCAAAAACCCGATCCAAAGCGAGTGCCAGCGGACAGTGTGATTCGGGCAGGAAGGCGAAGGGATCTCCTGTCGGACAAAGCGGCTGATAAACAATAGGCCAGTACGATACTAATATGATAAATAAAATCCTTCCTACTTTAGACAACGACGAGGGATAATTTCAGGGGATAACATTCGCTGAGCAGGACAGATTTCAAAGAAGACAGGCAAAGAAGATTCCGAAAGGAGAAAAAATATGCGCTAAATTGCAGAATTAGTACACGAATGCACTGAAAGCTGCTGTGCGATTGAGTACCCAAACTGCGCGAGTCGCATCCGTGTAGAAAAATGCGAAATAGAAGATTACGCAACCAAACAGAAGCAAAGTAAAGCCATGCATTGTTTTAAAGAGTGCAGATGTACGTACTGAGTACACCACAACTGTATTAATGACAGTACAATATCCTTGTAAGATTTTGTTGCACTGAATAGATGCGGCGTAACGTAAATGATCAAATGAAAAAAACACTCCACAGTCTCCACTTACAAAAGTGCACAGGAATTCTGAATTATTAAGTCGTAGCAGTCACCGTCACTACACCCTGTCACCCAGTATAAATAATTACTTAAACGAACGCTCGGGCCATTCAGAATCTCCGATATGTAGACCGGAAGCTCCCCGTTCAATCGCGGCATTGTCAGGAAAAGATCCGTCGAAAGAGAAGCGAGGCGCGGGCAACGGTTCATCTACGCCATTGCCAGCGGATATGTTGTGGAATATTGAATTCCAACATGGAAACATGCCTTCTAACCTGGGAACAGCGCCAGTTTCGGCTAATTTCAAACCAAGTATTCTCTGCTTCGGCCGCTTGTTACAGTTGTTTGTCAGTGGCGTGTACGGTGTAATGACTAATGAGTATTTTGGTAAGATTTTTGTCGGGAAAAAGTATACACGCCGTAGTTTTTCTGTTAACTTCAATACTGTAATTTTAAAAAATCACCGAATTCGAAGTGACCTAGAATTATAAGCATTTATGTAGATATGGCGCTAGCTGTTACTGCATTATTAAAAGCAAAACCGCGTACCTTCTGCAAAGCAGTGAATAATTAACGACTGGGAAATATCCGCTCAATGCTTTGTAAGTCGAAGCTCTCTTCATGGTCTGTATACACAGACCATGCTCTCTTCAAAGCTAGACTGGAAATATAACAGGGCAAATGTTGTGTATAGTAGTATTTACGAGAATCGTAAGCAGTTTGCAGTCACCTTTCAAATCAAAGCGTTTTGGCTTTTTAAGTTTTCTTTTTCGAACTTTCGCTGTAGTCTTTCTGTTTTAATCATACGTTTTCCTGTAATTTTGGACATATTATCTTTATTGTGATATTTCATCAGATTTTAGGTTATCTGGCACTAGGAATTCACTTCTTTTGTTCATAATTTGTATTTGCTGCATTTAGCAGTCAGCCTATCATGCCTCCGAAGCGCTCGTCCAAATCCAAAAGTCCGAGCCCCCGGAAAGCTTCCCCAGGAAAGAAAAGCAGCCCGGACGCGGGCACCAAGGCCGCTGAGATCGGCAAACGTAAGCGCGAGGAATCCAAGAATACCGACGATAATTCTAATGTAGGCATCTGCGAGCTGCTGATGGAGTTGGCTGAATACGAGAAAGTTGCCAGCGGCGAGCAGTATAAATACCTCGCGTACCGTAAAGCAGCGCAGACGCTGGCTGAACAGAAAACCCGTATCAAAAGTGGCGCTGAAGCGCAGAAGCTGCCAGGAATTGGGGAAAGCATTGCAGGCAAGATTGATGAGTTTCTGAAGACGGGCAAGATGGAAAAAGTAAAGGAGGCTCGCGACGACGACACAGCCAAGATACTGGCGGATTTGGCGCGGGTGCCCGGGATTGGCCATGCTCGGGCCAAGGAACTGTACGATCAAGGCATTAGAAGCATCGAGGATCTCAAGAAGCATCCGGACCTTCTGCCCGAACAACTGCAGAAGCCCGTAAAGAATTTGGACGCTATTGAGTCTCCCATAAACAAACAACAGGCGGACAAAATCAAGAAGTATCTGGAACAGCAACTAAAGGTACGCTTTAATGTCAATTTGCCATGCCTGCATTTTTTAAAACATGGTTATCTGAAACTACTGCAAATTTGATTTTACTTTTTAACAGAATTTGGAGACAGCAAGCATTCGCTTTGTCCCGATTTTTGTTACAAACGGGAATAGATATTGCAAGATTATAACATTAAAACTTTTAATGCTGTATATTTTGTTTGCTTGTACAGATGGCACCTATAGTAAGTGAATGGGCGATGGTCGTTCAAAGTGGCCACCTTGAATTACAATTCCCATGAACCATTTTTCTTCTGGTTTTCTTCTTTACTCAGTTAAGTATAACGCATCCTTACAGAGTACTTGAAATTTTTAAAATATCGTGAACCGTTTTCTTGCATTTGCGTCGTTAAAAAACCAGTGGCGAAGCACTTAAGCCACGCCACGTGAGCCACTGCATTACAACATGAATACAGCAGCCACCGCCACGCATGTGCGGTTGCGCATAATATTTCTGATCCGTGTATAATTACTGTAATAGGATTGATTTTGTTATCTTTTTTAATTGATTTTCAAGTGCAATAAAAAGTTCAGTTTATGGACAAAGACAACTAAGATGGTTGTTGTTGTCCACAGCAGAGGCGGAGGAGCTGCTAGCGGCGAGAGATAAGAACAAAATTCGACACCGAAACCCAAAGCAAAGCGGTCCCAGTGAATATCGGCTTTTTTTGTCCTCACTAACCTGTGGTTTTTAATTTTTATGTTTTCACCTGTGTCTGCTAACCTGTGACTAATTTTCGTTTCTCGAAGTTCCTCGAATGGTTTTGGTTTTGAGTTTTCTTATTTATTGGAATTTGTCAGTCGGACGAACTTGCGCACCTCAACAAGTTCCAGCTGCATTTATCTTTACTTGCACGATTTTACCACTTTCGATGTGCACTTTGTGTTATTTAAACAGCGACAGCGCAGCCGCACAAGTCTGGCGGTGACTGTAGTATTTATGATGTAGTGCAGTGGCTCACGTGGCGTGGCTTAACAGTGTGGCGTGGCGTGGCAGTGTTTCGTCACTGGTTTTTTCACGACGCAAATGCAAAAAAAACGGTTCAAGATATTTGTGAAATTTCAAGTACTCTGTAAAGGGTACGTTATTCTTAACTGAGTAAAGAAGAAAACCAGAAGAAAAACGGTTCATGGGAACTATAGTTCAAGGTGGCTACTTTGAACGACCATCTCCCATTCACTTACTATACATAGGTGGCCAACCGAACGACCGTACGAGTAATTATTAATATTAATTATCCCTCTCTCACCTTTTACGTTCGTGCCGCTCAAAGCGATTCTGACGCTGTTATGCAGCTCCATCAGCGCCATTTTCAGGTAATCAACATGCTTTGACGTTAAAATCCACTCCTCAGACTTCTGCAACAAACCCACAATCAGTACTTATGCGCTGCTAAGAAAGTTCCATTTCACCCACCTTGCTAACGTTAAGTTCCATTTCACCCGACTCGCTGCCGTCTGCCTCGTCCAGTTCCAAAACGTCCAGTTCCAAAAATTCCCGAAATTCCGGGTCCCTACGCAACGCCGGATGATCGGCCATTTTTTGGAGAAACCTTTCGAAAATCTTGTCTGCAAAAGTAAAGCAGTTGTATAAAGCATACGAATGACTAACCCTAGAAATGCGAATCACAATAACTTGCGTTCAATTTAAAATAAAGTCATTACTCGCTATCATTCCCGCGATAGGGCGCGCAAACCAAATTGCCTATGCGCCTGGTAATTCGGGTTGTGCGACGGGGCGACATAGCCGTGCGCCTATAGACCCGCATGGTTAATAATTTTCTAATCCTTAAAATGTATCAGCCAAATAACTAATACTGCAAAGTTGCGATACTATTCAAATTCGAGATTTACCATATGAAAATGCACATTAGACGAAACAAAAACTGCTACATATTAGGCTTGCAAGAGCGGCAACTTCTGTTTATAATGCAGATTGCATCGAAAAATACACGGCACTTTAGTGCCTTCAGTCAGCCAGTTTAAGCTGACTAAGTGCTTGCGCGTTAATGCGGCCGACTGGCAAATTTGATGAACACAATGCAGTTGTCCTTGTACAGAGGGTGTTTCAGCCAAGTGTGACCACTTTTTGATTTGAACAGTTTATACTTACGTAGTCTGCAGGAAAGGATGGTGATGTCGAATTAACTTATTGCTACTGTATATATATATACGGTGCGCAGAGCGATATACTTCGCGTTCGAAAACCGGGCGCACAGCCATATATCGTAAAAATAAACGGATATACTAAAACTCCAGGCGGAAAAAAAATTGCAGTGCAACGCGTACCGGTGGCAATGTCAGGGATGTTGGGATTGCTCTGCTCGAACGCCGCTGGGATGGATGCGTCGATGAAGAATCCCTTCCCCACCACATCCAAATTCAAAAACTCGCCAAATGTCCGTGTTACCGTAAACTTGGGTCGATGGAAGATTGGCAGGCTGGTCTTCGTGGTCACCCGGTACACGACGTCTGGGCCATCCTTCGCCTCGGTAACCGTGATCTTAGTCTAACCACGGTTCCCAGAATTAATTAAAAATAAAATAGATACCACATCCGCTTGATACAGTTCACGCCGTGCGACAACGATTAGCCGAATTAAGCAATCGCAAAGTATGCTTTTATTTAAGAAACGAAGCAAAACCATTAATTTCTACTTTGCAACCTACAGTTTGTTCAGATGTTTCGGAATGGCGGGGCGTGGGGAAACAATTGAAGTAACTGGGTGCGGATTTCGGACGCTCAACGCTGGAGTCCGCGTTGTCAACCGGATAGCGCTCGCAGGTGGCTGGGCGCGGCGTATCTGCTAAGAACAAAATGAGGTAATTACTAATCTGCAAGCTACAATGAGCGACTAACCATCAGGCATACAAAGAAACACGCACGTATCTATAATATAAATGGAAGCTGGAAAGGTGTCTGCGACACTCATCGCACACCGGCGTTAGTACAACCCCGTTTTACGAAGAAGTAACTATTATAAGCGCGGACGCTGTGACTAGCGCACAGTAACGCTAGATTTCTTAATTAGCGCAAGCCAGTAATACAAAACAAGTGTATTATGAGAACAGACTGAGTTACAACGGAAATAACTCTTTCAATTTCTCCGCTCCGTCCATGGTTCCGAGTACGGAAACTGTGTTGTCTCTCTGGATATCAATCGACAAGCACTGGCAAAAAAATTCGAGTAGCGATGTTCGCCGGTGTGCTGCTGCAATCGCTTATCAACTTCCTTCACTAAACTGGATGCCGACTTTCCTTACTGGTAAAGAGTACTAAAGGCACGAAAGTGGGCCACTATGAGACTATGATAAGTGAATGGGCCGTCTTCAGTTATTTCTCTCTCAAACCGTTCTTCCAGTTTTCTGTTTCGTCAGATTCACAAAATCATGCTCTTTTTAGAGTACTTTAAAGTTTCTAAAAATATTGAACCGTTTTTAAGTTATTTGGGTTGTAAAGAAACAGTGAGGAAACAGGTAAGCCACGCCACTGAAGCCACTGCACTACGCAATAATAGCACCATATAACCACCGCACTTGTGCGGCTGCAGAATATACAAAGCGTCTGCAATATGCGGTTTTGTTTATTTAACACATCCTTTAGTAATATGCGCCAGTCCGTCCGATATAACATTTATTGTCAAAAATATCATATTAGCCACCAGGACTGAACATATCAGAGGCACTGAAAATTAACAACACAGTAAAACAAGAGTCACCGGTTAAGAATAATTTTAAAAACCATAACTTAGGGAGCATTAAAGAAAAATCACAGAATAATTAAAACCGGTTAAAAATTAGATTAAACGACCGCAAATTTTGACTGACAAATTTGGCTGACGATAGTTCTACACCACATTGTTCGAACTCTGCGAAGACGAAGACCTCTTCATCAAAATCCGAAAAAAGCTGAGTCTATTCGCCATGCGAGTGTGGTAACGGGTTTTTCAAGCGTCTGCTTAGGTATTCGTGGAATCGCTGGGATATTAGCAGCCTCTCTACAGGAAGCCCCTTTACTTTAACGTCAGTACGAGCAGCAGTCAAGCGTTTCTCCATTTTATTGTTTAACTTTGATGGAATACACAAATCGTTCGAATACAGCAAAAATTTTTAGTTTGAATGTAAAAATTAAATAGAAGTGTATTTGCAATTTGTACACCGCAGCCGCACAGGTGCGTTAATTGTATGGTGCTATTACTGCGTAATGCAGTGGATGCGGTGGCGTGGTTTACCTGTTTCCTCACTGCTTTTTACAACTCAAATAACTTTAAAATGGTTCAATATTTTTTTAAAACGTTTTAGTTCTCTGAAAAGAATATGATCTCGTAAATCTGAAACAGAAAAATAGAAGAAAAACGGTTTGGGAAAGAAATAACTGAAGGTGGTCCACATAAGTCACTGTTAAGTGTATGTTGTCTGTTATCATAGTGGCCCAGTTAAGTGTTTTTACGGTTAGGGTCCGAGAGTTTCAAACCAATACGCGTCAAGTCACGTGATAACTGTAGGATCTCGGTATTAGAAAGCGGCTAAAATTATCGAGGCTTACCATTTTGGGGAATGGTCGGATTATATGGCCGCCAATGTTTGCCTCGAAAATACGAGGAATCGGACTCCAGTGAATAGTCATCCGCCAGTCCGAGTCGCTCGGGATTGTAAAGCCGACCGAAATGCGGCGATGAATCTGGTGAGCGCTCGTTGACACCTGTTAAAAGTACCAACGGCCTTTTCGATTATGCGATACCGATTATAAGCAGCGAATACAATGTAAATAAGGTATAACTGACAACGTTTTATTCGAAAATAACAAACACGGGTTCTCTATAAGCTGACCAACAGGGGACCATAGTCCGTCAAAAACATTAAAAACATGTGTTGCGTGCCAACACCAATGCCCAGGAATGGTTTCGGAGTCAGGAAAAAAACAACAAAAGCTTTTTCACTAAGTAATTTATTTTGAAAACTCTAGAAACGACCCTTAGATACGTACGCTCTGGCTCTGGTTAGATACGTACTTACCGGGGCACATTTTCAGGGTGTAAATTCAACAAATTTTCATCTCTTATAAAAAGATAACAATAAATACTAGCCTATGGGCAGTGCACGGCATCCTACGTTAACACGTTATCGAAATTTGGACAGGACCAGTTGAACTTTAAAACTTCGCTCAAAACTTTTATCCGTTGATTTCAAGATGTCTATTAAAAACTTTTTCAAAATTTTTATCTATGGACGTCAAAAAGATGCTCTACAATGTCCACAGATGGTGGATGTAAACATGTAACAATCTTATGAAGTGCGCTCGGACCATTATTCACCGTATCTGGAGAATGGAGATGGTACAGTATACACTTACTTTTTTCAGTAGAAAAGGATCTTCACTGCTCTTTACTTTGATTTGTTAGACGAGTACTTTTTAAACTTGCCTCGTACCGGTTGTTCAGTAACGTTACAACGTAGATGCGGTGCATTGCCCATAGACTACAGCATATTGTAGAAGTTAATGTGAAATTCTGTTTTGGCCACGCCCATGGACCATAGCAGATGGATTAATTTTTTTAAACATACTACGGTAAACTATCTTTTTAGAAGAGATGAGATTGTTTTGAATTTGCACCGGGATAGTGTGGCCTGGTTAGGAGAGAACGCGTCGACAGAAATTATATTGCCGATCTCGCGACCATTTATCAACGCCATAAAAGCCATCAACAGGAAAACATTAAAACCGAATTCCGCCCGTACAGTCAAATGACTTACCGATCGAAGTGTCCTCTTCGCAAAACTGTTTATGCAGATCAATCGGATCCGGCCTCGTAGCCACCGCCGAAGGTTCACGCACGGCTGGGCGGGTGGGCCCCGGCGGTATTTAAGACTGGTAGGGCACCACCTTACGCAAATCAACGACGGGGTAGGGCTCGGGTGTTAAAGAGCTCGCTGATTTCGGCATGCCACTCGCTGAACTCAGTATGACATACGCTTCCGGATTTGATTCCATGTTCTTTTTAATGTCGTTCAGCAGGTCCTGGAAAGCATTCACGCGATCCGCTAATGTCTGATCCCACTTGTCTTGTGACTTCATCCATTCATCATCCTGAAAAATTATGAAAATTGCAACAATTTCCGAAGATCACATAATTGCAGAAATTTAATGTCAATTGTCAACAGTTCTGTCCCAACTTTAACGCCATGGCTGGTTTGGCTTTATTCAGTTGAAGGTTTTTAAAGAGTCTTGAAATCGGATCTGTTTCACAATGTGATCCCTGCTTTTTTATTTCCACTGGGCAGTCATATGATATTCCAAACCATATTAGTTCTCGATTTTCTTAAATAATTTTAGTTAAAACAGCTTTTCTCAGAGTTGCTCTCGCAATTAAACTTCTAAGCTACTTTTTACACCCTATCCAATTGCGCGTCCGACAAGTCTCCGGCCAACGGTTACTTTGGTAGCTGCATATTTTAGCTATCTTGGTTATTTAAGATGTTCTGAATCTTCTTGGTTCTCTTATGGTTTGTTATGTTTATTCATGCTGCCTTTTGTTTTTCAGTTTCCTAACGTTTTTTAGGTTTTAGGCTTCTTAGCTTTGGTTTTGCGACGTTTTTTTGTTTTCTCTTTTTTTTCGCTAGTTTTATGTATTAGCTCTCTTAACACGAAGTTCCAGCAACTCTGTCCTTTTGCGGCAGCTCATATCACTCAGTCAGAAAACGATTTTACATCTGATTCACAAGCCGAAGTGAGCGTCGGTCGAGATTTACAGTACCCAAGACTGTCCCAAGTGAATGGCGGCCGAAGAAAATGACGGCCGCAATGAGCGTAGACTCAAAACGTCCGAAATGATGGGTAGCCAATGCTCTGTATGCTTCTTATCACACTTCTGCATGATGAAAAATTGAAAATAGCGGTGTGTAAGGCCAGTCTCTACTTGCACTGGCACCTAATTTAGGCAGCTACTCGACAATACAGTAATTAAGAAATTTCATATTTCATAGTTTGTGACCTTGCAATGTTATGCCTGTAATTTTTTGCCATCTCATAGATCAGTCTTCCGTCTGTAATTTTTTAGCAATTTTTTTGGAAAATTACTCGTAAATGCATACGTCTGAAAGAAAACTTTAAAAAACTTTAACATAAAAAGTCTATGGAAAAAGCTAAGAATCCACCACTGCTAAACCGACCACACCACCACTGGCTCAACAGCCAACAGCCGGCAGCAGGCATTTCTTCCAATTACGCTGCAGATGGATGGAATTTCATGTTCCATGACGGATAATATTCCGTCGCCCTAAGTTCGTAGTAACTTTGTACATTTCTCATCAAAATTTAGTCTGAGAAAGAAAATGAAACTGGACAAAAATGGCCGAGAAGATTCTACGAGTGTGGAACACTGGGAAGGTTCGAGAGTCTCTTTTCAAGTAGCTGCCTACTGCAGTGGTTTAGTAAGTCGTCGCGTAATTATACTGCAAGCGCCTTCACGGGCGGGCGCGGTTGTCTTTTTTCTTGAACTGCCAGGGGTTCGTGAATGCCGTTTTTTGAAATTTTTTGCTTTCTGTAAAAATCCAAAGGATCTTTTATAAAACAGCTTATATTAAAACGGCAAATTTTCACGTTAGTTGAGGTTATCTCTACAACTGATTTATTCATGAAGGTTATTTCAACAGGGAAGCAAACGGGAAAATGTTATACGAAATGATCTCAGAACAAACATTATTGTGATCGGTAAAACTGAACTCATCTACAAGTACAGCGGTAGCACCTGAATATTTTATATGTACTGTATGCCTGTTGTTAATTTTAGTAATATTTAAGTGCGAGCGAACCGTAGAATGGACGACAAAAGTACGTAGATGAGGCACGACCGCAGACCGACTGGCACATTTTCAATTATTTTTGTTATGTATTCACAGTATTCTATACGTAAAATATAATAACGATGTTCTTGCATTTAACGTTAATACATCGCTGATGTACTTATTCCGCGTAAGTTAAGTATAAAAATTTCCTTCTACGGGTTTGCGTTTTTTTCTAAAAAGTAACTTTATTCAGCAAAAGCCACTGCACAAAAATATTTGCCTGCTTTGATGTACACAGCAGATAAAAATGTTTTAAATTTTTCTAATTCGGAAACTGTTTGACGGAGCGTCTTGCATGTTTGCTGCTCCGCTCGCGCCACATCTCGGCGTCGCCTGCGGCTCCGCCTTCTAATACGTTGTCTAACGGGCTGAAAAAATCAGTAGTGTATTTTCACAAGTTCAAGGAACGCTCCAGGGGCCGGGCCGCACGCGGTTGTCGGCTCTTTAAGATCAAAGAAACCGACGGTGCGGCCACGCTGGCCACGCCCCACCATGTTCCTTAAACTTGTGAAAGTTAATACAGTATGTATTTTCCAGAAAAGCCTTGTTGGTTAACAATAATGAAGCACTCCATCATATGTACTGCATTTGCGCTACATCCCGCTCCGCACTGCTCGTTTGAACCGAACATGATTAAAATTGTAGCTGCACCGTGGTGTATTTGCATTAAAATTGTAAGTTTTGCAATCCGTAGTCCAGGTTTTCTCGGGAAGAATTCGTTCCGTGTTAAAAAATTCTAAAAAAAATTCATATCTTTCTAGCTTTTTAGGCTTTTCAAGTACGGTGTGTAAAGTAATTATATTTTTCATTTAAAAACAGCAAACCTGAAGTTGCCCATTTGGTGAGTGAACGAAACTGTTTTAGGGCTCACACAACATAAAAATTTCTGTCGCGCTTATATCGCTCATTTTTAAGATTTAATTATTAAAAAGCGCGATTTATGAGCTTTTTAACGAATCTATTTTGAGAACAGACCAAACCAAGGCGCATAACGAATTCTCAAAGTAGGAATTAAGGTTGGCTTGCTACAAACAGGTGTGAGCGGGGGTTCACTAGCGTTCACGTCCGCAACGCTGCGCCACATGGATTACGTGTCTGTGTTGTGTCTCGCTTCTGATTGGCTGACGGATATAGCCGTTCATTGTTTTCTGTTTTGTGGGCGCGGCATAGCACGTGCTGCACAGTATAGAATTGGCTCTACGATTTACGATCGAGCTGCGCCGATCAGTGTTGATTTTCTGTGCTCCAGAATTGTCAATATTAAAAAGTTAGCAATTAGCGGTGCGACGTTTTGTGTTTCCGCATAGCTCGCAATCCATATCGCATTGCTCGCTCCACAGGATCTATCCCGTTTAGGTCTCTGTCTCTGGATCCATTCTGGATCTAGCATTAGACAGGTATACACGTATTCCCATAATATTACTAAACTGACAGGTATCCAATCGAGCTTGCACCTTGTACGATGACGTCACGGTAGATAACCTGCACGATGCGTCGGAGTAAGTACCCCTGCGGGTTTAGTACTTTTCAAAACTCTCAGGTTCATACAACTTGTACGTACTATGGCTAAAAAAATAGAGGAAAAAATTTTAAGTTTGTCAATGCGAAAGCTGGCGAGTAGAAAGTTATCAAGGAAGCGAAAACTTCACGATTTATGTAATTCTCGTTTAGCATTCAGGTCTATGAGGCAGCTTGCCATAGACATCTATGCTAAACAAAAACCACTTCAGCTGATCAAAAATCTAACTGTTTGGTTGTTTTAATTGACTAATAACAGTTCTGGATGTTTTGTTTTGAATAAGTGATTACATTTTAATTGTTTTGATTTGATCACAATAAAAAAATCAATAGTTTTTGTTTACCATAGAGGTCTATGGCAAACAGCCTCATAGACCTCAGTGCTAAATCCGAATTACATTAATCGTAAACTTTTCGTTTCCCTGATAACTTTTTACTTGCCAACTTTTGCTTCACAAACTTGAAATTTTTTCCTCCATTTTTTGAGCCATAGTACGAACAAGTTGTGTGAATCTGGGAGTTTTGAAAAGTGCCAAACCCGCAGGGGTTGCCCACTCCGACGCACAGTGCAGGTGCGCTGCCGTGACGTCACGTTAGTCGATTGGATACCTTATTGTTTAGTAATATTATGGTACTAGTAGACCCCGCGCAAACTGCGCGGAACAAATCAGCTGTAAATAATTCACGTTATTTACAGGCTGCTAAGGTTTAAATTATGATTGAGATTTTTATAAGAAGAATACGGATCACAATTACATATTCTATATTTTAATTTCGATTACGTGTCGCAACTTGCAAGTGTACTGATAAAATTACCTATACTTCTACGGTAGTATGGCTGACACCGCGCAAAGTGCTCAGAGGAATTCGGCTGCTGCCTGATGATAAATGCAATTAAAATAAAAATTACCGCATTTGCTAACTGAGTTGACTTCGCTGATAGAAACTAAGCTGTTATCGAATTAAGTTATTTTTTCCAGCGGTAAGTGGCAATCCCACACCAACTAACACTTAATTCTTAACTAACTTTAAAAGGGTAAATTATGAGTCTCGCAGAGCTGGCTGATAAACTGTAAGAAACAAAACTGCCAAACGATGTCTCACTTGATTGCTGCTCGTCCTGCTTAGCGAGCTCCGCTCGCGCAGCAGTTCCGCTTTGCCTTCTTTAAATATCCGTTTTTTTATTATTGATTTTTTAAAAATACCGTTTTTCGTCGGTATAATACGAATCTAATGAAACAGTGACATCGTAGAAAGGTTAATTTAAAACCCGCGCAAGTAAGGCAGTTACTTTAAGTCTTCGCTGATTGGTTGTGTTGGGGTTCCGTAGACTTTGTATGATAGGGTTTTTTACAGTTTTCTCTCAAACGATGTTTGTTTTTTGAAACCCGAAAGATGCGGGCTCATCTACGAAATCAGCGCTATCGAATGATCCGTAAATGCTGAATATTGATCCAGTCCAAATAAAAAATGTCTGAAAGAGGAAGCAAACATTTTAAAAAGAAAGCCGCTGGATTGCTGTACTTTGGCTTCCTGGAGCGAATTGATGTAATCGTCCAACATTATTCTCAGCTCCAGAACATTCCGGACATTCCGGCGGGTAGAATCCTCCGGCGAATTCTCCGGCGAATCCTCCGCCAACATGTACAGCTTGAACTTTTCAATGAGAACCGCCACTCGGTTAACGAAGAACTGTGTAGTCCGTTCGGTTTTGTCTAAAATTTACAAAGACCACAATTTTTGTGCTTAAAAATATAAACATTGAGGAAAATGTATCCAAAAATTATTCAGAAAATAAAAAAAATATTACACTCTCACAAAAACCCATTGCCTTCTCTCCAGTCAACCATTTTGCATAGTTTTGACCGGCAACCGGCTCTCACCTTTACAGGCTGGATACTTTTGATCCACGAATTCTAGCACCGTTTTCGCGTTTTCTATCCACTGGTCGAAATCCGAGATTTCTTCCCGAAACTCCTGCAAAAATCATATTCATTACCCGGTCAGCATCAAGATTTTTTCTTGTGTCTTATTGTCTTATTTATTTTAAATTACTGTATTTAAACAAGTTTAAGAGCCACCAAATGGCGGAAGCCGTAAACAGTAACGCGCGCCTTCTTTGAAGTACAAAAAATCCGTCGGATATTCTGCGCACACCCGGACTTCTTTGTGGCTCTTAAACTTGTGTACATACACTACAGAGGGTTCGGGAGATTTGGGAGACAGCCTTTGTCTAGAGTTTTGAATTTCCTGCGTTGTCATTTTGTTTTTGCGGGTATTTTTGTGTGGTAAACTGAGCCCTGCCATTCTGGTTAACGCCAGATTGGCAGGGACAAGTCCTGAGCGCTTTTACGGTCGGGTTCTGCCAGCATCCGCCACTGGAGGCTCTCTAGTACCCGTGTAACATCTCACTTCGCCATACTCATCTGGTGGATCTGATTCGCTTTGTTCACCCGTCTCTCGTATCATGGAGTTGAATCGGTTCCTGAATTCAGCCCGCGGAGAAGACTTCGTCGGCCCTGTTGGCGGGAAGCTCGGTGTTTCTGAACGCTGTGCTCGATGTGATCTGGGGCGAGTATTAACCCAAAGCGCTTCGGCGCGTTTTCGCCGTTCAACCAGTGACCTAGTTGGTGCAGCGTTCGGGGCTCTGTGTTTTTTGTTTTCGGGGACGCATGGATGGTCATTCTGGAAGCTGTCGTTTCGCTCACATTGGACCGTGGAGTGGATCTCCCGAACCCTCTGGATGGGTGGATGGGACGTGGAGGTGTAAATTCGGAGTTTCTGTGTGTCATGCCCGATGGGGTCTGGGGCGAGTATTACCCCAAAGCGCTTCGGCGCGTTTTCGCCATTCAGCCAGTGATCTAGTTGGTGTGGCGTGTGGAAATTCTGAGTTTTATGCTGATATTGTTTTGTCTGACTGTCTTTAGTGTTAGGTAGATTTATGAATCTTACACGTTGTCTTTGTCATGCTATCATCGTACTTCACTGTACTTGTACTGTTGTTGAATTAAAATACGTATCAGTATACACTACAGAGACTTTAAACGGCGGACAACTGAGAAGATTGATATTTTCTAGTTCTGACGCTAAAAAACGCTTACCTAGTAAATAAATTTTCATGACAGGCAAAGAAGTTTATGAACGTTTATGGATTCTCGTAGACATAGCATAGGATCCTCTTCAACGGCTCCTCGCACGAATCTTATGCTATGTCTACGAGAAACTACAAACGTTCATAACTTTCTTTGGCTGTCATGAAAATTTACTTACTAGGTACCAAAACAATTCCAGACTTTTTTCTCCATGGTTTGGAATGTGAGTTCGTAGGTTCGGTTGAGATTTATGCGAGTGTGAATGCCAACTTACTTTAACGTTAATGGATCTCTAGACTGCAAGTCTCACAAAAGGGAGGCAGAAATGGAATTCGCTAAGGCTTAGAATATTATTATGTAGGACCATGGCGGTACTAAAGAAAAGGCGCGCGCCACTGGTGACGTCACAGTATGGCAAGGAGCCCGTTAGCGCAGTGCTTTAAGGCTCGTAGCGCGGGGGCTTCATAGACTGCTTTGATAACCGATCGATTTACTTTGATGCTTTTTTCATCCAGGTCTCCTTTCTTTCGGAGTCGAGTTTCGATGACAAATTAAAAACTCGGGGCTATAAACTATAACTTATAATTAAACTATAACTTATAAACACAGAAGTTTCCTTCCAGTGAAACGTTCCGGATGAACTTGGCTGCTTCCTGCTTGGCGGGGTTTTTGGTGGTTTATTTGAGGCAATGGTGAGGGGGTCGGTTCTGCAGTGGTGGATTCTCGACTTCTCCCGTAGACTCAGCTTGTCACATTTTTACTACGTTTTGTAAAACTGAAACTGTTTGTCTCAAATCTGACTTCTGATGGCTCTGCTACGCAATAAGAGCTATCGAAGGATACGAAGACATCGAAGTTTGCTCCAATGTGTCGCTGGGACCGACTCCCCGCAATTGAATTTTGAGCACTCATTATTCTTTTAGTACAAGGCAAGCGGCATCTCTTTCCCCTCTCTTTCGTACCGTTTATCTCTTTCCCCGGCTGCATCGCTGCCGTGTGTGAGCGCACACGTGACACATTTCATTCAGCTATTTCACATCTAAACCGGTTTTGCGGCTGCGGCAGATTCCGCAGCCAATGCTGTGCACAGATAAGAGCGAATCAAAGCTTCACGTGTGCGCTCACACACGGCAGCGATGCAGCCGGCCCTAAGCCGGGGAAAGAGATAAACGGTACTCGTACTAAAGGGAGGGAAAAGAGATGGCGTTTGCCTTGTACTTGTAATATAATATATATAATAAGAGAGCCCGCGCAGAATAAATAAAAGGAGAATAATTCAAAGCAAAAAAAAATAATTTTTACTTCTATAGATCTTCCTTCACTTCTATAGTATGTAATGTCACTATGTATTTTATGAGGAAATTATAGAATTAGCATGTTGCTGTTATTATAATGTTACCGGACTGCCAGGACAACCCTATAATTATAGACCACTGCATATTAAATTTTTCAAAGTTTCTTCCCGGAAATGGGCCGGTTATCGGTTTAGTTTTGCAGGACGAATGTTTCGCACCATACCAGTAGATAACTGATTAACTATCACTCAAAATTTTATTTGCCCAGTTGCAAATTATATCTCAGTAATTTAAACACAACTTATGCTACCTGGTCATTTTTACCATCGCGATTCGCGCGGTCAGCCGCGCTGTTTCGAAACTCAATGTACAACGTATTAGCCTGCAGTTGCAGACTTGCAGTCTAGAGATCCTGACCGAGTCCGAATCATACACTGACAATCAAATTATCAAAATTTCCCGATCTTTAATTAGTTTTCTGTTGCTTTGTATTCATTAAACAATCCATGTTACAAAGTAAATTACTTTTACAAAAAATAATTAGCCATTTTAAAATATTATGATATTTCTTTCATCGCCCGTTTATTCGGAAATGTGAAGCAGGTTGCCTCGCTTGCCCTCCGCTCGCGCCGCAGCTCGGCGTCGCCTGCGGCTCCGCCTTCTATGAAAAACTGAAGAAATTATTTCAAGTTTCGCAAAATCTCGCTCTCAAGAATAATTCATAGCACCCTGAATGACGCGCCTAACGACAGTCGAAAGCAATCACTTAAATAAAAAACTTGTTAGTTATACAGCTCTGCTGCAGTTAATACAAATTAACTAAATTACGCTCATGTGGAATATGCACCTGCCAGCATGCTGTCCCTAAATTCTAAACATGCAGTACCACTTTTCTCGGATATTTTCCACAGAAAACAAATTACCTAACTCGCATCTTGCCCGCGAGTCGTAACTCGCAAATCGTCGCAAATTTTTGTCTTCAACGGCATATCAGTAGCATTGCCAACCGCCCGTGGAACGTTGCAACTTCAACTGGTCAAACCACTGCGAATACTGTAGCAGCTTTTTCAGAAACAGTTTTGAGCAAAGTTTCGCAGACATTGTTGTCGCAGACATTATCAGGTCATCAGTCTTCTTTTTTAAGCAATCTTACTTTTTCTGAAGCCATTTGTTGATAAAAATTTATAATTTAATTCAAGAATCAAGACTACAGAATCGTACGTGGTCATGATTAGAAGTTCCCAGCAAAGCTGGCCAAAACGCGTTTTAGCTGTCGAAAGAGTGGTGGGGTGGACAGCTTTGCAGTGTTGGATTCTCAGCTTTTCTCATTGGCTTCTATGTTAAAGTTTTCAAGTTTTCTTTCAATAGTTTGTTTTTCTCAAAAAACTGAGTTGTGATGGCAAATCTACCCACTAAAGGCTATCGAATGATACGTAGACATAGAAGTTTGATTCAGTGGATCGGGATGGCGAACTCGACAGAGTAGGAATTTCGTTGAGGCTTACGCGATTATTATATTATAGTGATGATGATGATGATGATAAAGGAAAGGAATAGATGGCAACCAAACGACCGCACGAGTAGCTACAGAAAGGAAATATTTTTGGAACTTACCGGTGCGTTATTAGAGGCTAAAGGCTCGTCGCGTTCACGCTCCTTGGAACCGGCGTTGGAGTCGTGGTCATCATCCCCGCTTTGAGTCCCCGCAGTTTCGCGGCCGCTCCACCTATCCGTTGCGCTCATCTTCGGATGGATGTTTCTGGAGATCCCTGATGAAAGGGATCTTCGCAGCAAATCCTGGAGATCCCTGATTAAAGGGATCTTCGCAGCAAATCCTGGAGATCCCTGATGAAAGGGATTTTCGCAGCAAATCCTGGAGATCCCTGATGAAAGGGATCTTCGCAGCAAAAACCCGATCCAAAGCGAGTGCCAGCGGACAGTGTGATTCGGGCAGGAAGGCGAAGGGATCTCCTGTCGGACAAAGCGGCTGATAAACAATAGGCCAGTACGATACTAATATGATAAATAAAATCCTTCCTACTTTAGACAACGACGAGGGATAATTTCAGGGGATAACATTCGCTGAGCAGGACAGATTTCAAAGAAGACAGGCAAAGAAGATTCCGAAAGGAGAAAAAATATGCGCTAAATTGCAGAATTAGTACACGAGTGCACTGAAAGCTGCTGTGCGATTGAGTACCCAAACTGCGCGAGTCGCATCCGTGTAGAAAAATGCGAAATAGAAGATTACGCAACCAAACAGAAGCAAAGTAAAGCCATGCATTGTTTTAACGAGTGCAGATGTACGTACTGAGTACACCACAACTGTATTAATGACAGTACAATATCCTTGTAAGATTTTGTTGCACTGAATAGATGCGGCGTAACGTAAATGATCAAATGAAAAAAACACTCCACAGTCTCCACTTACAAAAGTGCACAGGAATTCTGAATTATTAAGTCGTAGCAGTCACCGTCACTACACCCTGTCACCCAGTATAAATAATTACTTAAACGAACGCTCGGGCCATTCAGAATCTCCGATATGTAGACCGGAAGCTCCCCGTTCAATCGCGGCATTGTCAGGAAAAGATCCGTCGAAAGAGAAGCGAGGCGCGGGCAACGGTTCATCTACGCCATTGCCAGCGGATATGTTGTGGAATATTGAATTCCAACATGGAAACATGCCTTCTAACCTGGGAACAGCGCCAGTTTCGGCTAATTTCAAACCAAGTATTCTCTGCTTCGGCCGCTTGTTACAGTTGTTTGTCAGTGGCGTGTACGGTGTAATGACTAATGAGTATTTTGGTAAGATTTTTGTCGGGAAAAAGTATACACGCCGTAGTTTTTCTGTTAACTTCAATACTGTAATTTTAAAAAATCACCGAATTCGAAGTGACCTAGAATTATAAGCATACGGCGATGTTGACTTTAAACTTTATTACGGAGCGGTTAGTGACTAGAGGGAAAAAGTACAGTCCGAGAGAACAAGACTAGTAATGATAATAATGTGTGTTCAATGTAAGCATAAGAGTATTTATATCTTCGTGGTTTGTGCGGCGGCAGCAGAGGCGTACGATGTGTAGTCGTATTCCATCCAGCGGCGTACATCATGTCGACATATTATCATATTGGCATAACAGCATACACAGTGTACACGATTGTAACAGCTGAGATCGGCAAACGTAAGCGCGAGGAATCCAAGAATACCGACGATAATTCTAATGCAGGCATCTGCGAGCTGCTGATGGAGTTGGCTGAATACGAGAAAGTTGCCAGCGGCGAGCAGTATAAATACCTCGCGTACCGTAAAGCAGCGCAGACGCTGGCTGAACAGAAAACCCGTATCAAAAGTGGCGCTGAAGCGCAGAAGCTGCCAGGAATTGGGGAAAGCATTGCAGGCAAGATTGATGAGTTTCTGAAGACGGGCAAGATGGAAAAAGTAAAGGAGGCTCGCGACGACGACACAGCCAAGATACTGGCGGATTTGGCGCGGGTGCCCGGGATTGGCCATGCTCGGGCCAAGGAACTGTACGATCAAGGCATTAGAAGCATCGAGGATCTCAAGAAGCATCCGGACCTTCTGCCCGAACAACTGCAGAAGCCCGTAAAGAATTTGGACGCTATTGAGTCTCCCATAAACAAACAACAGGCGGACAAAATCAAGAAGTATCTGGAACAGCAACTAAAGGTACGCTTTAATGTCAATTTGCCATGCCTGCATTTTTTAAAACATGGTTATCTGAAACTACTGCAAATTTGATTTTACTTTTTAACAGAATTTGGAGACAGCAAGCATTCGCTTTGTCCCGATTTTTGTTACAAACGGGAATAGATATTGCAAGATTATAACATTAAAACTTTTAATGCTGTATATTTTGTTTGCTTGTACAGATGGCAGAAATTTTCTATGGCAGTTTATTTAGTACTGCTGTGAAAGATATTTTATTAGTGTATTTTTCAAAATGTCACTCAGTATTTTTTGAGAATTCTGTACCTGCTTTAATTTCCAAATATTCGTGCAGAAAGGATTTCATCATTGTTCTTTTACGGTTTTTAAAATAAATTAGCAACTGTAAATAAATTTTTTTTGTTTTTAGGGTTTGGATGGTCGGTTCAAGGTGACACTGTGTGGCGCCTGCGGCCGTCATGAGGCTACTGTGCTGGAATTGGTTGCTGTCATCACTCATAGTGCTTCCGAAGAGAAAACGAAGGATTTGCTGCACGAACTAACCGAGAAGCTGAAACATTCCGGTTTTCTTCCGGAGACCATGACCGAAGGTAACCATCGCGTTAAAGGCATTTGCCAGTTGCCGGCTGCCCACTCTCCGAAGAAACCTGAACGCAGCAGTCCTCAACGCAGCAGTCCTCGCAAAAAAGCGAAAAAGGAGGATGACGTATCTGCGGCGGATGAGGAAAAGCATGGTGAACAGCACATGTTGCTGCTGTGCATGTATCCCGACAGCCAGGAAGCTGCGGTGGTGCTGCATTGGACGGGCATTGATGTCTTTGTGCAGGAGATGAGCTCCAGAGCCAAATCAAAGGGATTCTTGTTGAATGAGTTCGGGTTTGTTGAATGAGTGTTTGTTGATTCTTGTTGACTGTACCGGCATCGGGGAAGTGGCGACAAAGCGGACAATGCCGCCAAAGTGGACAGTGAGGAGGATATCTTCAAAGAGCTGGACATAGAGTATGTGAAACCGGAAGATCGGAACGTGTAGATAATCACTGATCGGTGAGCTGTTTCTGTCGTTTTCGAAGCTAGTGGTCTGGCTTTAACCGCATTTCCGTTTTTTGATCTGTAACTGTACCGGAGCTCCGGAGTTTAAATCGTATGACATAGGAATGGATAATTGTCTTGTGCATTATCCTGTATTTTGGTTTAAGACAGATAGATGCAACGTGTATTATGTGTATGTTCCATCTTTCCCTTAAATTCTTTTAGCGTTTAGAAGCGTTCGCTGTTCGGCTGTTTTGCATAGTTCTGCCTTTTGCAGTTGTTTTTCGAACATTGTCTTTTCGCTATAAACCGGAATGAATTCTTAATCGAGACATTGACTTCCGGAAAGAAATATCTGGAAGATAGCACAAGTAGATTGAATAACCTTCTCGTTTAGCTGAAAACCTTCAGAATTCACTCAGTTGGTTGCAGCCGGGAAGAGTTACGAGTACAACTGACTCGGATTACGAGCGCTGTAAAGAATGCGCCCGCAACCGTACCGTACTGCCGATCGAGATGAGTGCTGTAGAAGTACTAGAAATAAACATACCGCATAGAATGTCCAAGTTAGGACATTAAGTGGTTCCATAGGAATGAACCCATAGGCTAGGACACGAGTGGTTCACCAGGTTCTGAACCAATGGAATAAGATAAACCTATGGCACCACATGGAACCACCGTGAAACTACAAGTGAACCAGGTATACTCCTACATGCCGACACGCTGTCACACTACCGCTTTACCCCTTGAACCAAGTGAACCTATGGAACCACATGGAACCTCCGTGAAACCACAAGTGAACCAAGTACACTCTCACTTGCTCACACGCTGTCACACTACCGCTCTGCCCCTTGAACCAGGTGAACCTATTGAACCACTTGGAACCTCCGTGGAACCACAAGTGAACCAAGTACGCTCTCACTTGCTCACACGCTGTCACACTACCGCTCTGCCCCTTGAACCAGGTGAACCTATGGCACCACATGGAACCACCGTGAAACTACAAGTGAACCAGGTATACTCCTACATGCCGACACGCTGTCACACTACCGCTTTACCCCTTGAACCAAGTGAACCTATGGAACCACATGGAACCTCCGTGAAACCACAAGTGAACCAAGTACACTCTCACTTGCTCACACGCTGTCACACTACCGCTTTACCCCTTGAACCAAGTGAACCTATGGAACCACATGGAACCTCCGTGAAACCACAAGTGAACCAAGTACGCTCTCACTTGCTCACACGCTGTCACACTACCGCTCTGCCCCTTGAACCAGGTGAACCTATTGAACCACTTGGAACCTCCTTGGAACCACAAGTGAACCAGCATCTTTCAACAGATCATCGAGCGGATCCTGCACCGACCTGCAGGGCTGCGAAGGTGTTGCCGTCTACCTGGACGACATTATTGTCACTGGTGCGACTGAGGAAGAACACCTCCGCAACCTCGAGAAAGTCCTGCAGCGGCTCAAAGAACATGGACTGACGCTCAAACAGACAAAGTGCCGGTTCATGCAAGAATCGGTTGAATATCTTGGCTTTGTGGTGGACAGTCGCGGCCGACACATATCGCGCGACCGCGCCAAAGCGCTGCTGGAGATGGACGAACCAAGGCACATCAGCGAGCTACGCGCCTTCCTTGGCATGGTCAATCATTACGGGAAGTTCCTTCCCGACGTATCTTCAAAGTGTAACGTCTACCATAACCTACTGAAAACCGGAGTGACTTGGGATTGGTCAAAGGAATGCGCGCGTCAGTTCCGAGCACTGAAAGAGGACATCGTGAGAGCGACGTTCCTGGTGCACTTCAACCCGGAAATGCCACTGGTGCTGGCTGCCGACGCCTCACAGTATGGCCTGGGTGCTGTTCTGTGCCACCGGTTCCCCGACGGGACGGAGCGACCAATCGCCCACGCATCCAAGAGTCTCAGTGCGGCCGAAAAGAATTATGGCCGAATAGAGAAAGAAGCTTTGGCGATGGTGTTTGGTTACAAGAAATTCCACCAATACATCGCTGGGAGGGAGTTTACGCTGCTGACAGACCATAAGCCGCTTCTCAGCGTCTTCGGCAGCCGGAAGGGCGTTCCCGTCGTGACCGCCAACCGCCTACAGCGATGGGCGTTGCTGCTCATGGGGTACAGTTTCTCCATCGAGTATCGCAGGACGGAGGATTTCGGCCAAGCAGACGGGTTGATCCGTCTGCCACTGCTCTCCACGCAGCTGGAAGGCATATCCGGTCTCGGCATGGACAGCGTCGTGAGTGCCGTGCATAGCGATAACGCCAACCACCTGCCGCTGTCAGTCGCAGCGATCGCGGAGGAGACGCTGGTCAACCCGGAGCTCCGAGAAGTAAGCCGTTACATCCTAAACGGCTGGCCTAGCACCACTGCCGATAACCTCCGACCGTACAAACGGCTGGAGCACGAACTGGTCATGGTGAACGGCTGTGTCTGCTGGGGTCACCGGACTGTAATTCCTGACAAGTTCCGCAAGCAGGTGCTGACATATTTGCACGAAGCCCACATGGGAGCTGGGAAGATGAAGGCAGAAGCCCGAGGTTACTGTTGGTGGCCGCAGATGGATCGCGAAATCGAGCAGGTCACCAAAGACTGCCGCACCTGCACAGAGCGAGCTCTCGACACCGCGAAGGTTCCGCTGGCCCAGTGGGAGGTCCCAGGTGCATATGGACTTCGCCGCCCCTTACCATGGAACCATGCTGTTCGTGGTAGTGGACGCCATGTCCAAGTGGCCGGAAGTCATTTCCATGAAGCACGCTACGACCGAGACTGTCATCGATGCTCTGCTCACGATGTTCAGTCGCTACGGAGCATTTGCGGAAGCCGCTTCCGACAACGGTACGCAATTCACTTCACAGCAGTTCACGGATTTTTGTAACCAGTTTGGGATTAAGCACATCCGAACGCCACCGGGTCACCAGCAATCCAACGGACAGGCGGAGCGTTACGTACAGACCGTGAAAGAGGGAATCGCGAAGCTGATGGAAGATGGCAAAACACTTTCAGTTGCCTTGCGTCAGTTCCTCTGGCGGCATCGCAGCGTTCCACACGCCACAACGGGCAAGTCGCCAGCCGAGCTGTTCATGGGCCGCAAAATGCGCTCAACGTTAGACCTGCTGATCCCCGTCATGATGACCACGGCCGAACGTAACCGCGAACGATACCGAAGAATTTCGACAAGCGGACAGTTCCGAAAAGCTTTCAGCCTGGTCAGCTGGTTCTCGTTCGAGATTTCCGCCCCAGTCGCGGCGTTGACTGGGTTAGTGGAAAACTGATCAAGCGGGACGGCGCCCGAATATGGGAGGTTTCCGTCAACAGAACAGTCTGGCGTCGTCACTATAATCAAATTCGACCACGATACTGGCTGGAACCAGATGAAACGAAACTGGGCAGTACATTGCCAGAAACGCCAGTTGTCGACGCACAGAACAATTCTGCAGCACGGATGGCAGATGAAACACAGGAAGCGCACCCTGCTAATGAAACGGTGAAACCTCTGCCAGATAACGTCAAAGAGGCAACAACAGCGAAAAATGAGCCAGCGGCAGCTCAACAGCCAACCAAACCGAAAAAGGTCAAGCCGCCGCAGCCAGTTGAAAATTTACGAAGAACAGAGCGAACCATAGTGAAACCGGATCGATTAATAGCGGATCCGAAATTTGGTTCTTAACTGTGTGCTTGAGTGTGTTTAACTACAAACACACTGGGGAAGGTGTGACGGCATGTACTTAGTATATGACTTCAAGTGCTTAGCAATGTTAACCTTTATGAATATTTACAGTCCTGACATACAGTCTACAGATTAGTCAGTTCTCTGGTTGGCTCGCGGAATAAATAAAACATACGTATTTGGTAATACGTGAAAAATTATCGAGAAGTCACTAACTCTAACCATTGTAAAGCCTGAAATGAAACTTTCTTGGAAAACACCAGAGGAAAAGCAAAATTTGATTTCATTCAACTGGAAAGCAAGTTTCTTTTCAAACTGTTACAAAAACGAGCGAAAATCACCAGAATTTCCTTCCTACCTTAGCGTAGACCAGCGTGTGGCGATCCTTCTGGAAGAGAGTGTTGATCCTGGGGATCCCGCGGTCCCAGCTGTTCTCCAGATCCTCCAGCGTCAGGCGGCGGTTCTGCACATTGGCCTCCTGCCGCTTCAGCGCGTACTCGGCCCAGACACGCTGCGAGTCGGTGAACTCGGACTCCCAGGGCTGGATGTAGCGGTACAAGTTGGGGATCAGCTGGTCCTCGTCGTGCGACATGCCGGAGCGGAAGTGCGTGATGCCGATGTCCGTCTGCTTGGACCAGTGCAGATCCGACTGCGGGATCAGCACGTGCCCCATCGACAGCATGCCCAGGCCGCCGATCTCCTTCGGCGTGTAGAAGACGACGGGCGGGAAGCGCGACGGCATCTTCCAGTTCAGCCCGATCTTGATGCGCGTCTGAAGCTTGTTCTCGCACTTCACCAGCAAATCCAGCAGCTCCTGCGTGTTCACCACCGCCTCGCGGTAAAAGCTGTTGGACAGAAAGAAAAATTAAGCAATAATACATTAAGATAAACACGTTCAGATGAAACGAAATTTCATCTATTTTCCATGTACTTGCAAAGGGTACCTACGAAATGATGCAAAATCGATGTACTTATGAAAAAATTATAGATATTTATGCATTTCCATCTAATTATGATAAACACCTGCGAAATTTCATCTATTTCGCATATAGATACTACTTGCAAAGGATACCTGCTACGAAATTTCATCTATTTCGCATGTACTTGCAAAGAGTGCCTATGCATTGATGCACATTCCATGTACTAACGAAAAATACCGTAGAAATTTATGCATTTTGCAGGCGAGAGGTAAATAAGCTGCTGAACAAAAGTAAATCGGAAAACAATGTAGCCTTTGATCTGGACGAATTAAATGACCATTTTTCTACAATGGGTGAACACGGCGCACCGCATCCGCCAGCTAGTCTGCCTGTAGAAAACCCTTCGGCGTCTTTTGAATTCGAATACGTGACTGCTGAAACTGTTTCAGAAATTTTTGTTAAAATGTTGGGAAAAAAGAAATCTGCAGGACCTAACGGTGTTCCGCATAAACTGTTACAGCAAATTTTTCCACTTTTGGTCGTGCCGATTGCTAACTTAATCAACCAGTGTTTTACGAAAGGAATTTTTCCTAAAATTTTTAAAATGGCTGAAGTGATTGCGTTGCCAAAATGCAGCAGCCCCACAGCAGCGAATGACTTGCGGCCGATCTCTCTGTTATGCAACCTTTCGAAGGTTTTCGAAAAAGCCGCACAGGCGCAGCTGGTAAAGTTTCTTAAAGATCGAAATATTTTATCCTCAAATCAGTCCACCAAAGCGCTAGCGGCTAGCAAACTACAAAGTGCACTGCCGGCTATAACAGAATGGTTCAACACCAACAGTCTTGTAATTAACGAAAAAAAGTCAAAATTGATGTTCGTCTATTCTTGCCGAAGCAGAGAAGTCGGTCAGCCGACAATTGTTTTGAATGGTCACCAACTGGAAGCAGTAACAGCAGTTAAGCACTTGGGGGTGATAATTGACCAACATTTAAAATGGGCCGAACATTGTAATAAGGTCCACAAAAGTGTCAGTCAGGGAATCGCTCTCATAAATCGTGCAAAAGACGGCCTGTGCAATTCTCAACGCATCGGACTTTTTTACGCATTTGTCCAGTCTCATCTGGACTACTGTTCTACTGTGTGGAACGGCGCGTCTGTGTCCTTGCGTGAGAAATTAGCGGCTGCACACCGAAATGCTGTTCGGGCGATCGCGAATTACCCGAGAACACCAGGGAAAACGCTAATGAATCAGTTCGGAATCCTCCCGCTGTTCACCAGATGGAAGCACCAGGAAGCCACCTGGCTATATAAAATCTGGCATCCTACGACATTCCATGTCCCGACGTACATCGCGGAAATGATTGTGTTGGACGAGCAAAAGAAGCCGTACAGCTTGCGACACGTTAGCCGCCCAACCATCAAAACACATGCGGCGACGAAAACTGGAGAAGCAACGCTCGCATGGAGGCTAAATAAGCTGCTGAATAAAATTTACTGCTGTAGTAGTGATGTGTTGAACTTACGTTCTCTAAATTGTTTTAAGGCCGCTTTGTTTCTGTGCTAGCTTCCTATAAATTCTTGTATATTTGATTCTGATCTTCTGATTGTGTTTCTTGATGTTCAGCCAGGTTTAAAATCCCATGCTAGACTGTCAACCTAGCCGGATAGGGGCTACCTGCTCTGATTGCAATTAAATTAAATTAATTAATTAATTAATAATTATCACGAATTCCTACGAAATTTCATTTAGTGCGCATTGTACTTGCAAAAGGTACCTACGAATTGATGCACATTCCATGTACTAACGAAAAATACCGTAGAAATTTATGCATCCCTCTATAATTTGCGCGTAAGCCTTAATCTTTGTTGAGTCCGTCAGCTCGACGCATTGATCCAAAGTACTGTGACTATGTATCATTCGATAGCCCTTGAAATGTAGATTAGCCATCACAAATTAGTTTTTGGAGAAAAAGATAAGTTTGAAAGAAAACGATCAAAAACTTTAACGTACAAAGTCTATGGGAAAAGCTAAGAACCCACCACTGCTAAACCGACCACCTCATCACTGTATCAAGAGCAAACATCTTCGCTGCCGCTGGATCGTGTTTTATATCCCTTAACAGATAATGCTCCATCGTCCGAAGTTCGTATGTTTCTCATCAAAATTTAGTTCTGAGAAAGAAAATAAAACGAAAGAAAGGAGGGAAAAATGCCCGAGAAGATTCTGCGGCTGTGGGACGGTTCTAAAGTCTGTTTTCAAGTACCTGGCCCCCGCAGTGGTTTATTGAGTCTTCGCTTAACTATACTGCAAAGAGCCTTTTCAGTTTCCGGGCGGACGCGCTTGCCTTTCTTGCTAAACCACCTGCGATGCAATTGTGATTTGTGATTTGCGAAGACGGATTTTTCGAAATTTGCTACTTTATCGTTTTCAATAGAAAAGGCAAGGTAGTGTTCGAGAAAAGCTAGCGGGGCAATTTGGAATTTTCAAAATTTGCTTTTAAGAACAGCAAACTATTTGCTCCGAATCGTACTGACTGTTTGAATTACGTAAATACGAGTATCAATGTAAATCGTATCAAAGTAAATCCACTACAGTGCAGCTATCTCTAGAACGTAAATCATGTCCGGTTTAAAAACGGATGGAGAGGAGTTGGATGTAGCATGAATTGCATGATATGAGTTGGAACCTCGAATGCTCCATTACTAAGTAACAATGGACAAATATTTTTTTTCTGTCTGCTATACTGCTTACTGGAAGGTGGAGCCGCAGGCGACGCCGAGTTACGGCGCGAGCGGAGCTCCCGTAGCAGCAAGCGCAATGTCGCGTAAGAGTTCCCGTTTTTGAAAAGAAATGGCTGTTCTCACCACCCTGGCACCTTCTTTGGGTATTCTCACCACCTTTCACCACGTTTTGGCTTTTTTTTCGCACGACCTTTTTAGACATATTTTTTACCCCACCATTGGCTGTTGTCACAACCTTTCTACACCTCCTTTCGGCTATTCCCACCTCCTTAGATACGGGCAACGGCGATCACACGGTCCGCAGTAAAAACTGGCTACGACTGCGACGCTTTCGCCTTTGCTTTCGGGATCGACATGATCAACAATCGGAAACCAATCGGTGGTGCCAATAGACTTAAAGGTGGTGAAAGGTGGCGAGAATAGCCAAATGGTGGTGCGAGGTGGTGGGAACAGCCACACCCTTTTGAAAAAGAGCTAAAGCAGAGAAGGAACCAACGAAATGCCCCTGTTTTTATTTATTTTGGCTATGGTCAAAGCAGTAATAAAAAAAGAATATTAATAGCAAGTAGAGCATTTACTCTGTTGATATACTGATTGATAAACTGGGACAGGAAGGGCACCAAACTGGTGATTTAAAGTTCAGTCAATAAATTGTTATCGGATAGTTTAAAGCTTTTTAAATCGTAGAATGAAACAGAAGCAGGAAGGGAGAACAACTTTAATAAATTACAGAGCCCCTGTGCAGTAGCTGCACGAAATTTAGGTAAATGATTGGTTATTGGTCTGGAAACTAAGAAATAGATTGGAAATTAATAAGAACATTTATCCGCCTTTGGGAAAAAAATTTCGCATTTCAGGTTTAAGGTCATCTCTGCAGTCAGTTATAGAGACAGGCAAATTTTCAGTAGATATTACCGTCAAGTTCAACTATGGACTTCGGTAAACATGTATTGTAGAATTTTACAGATACATATATTACAGAATTTCTCGCTTCGTCCATAAAAGTGATGATAAAGCCTACACTACCTGCAGTCACAGTTTTAATTTTTTTACTGGGTCATGATTTGTCCATCGCATTAATTATTCCGCGCAATTTGCGCGGGGTCTGCTAGTTTTCCTTCTAATTATGATGAATACCTAGCAAATTTCATCTGTCTCGGATGTGCCTGCGAAGAGTACCTACGACTTACGAGGTTGATGTATCTTTTAGGTACTGTATATGAAGAAAACAGTCTAAGTTTACGCAATTCGTATCAAAGGGTTTCCGCAATATTTCGTACCGATGTTCACCGTGGGAAGTAGAAACAATTCTTCTTTATACAACTTACGCCACCAAATCCGATGAGAGCCGTGTTCCACTTGTTGACAATCTTGGTGAAGGTCGTCGAGCCCGAGGCCATCAGGATCTGCCGCACCCGGTTATAGAACTACTGCATGGAGTCATCGTCGACGCGCAGGAAGCACTGCGCCGTCCGCTCCTTCGTCACCTCGTTCTGCAGATTCGACACGCCGTCCTTGTGCGTGTACCCTCCGTGCTGGTGCGGCACGGATGCAGGATGCGGCACGGATGCAGGATGCGGCACTCGAAGCCGCACAAACTGAACAGCAGGTTAGGATTATCCTTGGAGTACACCGACCCGAAGCTCTCGTCCCAGTTGATGGTAGTGGTGGAGCGCGGCAGCCGATCTTGATGTCTCAGAAGACGGCGCGGCCCAGGTTGACGTCGTGCTTCATCAGGCGCATGCGCGAGTCGCGCGGCCAGCACTTCTTGTTGTTATAGCCCACGATTTTTCTCGTTGTTAGGGTCCGGTGCTCCGGTAAGGAGCGCTGGATCAGGTCGCGCGCACGGGCATGTTCTCCAGAAGCTTCAGCACCGCGTGCGGAATGTACTTACTTGAGCGCCCCCAAGTAGGCGGGCTTGTCGTTCTGGAACTTCTTTTGCGTTATATCCGTTGTCGCGGATGATCTTGCGCACGTGCTCCGGTGGCATGTTCTCCTTCTGCGCGTCGATGAAGCCGAACTTGCGCTTCTCCGCGTAGCGCTTCGTCTGCAGCAGCTGCCACTTCTTGGCCTTCTCCAGCTCGGCCTGCCACTGCCGCTCGTCCGGCTGCGGCGGCTTCGTTCAAAACTTCGTTCAGCTGCACAACCAACCAACACCAGCATTCCTCGAAAAACATGTCCACTGGCACTCTGCCTACACCATCTAAAATTCCATCCTTTCCTGAAGCATATTTGTAGATTAATCCCTAGTTCTGCCAAGTGCCAACAAACTTCATTGATCAAATGACGGAGAAGGACTAGTCAGTGAGACACTGCAACAAGACTTCGACGATCATCGAGCAGGAGTCCGGAACGCACGCTCTAATCACGATCGCACAGCAGACAGCATCCACACTCCTCGCTCGCACCACTTTCACACAGAAAACAACACTACTTTACCTGATCCACAAAAATTCAAGCTTCTATCTTTCCACTGCAGTAATCAAATGATGAAAACTGGAATCGCAGAAACACAGATATCCCAACCGTAACGTTTGTCAATTTTTGTATTTTTTGACAAGAAATTTTTGAAAACATGCAGCCGTGTTCACGGGATATTGTACACGGGTGCAGTAGTGCTTGCTTAACCATTAAAAGTGATACATCAGCGCTGGTTCATTGTTGTACCAGCGTAAATACACGAGGGCATAAAGTATTATATTATATCTCCCATGTAATTATGAAGAAAACTTTAGGGATATGTATCATTTTGTATCTAATTGTGATGAATAGTGAATACCTTAGAATTCCATGTAATTTGCATGAAATTGCAGAGAGAACATACGATACTTATGCATCTTTCATGTAATTATGAAGAAAACTTTAGAGATATGGGCATTTCGCATCTAATTATGATGAATACGTTATAATTTCATGTAATTTGCATGAAATTCCAAAGAGAACTTACGATACTTATGCATCTTCCATGTAATTATGAAGAAAACGTTAGAGATATGTGCATTTTGCATCTAATTATGACGAATACCTTAGAATTCCATGTATTTTGCACGAAATTGCAATGAGGCGTTGACGAAGGAGCAGTCGAATTGGGGACAGCACTCGTCGGTCACGGGCATGGCCTTGCAGTCGTGGGCGGGCCGCCGCAGGTCAGCGGCGTGCAGACCACGTGGCCCTGCTCCGTGCACTCGGAGCGAGCGCACGCGCGCCGGGTTGTCTACGTCGTCGTTGGAGGCGCACTGCTGATCTACGGGCGATGCACACGGCGGTCAGCAAGGGACAAGAAAAAGCCGGTGTTAAGTGTACCTTTGAAGAGGCGTTGCGGCGGCATGCAGCGCTGCTTGCACTGCTGCCGGTTTTCGAAGTTGTTCTCGTTGCCGGCGCATCCTGAATAGATGAACTGCCGGCATCCGGAAATCCGCCCGTGGACAGTCAGTCTGTGAACACCGGGTTTTGCTAATCGCGTCGTCATACGTACGATTCGTACTGTCACCGCAGGCCCGCATGCTAAAGTTTTGGCAGCCGCTAATTTCGCCGCGAAGTAGGCACTCTGAAAAAACAATTCGTTGTTAAATAAAGAGACGCCACCCTGCTTAGCAGACCAATGTTGTACCGAATATGGCTGCACGAATCCACCGGTAATCTGCTCATCACAATCTTTCTTGGGATCCCCGTTGAAGCCGCTCAAGCACTTGCACTCTGCGATCGAACCGGTATAATAAAAAACCGTACAAAAAAATAACTGTTGGCGACTTCGGAGGTTTGCCGTTGAGAGCAGGGCACTGTGCGTTCTTGTCGCACTCGATGAAGCGGCCAAAACTGAAACAGGCCTTCGGGCTGGACAGGACTAAATACGGGACAATCTAAGTGACCTTGATTAATTGGCTAATTGACGTTGACGGACAGCGGGCGCCGGTGTCGGTGACGCACCGTCCTGCGGGCCGGCGGTGGAGGTGGTCAGCAGGTGGCGCTAGCGCACGAGCCAGGTGGCAGACGGCGTCACCACGCTCGTCTTGTTCGAGCTCAACTGGTCTGTCTCACTGGTATCGCTGCTGTTCCCCGTCTCTTCCGTTCCGATCGATTGTTTCCTGGCCGCCTTCACTGGGGGGTCGCTGTAGGGTTTACTTCGACGTATTTAAACAATCTACTAACCAGGGCCGCCTGAGTAGTGGTCGGCGACGCATTGGCCAACGTGGCCAGCGTGGTGAGGAGTGACGAGCCGGGCGCGGGGGGGGGGGTGGCCGGCGGCGGATTGGGGTATTGCCACTTCGGGACAGCAGACGCCGACGAAGAGCGGCGTGCAGTCCTGGTACTGCAGAAAGGTGTCCTTGCACACCACGTTGACCCACTGGATATATAAATAGGCCAATGTCAAAACGACGGCGGAATTTCTTGCTGGCGGAAATTTTGTGTGGTCAAAACGACGGCGGAAATTCTAGTAGTCAAAACGCCGGCGGAATTTAGTTTAACTTTTTAATTTCAGTTACTGTGCATATATATTTAAGAGCAATTTGTCAGAAAAATGTATCTTGCATAGATTCGGGCGCTCCGTTATTAATATAAGCCTATCTATTAGATCGCATGTATGTCCTTTCTGTGCATCACATTATTCTTCCACGCGCAACGCAGCAGCCGCTGCGTTTGTCTTAAAAAAATTGGCATCTGAAGAATTTTGCGAAAACACATAGGCAAATAAATCAGTTATTAAATTATCTGGTATCTGAATGCTGGTATCAGCTGCAGGCTTGCAGCAACTGGCAAGCAGTAACTGACCAGGCTAAGCCAAGAGAATATTGTATGCGTGCGGCATGCATTAAGCGCCGTCATCCGCAGTTCACATCAAAGTTTGCAAATTACGAGGGCCATTCAATATATTCGTAGCATTGCCGCGCCATCTTCCACTGCATTATTTTTATTTCACTATTACCATAAAGTATATTTCTACAGCCTATATGCACTGCAAACATTTATTTACTAAATCTTGAAATGGATCCAGAAAGAAGTTACACGACAGAGAAGAGATCGACTCATGTCAATCTTCCTCGAGCTCTTCATGATTTTTCCAGTTTTTGCTACGCAAAGATTTCTTCAAAATCAAAAATTTTTTAAACTCATAAAAGATTAAGGTATGCTAATGAATTGAGTATCCAAGGATACGTCAGCTTGATGATGAGAACCAAAGCAATGTAGTGGTGGAAACCTGATTGTGCGCGTCAAAACCATATGGATAATTTCAAGTAAAAGTCAATTCCAAAATTTTCTCAGCGAGTTGCTGCGTTCCATACTCAACACTGTTTCTCCTCAAATATTCAGCCCATTTGCTATTTCTTCCTTGCTCATTCAAGATCCTTCTCGATCATGGCTTTTATTTTAAGTAGTTTTTTGAAAGGGAGACTCGAGAAAGTGGTCCCTCAGTTGAGAAAACGGAGTGCTCGGAGCTGAATCGTAGTAACCAGTCTGTAATAGTACAACGTAATGGCGATGAATTAAGGAAGAGAACAAATAGCTTAAGATGAAAAGAAACTCTACAGTTCTTCTCTAAGAAATTTTTGCAAATAATAGCTTGACATGCGCACTTTCCAGAAAAACTTTTTTTTACTCCGGGCAGCCTTGTACAGATGGATGCCAACCGCCAGCCGTAGGCGGTATTACCCCGGCCATTGCCCTATGATCTAGTTATGAATGATACAGTTTTAAAAAAATTAGATCATAATTTTGAGAATTATTTTCTACCACAGTGCTACGAATATATTGAATGGCCCTCGTACATATCTGGATGACACCGTTAAATTCAAAGAAGATGAGCTGGTTGCAATCGCAAAGTTCTGCTCTGAAATTTAGCTGCAGTGGTGTTGAGTTCAACTGCTCAAGGCATGCATGTTCTTTTGTCATTATGTTTTTTTGTTATTTTGTTAGCTTGTTTAGCGGCCCGATTAGGATTACCTGATTGGTATTCGAGCACGTACGTGTTTTTTTATCATTGCGTTTCTTGTTTGTTTGTGTTTTTTTTTTAATTTTTCAACCTTTTTTAGTCGTAGTTCTCGTTTTTCGTTGTTGGCTGCTTATCTGCTGAACGATAAAGCAGGTCTTGGAACTAGAGTTTACCAATAAATTGGTTTTGTATCAATTCGTGGTGTCCGTAAAAAAATGCATGTTCAGGAAATTCCGCCGGCGTTTTGACCACGAGAAGTTCCGCCGTCGTTTTGACCAAACAGAACTTCCGCCGGCAAGAAATTCCGCCGCTGTTTTGACCTCACAAAATTTCCGCCGGCAGAAAATTCCGCCGTCGTTTTGATATAAATATGTTACCCATCTTTAGATATACGAGCATTTATAGCGTATATTTATACACGTATAGGGTATAGCTATGTATACGGGTACGCATATAAGGGGCGAAAGTAAACGCGTTCCACCGTTCCCCTGTACTGCTGCCGTTACAGTGTACCCAGAACCAGGCCCGCGCTGGGGTTTTGTGGGTGGGAGGAGTTTTGTGGGCTTCATGGGCTTCATGCAGGACGCTCGAACCATTCGGGCTGGAAGCTGTTCGCATGACTCGCAACTGGGGCAAAAGATCCAATAAGAAGGCGGCAAGAAGCGGACCACGGAATATCTACGTCAGCGAATCAGTAACGAAATTCAACGAGGCAACGCGGGTATATATCGAAATCAGTCGTGGGAACGGCGCGCCAATTGGGCTTACCAAATAATATTATATAAATTCAAATATTCTCGCCATTCTCCGTGATTAGACCGCCTTAATTGGTAGATGCCGTACATCGCATCTTTACTACATTATGATACAACATTAAAATTGCACACTCTACTCTACTCTGTACTCTAGGCTTCTTGTATCCGGCTGATACTGCACTAAATCGTACAATTACTACAATAACTAACATCATAACATCACACCAAAACTTATGATCAGAATTTTATTCGGCGTCGGCCAGCATACGAAACTATACGTCTGCGCAGATTTAAACGAATTAAAACGAATAAATTTTGTTCACTACGTCTTTAAAAAAAATAGGAATAAATAACAGGAAGTCGTTGCAAAACCAACCGACGCATGAAACAAGTGATGAGAGCGACTGCCTTACCAGAAATAAAGTTAATGACACTGTACACATACACATATGGCGGTACTTAACGTTGATACAACATAATTACAGTAGACATGCTTTTCTTTAGGCAGGCGATATTAGTTTCTCCATTTCATCATGTCATGCAGGGATGTAATGGAATCTTCCACGCAACAGATTTTTCGAGGGAATTATCCATGTTATTCTGATATGGTCAGCTGCTGCATCCACGCAGTATAGCGAGTAGGCTGGCACAGTTTGTGTCATTTCCGGTATATCTATATACTGCAGATGAATCTGTCATATACACGATTAACTGACACCTTCCTGGAGTTATTCTACATGTACTTCAGAACAAAATCAATTAAAGCATTGATTACAGAAAAGCACCCGACGCGCTTATAGTGCATGTATACTAATAAGGTAATAAGCACTTATATC